AATAAGTCAATATCTGCGGCCATTCCAAACACTAACCACACCTCCCAAAAACACTCTTAACAGGTTGAGGTCCTGGGTCCCCAAGGTCTCCCTCCCACCCATGCCTCTCACAGGAAGTTCAATCTTTCCTCCTAGGCACAAAGGGGGTGAGGCTGGGTGTGGATGTGGATGTGACGCTAGCAAGCACCCAACAAACTTCAAAGCTATGCGATATGGTGGTTGTGAATTTTCCTCCTACCTCAGACAAAACCAATCTTTCAGTCCAAACTCTCTCTCCTCCTTTCAGACACACACACACACACACACACACACACACACACACACAAAAAAAGTCAGGCCAGCATTCCAGGCAGCTTCCAGCTCTATCCCTAGTTACATTTCAGATCTCTCCACAACCCAGCCACAAGAGTTATCAGAAAACCAGTCAGCAGTATAGGTCTGGAAATTGATGTTACCCAACACACATGAAAATGAGAAATGAACTTTCAAGTTTAGATCTCACTAGTAAAGTTCCTTTACCCTCCGCAGTTTCCCAGAAATATGCATATAAAAAGCACCATCCCCTAAGTATCAGAGAGCTACCGAGGGAGTGGGCATGACACAGACAGGTCCTCTCTGGACCAAAATGACGACCAAAATGATGCCTATTTATTTTATTGCTTTCCTCTATAAATTATTCAATTTTCGTCAGCCCAGGCCTGTAATCCAGGCAGTGGCCAATTCATAATAAGAAGTAAAACTCACAAACTCCCCACTCAAGCCCAAGTTGATTTTTTTGCAAGACCTGAACATTTATACCAAAGATACTGAAATGGTGTGGAATTTTCCAGCAAACTGCCAGATACAGGCAGACCTTGGGAATACTGCAGGTTGGGTCCCAAACCACCACAATAAAACAAATCATAATCTTTTTGCTTGAGATGGGGTGGAGAGGGAGGGGATTGCCTTCAATTTGTAAAAAATGCAACATCTCTGAGTGCAATAAAACAGGTGTGCCTGTACTGGTAGCTGGTTTGTTACTAATATCATCAATGAAATTAGAAAATTTTAATTAACATCACAGCCTCACCTGCTAGAAAACAAGTTTCTCTATTCCTGGAGCCAAGTCTAGCTCTCTCTCACACATACGCCTGGCTTCTCTTTCTCAATTTAGAAACAACACTGTTATAAGCTTTTGAAATTAAGAACCTGTTTCAAAGCAGGATTTCTCAATCTTGGTGCTACTGACATTTGGGCCAGATAATTTTTTGTTGTGGGGAGGGCTGTCCGGTGCATTGTAGGATGTTTAGCAACCATCCCTGACCTCTACCCACTTGATGCCAGTAGCACCTCTCCCCAAGTGGTGACACCCAAACCAGTCTCAGACATTGCTACATGTTCCCAGGAAGCTGCACGGGAGGAGATGAAAGAAGGCAGGGTTAGTCACTCCTGGCTGAGAAGCAATGATGCAGGCTTATTCCTTCTTAAAAATAGCAGATGCCAAAGACACTGGAGTTCTAAAGATTTGGGAACTGGATGCTGAGTTTTATGTGCATGCCAATCTGTGTATATGTGGTAATCTATGTTTTAAAAACTGAGAAAAGCAGGCAGCTACCACAAGAATGGCCTCAAAGTGATTTTGGGGGCAGAGGGTGTGTAATTATCCTCACTTTTCTCAAACCTTAAAGCAGGGCTTCTCAGCTTCAGCATACTAACATCTGGGTCCAGGGAATTCTTGGTGTGTGGGCCTGCCCAGTGCACTGTAGGGTGTTGAGCAGCATCCCAGGCCTCCTCCCACTAGATACCAGAACCAATCCAAGTTGTGACAACCAAAATGTCTCCCAATATTGCCAATGTCCCCTGGAGGGTGGAGGTGGCCCTGGTTGAAAAGCACTGTTTTCAACAGGAAGATAAATGTTCACAAATCTTTTTATGTAACAGGGGGAATATATTTACCCTTAGGCCAGATAAGTGAGGCCAGTTGAGATCAACTGATTTAAAGCATATTGTCGATTCACACTGATAATTCAATAAATATCAATTATTACTACATTACTTTTCAACAGACAACACTATTCTGAGGACACAGAAGAGGATGAAAGATAGTGTTCTAAAGATAAAGAGTAAAGAAACATACAGGGAGTTAGACAAGGCCAGATGAACAATGGAGATGCCGGAGGACTGTGGAAACTATTGCAGAAGAGAATGGAACACAGCCAGGGTGATTCCTGAGAGCACAATTCAACATGGAATTGCTCTCAGATTAGGATATGGCCATTGCTGCAATTCTTTGGGGCTGGGCCTCAGATAATAAATTGATGCAAACCACTAATATACAGTGCATTGTGTTTTCCAGGTTTTGAAGCACTTCCCACAGATCTGAATGTAGGCATCCTGTTTCCCCCTCAGAGAAAAGGCTCTGGTGGCTGGCCTGGGAGGCCCGCTAACCACCAGCACAGACCCTGGGGGTGAGGTAGGGAGGGCTTTCCAGAGACCTGTCTGTGTGAGAAAACAAAGCAGCCTGTAATCCTTCCAAGACCTATGGAGACATCAGTCCCGCAGGAGGAACTACACCGGGCCCAAGACAGTGAGCAGCTTCCCCGGGTACTCCAGTCAAGCACACGGGGGTCGGATGCCTGCTGAGCAGGTCTAACCTAGAGCCAGATCACTTAATTTCATCCTTTTAGGGCAAAGGGCTGTACTCTCAACATAATCCTAGAATCCCTCTAGATCAGGGGTGGAGAACCTTTGTTCTGCCAAGGACCATTTGGGTATTTATAACATCATTTACTTAATATAATTCACTTAATATAAACTTATGTTACTATGAAAAAATTCCCAGATTTACTGAATTTCAAGTCCCGCCTGTGGTTGCCTTGGCAATGATTTGGCCAGAGGGCAGGATGTTTCCTACCCCTGCTCCAGATGAAATCTTTTCTCCTCGAGGGTTTAGCAATCATCTGGGTCTACAGACTGACCCCAATTGTCTTTAGCCCTAGACAACCACTAGGGTTGTGACTTTTCCTCTTTTTTCTAAAAATATTTTATTGATTTTTTACAGAAAGGAAGAGAGAGGGACAGAGTTAGGAACACTGATGAGAATCATCAATCAGCTGCCTCTTGCACACCCCCTACTGGGGATGTGCCCGCAACCAAGGTACATGCCCTTGACCAGAATTGAACCCTGGACCCTTCAGCCCACAGGCCAACGCTCTATCCACTGAGCCAAACCGGTTTCAGCATGACTTTTCCTCTTAAGGGATAAGATACCAGCTGTGGCCTGGCTGGTGTTCTCACTGGTTAGAGAATCAATCACACACTGAAGGGTCTCGAATTTGATTCCTGGTCAAAGGTGCTTATCTGGGTTGCAGGTTTGATCCTCACCCCATTTGCAGCATGTATGACAGGCAACCAATGGATGTATCTCTTACATTGATGCTTCTCTCTCTCACTCTTTCCCTCCCTCCTTCCATTCCACTCTCTCCAAAAATCAATGGGAAAAAATATACTTGGGTGAAGATTAAAAAAAAAAAAAAAAAAAAAAGATACCAGTTGTGTTATTAGAGATTTGTTTCTCTTTTATCCCAATGGATCTCTTCAAATCAGTACAGTCACGTTTGTCAGCAAGGCCCAAACAATTCCTAAGACTAGCGCTCAGTCCTCCAGGGAGTCTATATCCACACAAACTGCACACTTATGGTTCATAACCTGGGATGCAGGGACCAACAGAATTCAAGGAATCTTAGGCTTCTTGCCCCAATTTCCTACAAAACCTATATAATTGGTTACATGTAAAACACATATGTTTTTGGATTCAGCATTCCATTTCTGGGAATTTATCCTATAAATCCAATCCCCTCTGTGAGCAAAGATAGTGTCTATTCACCGTAGCAGAAAACTACTGGAAATAATCTAAACGACCATCATTAGAGGCCTGATTAAATGAATTATGGTACACTTCATAGGATGGAACACCAGGAACCTACTAAAAAGATCCAAGAAGCTCTAGGGGTTTGTTCTAGTGCAGTAACGCTGGGGCAGGGTGAAGATGGGGTTCCCCAGGGGCAACTAGCAGAGACTGGAGACATTTGTGGATGTCACGCCCCCGGGGGTGCTCCTGGCCTTGAGCCAGAGATGTTGCTCAATATCCCACAGTGCCCAGAATACCCCCTCCCAACGGAGAGTGACCTGAGGTGGAGAATTCTGACACATTTAACCAAACACTCAAAGAACACAGGACTCTGGCGACTAGGAGTGGGGAACTTCCCGCCGTGGGAGAAATCATTCAATCTGGCCCTACCAAGGCACCTGCAGGTAGGACTCGAAATTCAACAAATCCAGGAGTTGTGTTGTTTTTTTCATAGCAACATAAATTTCTTTTAAGTGAATTATATTAAGCCAATGACATTATAAATATTCAAATGGCCCTGGGCAGAAAAAAGGTTCCCCACCCCTGCTGTAGACAATGTTCCCTACCTGTGTGTGTTTTTAAAGGAAAGGCGGACACATATCTTTGAAAAGAGACATAAATCGTCAGTGACAGTCCTTGTCTTAGGGTAGATGGTCTGAACGCCTGACAGACTGGGGTGAGGAACCGACTTTTTACCCTTTCAACTTTGTACCGGTTCCATCCAACGGGTTTTTGTTGTTGGATTTAAAGAACTGATCTAGACACACATTTTTCCTCTTCCTGGACTAGCTGGCAAGAGTCCTGTTTCTTCCCTTTGTCTTTCCCCGTCCCTGCCCTTTTAGAGGGGAGGAAAGGGGGTGGGATCCGCATCCCAGATCAACCTCCGGGGGCCTGTCTGGGGTCTATCCAAGGAGACTGGAGCCCACTAGGCGGGCAGGATCCGGACCACCTCGCACGAAGCCCCCGGCCTTCCTGGGCTCTCCCGACCCAGCGAGGAACACGCGCCAACGCCGCCCCCTTGGTGTCCCCGGCCCGCTACCGAACCAGAGCCGGGCCTAGCCGGGCCCCTCACTCCGGGAAGCCCGGGTCCCGGAGCTCGCCCTCCGCTCACCTGGCTCGCCTTGTAGAACTGCTTCTTCAGCCCCGCCACCGACATTCTGCCTTCCGCCGTCGTACTTCCCGTTGGGACCCAGCGAACTGGAGAAACAGCGCAAGCGACAGGCTCCCGGGCGCCGCCGAGCCCCCGCGCGCTTCAGCTGGCCCCGTCGGCACCGCCTCCGCAGCCTTCACGCCAGCTCCGCGCCGCCCGGGCGCAGCCTCAGCCCCTCTCGCGCCCGCGCGGCCAGGATATTACATGGCAACCGCACACTTCCGGCGCCGACCCGGCCTGAGCGCGCGCACGCACCCAGCCGGCCGGACGGCGCACGCGCACTTTGCCTGTCTCGAGCCTCCGCTTCTGCCAGCGAGTGGACTGGGGAGAGTCTAGAGCGGCCAGAGCGGCTGCAGCGACCCCTAGAAGCCGGGAGGGGGCTCTATCTAACGCCTTGAGAAAGGTGCTTAAACTTTTCTGGAGAGGTTGGGGAAACTGACTGGGTTTATAAATATCCAGATAATTGTTTATTAATCTCAGCTATACTGAATTCCATTATTCAGGTCGTTTAGTCCTTACCATCCTACCCAGAACCCTGCCCCTGTGTTCATCCAATCAGTTGCCCAAGTCAGATGTCAGGGTGTCGCTTCTATCTCCTTTACTCTATCTCCACTGTTCTTCACCCTGACCAAACCAACCACCAACTTCCGCTCTGTTGTACCCATCTTCGGGTTTCCCTCTCCAATTTATCCCCTATCAGGAGCCCAGAAAGATGCTTTTGTAACAGGATTCAGATCACGGTTCCCCGTTTAAAGCTCACCTACTGCCCTCAGAATACACTCCCAACTTCCTAACATGGCCTACAAAGCTTGCATAATTTGGCTTCCATCCACCCGCTGATTTGGGGGCTCTCTTCTTATACTACAGTTCAGGATATCTGTTGCTCTGGGCCTTTGCTAATGTTCCTATCTTGCACATTCTTCCCTAATATTTCTCCCCATTATTTTGTGTATTAAAGAGAAATTTGCTTGGAATATCGCCTCTTCCAATAAGCCTTCCTGTATTCAACATATTTATTGATAGTGACTTTTTTTTTTTAATCCTCAGCTTAGGATATTTCTTTTTCATTGCTTTTCAGAGAGATAGTGCAAGGGAGGGAGGATGAGAGAAAGACAGAATATTTATGTGAAAGAGACACTTCGGCCGAAACCGGTTTGGCTCAATGGATAGAGCGTCGGCTTGGGGACTGAAGGGACCCGGGTTCGATTCCGGTCAAGGGCATGTATCTTGGTTGCGGGCATATCCCCAGTAGGGGGTGTGCAAGAGGCAGCTGATCGATGACTCTCACTGATGTTTCTAGCTCTCTATCTCTCTCCTTTCCTCTCTGTACAAAATCAATAAAATATATTTAAAAAGAGACACTTCGATTGGCTGCTTCCTGGGGACAGGGAGCGAATTGGTTAACCCAGATACCTGCCTTTGACCCAGTATCCTACCCACGACCCTTCTGTGCACTGGCGGATGCTCTAATCACTGGACACACTGGCCAGGGCATACTGATAATGACTTAAAATCAATTTTTATTGATGAAAATTTATTGAGTCCTAGCCAGTTTGGCTCAGTAATTAGAGCATCCGCCCACCGATTGAAGGATCCCAGGTTCCATTCCTGTCAAGGATACCTCCATTGCAGGCTGGGTCCCCAGCCCCTATTGGGTGCATGTTGCATGTGTAAGGTAACCAACTGATGTGTCTCTCTCATATCCATGTCTCTCCCTCTCTCTCTCTCTCCTCCCTTTCACTCTCTCTAACAATCCATGGAAAATAACTTTGTCAATCCTTGGGTAAGGTTTAGCAAAAAATTTTAAATTTAAAACAAAAAATGTATTGAATAAATGGGAAATTAATAATAAGTCAGAATGAGTAAGTTAATCCAAATAGAGGAACAAGAAAGTGACTAGAGCTAAAGTGCTTGCAGCTTCAGTGCTGAAATCTCTGACAGATTTGGGTAATTTTCTGCAGCATAAGGTTACTGGAAGTTTCCAAATGTCTAAATAGTAGGTACTGGACTAGATCAGAGGATTATTTCAGAGTATGCAAGCCCCAACCTCCCCCCTGAAGATCCTGAAGGGGTTATTATGAATGGTTTGAAAAAACACCCAGGTAATAATGATGGGCAGCCTCAATGGTGATTCACTGGTCTAGATCATTGCGTACTGTCAGAATATAATAAGCTGTAATTGCAAAAAAAGGAAAAAAAAGAAAAGAAAAGAAAAGAAAAGAAAAAAGAAGAAGAAGGAGGAGGAGGAGAAAAAAAGGCGTTCTCGCTTCAGCAGCACATATACTAAAATTGAAACGATACAGAGATGGCCCTTGCACAAAGATGACACGCAAATTCATGTAGTGTTTCATATTTTAAAAAAATTGTAGGAACTTCTTGTTGGGGTGCCAGTGTAAGATCTGAAAGTTGGGTGGAAATTAACCAGCACAAGAGGTGCGGAAACAGTTTTCTAGGCAAGAAACATCTTATGCAAAAACCCTGATGATTAAATCAGAAACATCTATTTCATTAATTCCCTCAGAATATGTTTAATGTATATCAAATGCTGCCCAGATTTTATTTTTGTTCATATAAAAAGTAATTTATAATCTTTTTTTAAAAATGTGATTTTATTGACTTTTAGAGAGAGGAAGTGAGAGGGATAGAGATAGAAAAATGAATGGGATAGGCTGCTTCCTGCACGTCCCCTACTGGGGATCGAGCCCGCAACCCCGGCATGTTCACTGACTGGGAATTGAACTACCGGGGGTCAGTAATTTGTAGACTTAATTTGTGTTGCTATATACAGCCGATGTCCAAATAGAATAAACTCACAACTTCAGTCTTCACCTAACTTGCAGTTTCAGGTTGTCACCTGCACCCTACGTAAAACGTTTCGTCATGACGTAAGAGCCTTGGACCGCCCTCCTCCTAAGTCCCACGCACTTAGCCAATCACAGTGTCGATCTCTTGGCTTGACACCTCCTACGCCCAATCGCAGAACACCTTCTTCCCACGGTCCGCCCAAAGAAAGCCCGCTTCTCCGCGGGAATATCAATAGAGGAGCTATGGGAGGAATGGAAGCCACGGATCTCGCGAGGATACTTCCTGCGCTCCCCATTTCCCGAGGCGGGGCCTCACGTGATGCCATCTTGTCCAATAGGCGCACGGGCTGCGGGGGTCGCCGCGGTTCCCGCCAAATACGAGCGCGGCGGCCGCGGCAGGAGCGGCGCGGGCGGGAGGGCGAGCAGGAGCCGCCGCCGGAGCGTAGCCCGCGCCTGCGTCGCCCGAGGGGATCTCGAGCCGCTGCCGGGACGATGCTGGAGGAGCGGGACTGCGGGGCTCCGGGCGCCAGGGCAGCGTCCGCAGGTCGGTTAGGGCCCGCGCGGCGGGGTAGTGGGGACGCGGCGAGCGGCCCTTATGGGCCGATTCAGTGGTTGGGGACAGACGGGCCTCCCGGCCCCAGGACGCTTCTTTGAACCTGATGTTCGGTTGGTGGGGTGGTTCCAATCCCGATAAAAGGCCTTACGATCAAAGGGTGCTCTCCTTGAGGTTATTGTTGGGGCAGCGACCATCCCCTCCCACCCCCCACCCCCCGTGTTTTTGCGTTAAGTTCACTCCTCCGGGGCCCTCTGCGGTGACGGGCCTTTGTGGCCAGGAGAGGAAACTGAGACTCAGGGAGGCGAAAGGGCCAGGTCTGCAGGTTGCGTTTGTGTCCTCTGAGCAAGTTGGACCCTGCAGCCACCCTCTGGCCGGGTGGGGAAACTGATATCCGAGGTCACATGAGCTCGGAGACCGTAACAGTTGTGTCTGATGGTCAGGGCAAGTCTAGGTAAGGGGCCTGCATGGTGGGGATGGTCAGGAAGCTGGGACTCCCGCCTTCTCATCCTGCTGGATATGAAGTGTCTTGGGATGGAGGTTTCTAGTACCCAGCAGGCCCCGGAAACAGGGTGATGAACCAAAGAAGACTAGCTTGCCCACTGACCAGCTTGACTCCTATTTTATCCCCAACTCTTGGCACAATGCTTGGCACATAGTCGGTGCCCGATATGTGTTGGTTGACTGAATTAAGAATTGTTAGGGATATCAACTAGACTAATTCAGGGTTTCTCAACCTCAGCACTATTGACATTTGGGGCCCTCCTATGCACTTAAGGGTGTCAAGCGGCATCCCTGGCCTCCACCCATGAGATGCCAATAACGACCCCTCCTCCCCAATTGTGACAGCCAGATATATCCAGGTATTGCCTAGGATGGGGGTGGGGGTGCAGGACCAATGCTCTAATTGTTTCCAGATTTGGGGATTTCACAAAGTAAAATTCATATAATTAAGTTGGGGAGACTTATTGTCATTGACAGTCATTTGACCCAGTAAGGTTGTTTAATTAAAAAGCAAAAAGAACATCACCTGCTATGACCATTCTGTTATAAAAGGAAAGGATATTTTAATGCCAAGTAGAGGGGTTCTAATGTCAGAATAAAGAGCGGTGGTGAGTTTATACTTATGTGTGTGTTAATTGTGTGTGTATCTTTGAACAGTCTGGATTCCTGGGTGGGATCGCTTTTTAGGTTGATTTGAGCTTCCTTCTGGGCCCACATCACTTCTGTTCCACTTGTATCGAAGCTAGTGACTCAGGACCACACTAGTAAATCCTTGTAATTGTCCTAAAAATAAGTTTAAGTGGCTAAAGATTATATATATTTACTTGAGGTGGAAGGAGTGGGAATCCATGTTTTTGGAAACTGAAAACTTGAGAATGGCATTGTCTTGGAATGGGTAGAAAGGAAGTGAGTCTTCTGGGTACCTTATATTTCAGGCTTGGAGAAGGGAGGGCAGGTATCTATGGACAGCTGAGTTTTTCAGAAAGCCATGGACTGCTTTTAAAAAGTATTCGCTTGTATGCATCTTTTACAAAACGTACATAGATTGCCCAAAATAACCTAGATTTTTCCAAGCCAGACCTCCTGGCAGGTATGAGTTTCTAAACTTATATTTAAAGATACATAGAAATTTTTGCATCATTTTTTAACATTATTAGGTGTTTTTCTTGAGACTTATTTATTTATTGGTGCAGGTAAACTTTTTGTCATCATTATTACTGGTTTTAGAGAGAGGAAGGGAGGGAGAGAGAGAGAAACATCCATGTAAGAGAGAAACAATAATCTCCCCCACACACCCCAACTGGAGCTCGAACCTGCAACCTGTGTATGTGCCTGACTGGGAATCAAACCCATCACCTTTGTGTTTACAGTATGACACTCCAATCAACTGAGTCACACTGGCCAGAGCTTCCTTTATTATTTTTTGACAGTGCTTCAGCTCCTGCCTGACCAGCTCAAAATGCTTTAAGTTGTATTACCTTCATAAACTTATTTTTTTTAAATATAATTTTATTGATTTCAGAGAGGAAGGAAGAAGGAGATAGAAACATCAATGATGAGAGATAATCATTGATCAGCTGTTTGCTGTATGCTCCCTACTGGGGATTGAACCGACAACCTACAGACATGTGCCCTTGACTGGAATTGGACTCGGAACATTTCAGTCCGCAGGCTGACTATCTACTGTGCCAAACCAGATAGGGCCATAAACCCTATTTTAAAAGAAAATAAACCCTATTCTAATTTCTTTTTTTTTTTTTTTTTTTTTATATTTTATTGATTTTGTACAGAGAGGAAGGGAGAGAGATAGAGAGTTAGAAACATCAATGAGAGTCATCGATCAGCTGCCTCCTGCACACCCCCCACTGGGGATATGCCCGCAACCAAGGTACATGCCCTTGACTGGAATCGAACCGGGACCTTTCAGTCCCCAAGCCGACGCTCTATCCATTGAGCCAAATCAGCTAGGGCACCCTATTCTAATTTCATAGAGCTGTTGGATTTCAGGTAGACATTTTGAGTTCCTATTAATGGTGACTTGGGTGATACAGTGTTTTCTTTTCTCTTCCACTACTATTTCCCTCTTCATTGTTGCTGTTACAGTGTTCATTGCTTTCCCCCTATGTGCCAGACCCTGAGTTAGGGGCTCCAGGTACAGTGTAGAAAAGTCTCCCTGCCATCCTATAACTAGCATTCTGTCGGAGACATCATAAACAGTGTAAATTTCAGAGCGATTAATGCCACAAGGAAAATAAACCAAGGAGGTGTGACAGCGTAGAGGCAGGGTTTCTTAACTTACTAACATTTTGGCCATATAATTCTTAGTTGTGATGGGCCATACTGTGTATTGTAGGATTTTCACCCATTAGATGTGAGTGGCAACCTTCCCCCAAGTCATGGCCACCAAAAGTGTCCCTAGACATTACCAGCTCCTCAGGGTGAGGGTGGCAAAGTCACTCCCACTAGGTAACCACTTTGTACATAATAGGTGCTACTTTGTATTTACTTTCATTATTCCCAGCATTTAATAACGTATCCTTTGACACTTTTATTCTCAGTAATGGACTGCAAAGACAGACCAGCTTTTCCAGTCAAGAAGTTAATACAAGGTAACTTTCTGGGAATGGGTTAATATTTGTTCCTAATTTATATCCTTCATTGTCTCCTTAATTCCCCTTGAGCAGAGGTCGTCTGTTGGGGTCCTTAAGCAGTAGGGGAGAAAAACAGTTGCACTTTACATTTGGAAGCCTGGGAATCCATTATATTATTATACCTCTGTTTCCCTGGGTTCCCAGGAACAAATCAGAGGTCACTGCCTTTACAACAGCCTTTCTCTACTTTCCCCCTATTGACATTTTGTAATTTTTCAGGGGTAGGGGACTGTCCTGTATATTGTAGTGTTTAGCAGCATCCCTGATCTCTTCCCCCAAGTCGTAACAACCAGACGTTGCTAGATGTTCCCTAGAGCAGTGGTCACCAACCTTTCGGGCCTCACGGACCACCCATTGGTGACCACTGTCCTAGAGGGCACTGCTGTCCCAGTTGAACTATTGTTGTTCACGGTTTCTGTTTTTTTAAAAAATATATATTTTATTGATTTTCCACAGAGAGGAAGGGAGAGGGATAGAGAGCTAGAAACATCGATGAGAGAGAAACATTGACCAGCTGCCTCCGGCACACCCACTACTGGTGATGTACCCGCAACCAATGTACATGCCTTTGGCCGGAATCGAACCCTGGACTTTTCAGTCTGCAGACTGATTCTCTATCTACTGAGCCAAACCGGTTTCAGTGGGTTTCTGGTTTTTAAAATTTGGTATATTTTTTCCCCCTGTAATAATTTGCCTTCTCCTCTGGCAACTGATAGCAAGTTTGGTGGTGGTAGGAATTGTGTTTAGGGCAGTAATCTCCTGAGGTTAAGATTAGGGGCAAACCATAGGACCCCAGGGCATAATTGCTTTATAGACTATAAAATTATGAAAAGACACATACACACATGCGCACACACACAGCAAGGTTGGATCATTTTGAGCATATGGAATGTTAAAGTATTGATCAATTGTCACTCTTCACACTTTCACTGTAAGGATGGTCTCCTTCTGTCTTTTATTTCAGCCCGTCTACCCTTCAAGCGCCTGAATCTTGCCCCAAAGGAGAAAACCAAGGACGGATCAGACAACACAAGAAGCTCTCCAAGTGCTCCTGCACAAAGTCAAGTCCCCGATGTAGAAACCTCTTTGGACAACTTGGAGAACAATTTTCATATGGGTTCTGACATAGATTTTAGACCAAAACTTGTCAATGGGAAGGGTCCCTTAGATAACTTTTTAAAAAATAGAGTCAAAACCAGTATTGGCGAGACCACAGTCATCATTGATTTGACAGAGGACTCAAGTGACCAACCAGACGACATTTCAGCCTACGATAAACTAAATCCTGCAGCCTGTCCCTCCTTGGAGGAGGCAGTCAATAAGGTCAGAGAAGAAGCTGGAGATGAGGGGGGGCTGCCGAAGGCTAGTCAGAAGGACGAGCTAACATTTTCTGAAGAGACCCTTTTAGACATTCCATGCAAAACAGAGGAGGAGGGTGCTGGCTCAGGGGGCACAGAGAGGAGAGGAGACGCACAGGAAGCACCTCAGAGCTGCCCCAAGTTGACAGATGGTCCAAGAACGTGCTCAGAGAAGGACCAGGACGGTTGGAGCGAAGCTGGAGGCATCTTGTTCAAAGGGAAGGTGCCCGTGGTGCTCTTGCAGGATATCCTGAGTATAAAACCTGGAGCCACGTCTCCAGCCATCCCTCTGGACCAGGGTACGCCCTCCCGGAGGGAAGTGCTAGAGTCTAGCCACGGAGAAGACTCTGTTCTCAGCCATTCCTCCCTGAGTTCTTCCTCTCCTACCAGCTCACCTGAAGGGTGGTGTGCTTCCAAAAATCAGCACAACGGTCCCAGTGCCTTCCCCACCCTCACACCTGTCCGCAGAGTGAGTATCTCCCCAAATCCCAGCGTGTTAGTGCTGATGGTGTTTCTAGTCCAGCCTCTTTTCATCTGGGGACACTATGCCCCTAAGTGGTGGTTAGAGGCTGAGTGAGTGGGGCCACTAACTAGATCTTCTAACCTCTGGTGCAGAATTCTGATTCTTTTCACTATCAAATTCCATCAGAGATATTCTGTGATGAGTACTGTACATTGGGTTGTGTTGGCTGGGTTAATCACCAGTGTGTTGAGGCCATTCTGGTAGTTTTTGTTCACACCTAGTTAGTAGTCTGTCATTTAAACTATTTTAGGAAATGATGGCACTTAGTAGACAACTGTAACGCCTCAGCTACCTCCGATCCTTCTTCCTGTTATAACACAGATTTGTAGGGATGGTAAAGAGTCAGTCAGTGTTGCTGAAGAGACCCCGAGACAGCAAGAAGACTATTATAGAGAATTCTGTAGAGTTAACTCTTGTCAGCATGTCCAACTATCTTTTTTATTGTTAATTCTCACCTGAGGATATTTTTATATTGATTTTTATTTATTTTTTTTAAATATATTTTTATTGATTTTGTACAGAGAGAAAGGGAGAGAGATAGTTAGAAACATCGATGAGAGAGAGTCATCGATCAGCTGCCTCTTGCACACCCCCTACTGGGGATATGCCTGCAACCAAGGTACATGCCCTTGACTGGAATCGAACCCGGGACCCTTCAGTCCCCAAGCCGACGCTCTATCCATTGAGCCAAACCGGACTCGGCTTTATATTGATTTTTAGAGAGAGTGGGAGGGAGAGACAGAGAAACATTGATGTGAAAGAGACACATCGATTGGTTGCCTCTGCTCTCACCCTGACTGGGATCCAGCCTACAACCAAGGTACATACCCTTGACTGGAATCTAGCCCAGGACCCTTCCGTTTGCGGGCTGACACTCTATCCAATGAGCCAAACCAGCTAGGCTGCTAGGGCATGGCACCCATTTTAAAAACCTCTCTCAAAGCATCAGAAACAAAAGGATTTTTAAGGATCACAGAAAGCTGACTGTGTTACTGGGGTCTGAACAGCACAATGGCAAATGCCACTGCTTTCACCGGTCCTTAAAGTCTTATAGATAAAACTGATGAAATCAGTTAAGATTTCTTTGGGAAAGTGTGTCTAAAGATGTTTTGGGTTTTTTGTTTTATTTTGTGGAACCTTAGTTTATGCATCTTAGGTTGTTTTTTATATATAAAGTTGGATCTGTGGTGGATTATTTAATCTCTACCTGCTAAATTTGAAATGTCGCCGGTTCAATTGTCCTGATCACTTTCTGAAATTTGATCTCTAAGACAGCAGTCGCCAACTGGTGGTCCGAGTACCACTTATGGTCCATGAAATCCGAAAGGTTGGCGACCGCTGCTCTATGGAGCTCATTTTTCTAGATGATTCCATTTCTTGTTTTTTATCTCCTAAGTATAGGAGAAAATGGCTTCCTCTGTGGCCTCATAAAATATCAAGAGTAGAGCAGTCTTTTTTTTTTTCTAAGTTTCTCTGTGTGGTAGATAGATTTGCATATTTATTTATTTATTTTTAAATGTATTTTTATTGATTTGAGATAGAGAGGGAAGGAGAGGGAGAGAGAAACATTGCTATGATAGAGAAACATCGATTGGTTGCCTCCCATACTTGCCCTAACCTGGGGATTAAATCTGCAATCTAGGTATGTATATGCCCTAACCAGAAATCAATCAGGACAATTGAACCGGCGACACTTCAGTGCATAGGATGATGCTCAACCAACTGAGCCACAGCGGCCTGGCCTGGATATACATTTTTAAACTTCCACCTGAGCTGTTACTCAAACTCTCAGAATCAGAATTGGAGCCCCTCTTGCTGTCAGCCATATTGGTGGATCCATCTAGTTGGTTGGAATCCTTTCAGACTGATGCTAATTCTTTACAGAACTACTTTTATCACCTGATGTGTCACAGCCAGTTATGGTGGAGAACAGGACATTACATTTTTCTATTCTTTTTTCTTTTTTAATATATTATCAATTTTTTACATAGAAAAAGGGAGAGGGATAGAGAGCTAGATGAGAGAGAAACAACCAGCTGCCTCCTGCACACCCTCTACCGGGGATGTGTCTGTAACCAAGGTACATGCCCTTGACTGGAATCGAACCTGGGACCCTTCAGCCCACAGGCCGACGCTGTATCCACTGAGCCAAACCTGTTTCAGCCATTTTTCCAATCTTAATAGCTTCATTAAGTTAATGCTCATGGCCAAATCTGAGAATTGGGAAGTCACATAGTTGGTCATTGTCAAGAAACAATGTTACTCTGTCCACTGGCCCAGATGGCTGTAAGACAGCTGAGCATGGGAACTAGGTATGGTTAGTTTAGGAAACCTACATCTGAGATGCTAGGTCTTACTTTGAGCACGGGCTTGGGGTTTTGAAATGCTCTAGAAAGCATTGTTATCACAGCTTTGCAAGTGGTGAAGGCTTCTGTCCCAGAGCCTGTGGCAGAAAATTGGGCCATTCCATCGCAAGAGTGGAAGTGGAGCCCCCTGATGTTGGGTGGCACCAAAGGTATGAAAGTGAAATGAGTGGATTTCCTGATTTGCTTGTGCCTTTTATGATTGGTATGTAACTTGAACATACCAAGTTATGTTCCTGCCTTGGCATTTGAGATTTTCCTGATCCCTGTTACTGTGGGAACACTTTGTTTTTCCATTTTCCCTCGCCACGACCTTTCCAGAGTGTAGCCAGACAGACACTTGCTGGAAGCTTAGTGATTGTTTCATATTACCATATAGCATGTGGTTTTTACTGCTCTCTGTTAGTCCTGGAGATGGTACCACTGTGCTTGGGAACTCCTAGGCATTCACTGGACCTTTATTTGTGTGTTGTTATTTTGGTTTTATTTTTTGTTTGTTTGCTTTTCTTGGGAGCTTGTTAAAATGCAGGTCCTGCTGTTCCTTCACAGGGATCTAGAGACTCTCACTTTAGAAAACAGTAGTTTATAACACCTTTTATTACTAGCTTAAAGAGCTTTATTTAGCATTAGGGGTTTTTACCACTTGGTAGAACTATTTCCCAAGTTTGTTTGCAATGAGATGTGCTAATTATTCCACAGATAATAATTCTATCTAATAAAAGAGTAATGTGCAAATTAACCATCACCCCGCTACACCTACCAGCCAATTAGAGTGAGTATGTAAATTAACCCCAACCAAGATGGCTGTGGCCACAGAGAACAGGAGGGAGATTTGGGTTTCCTTCTTAATGGAGGAAGCCAAGCTTTCCACACACCCAGAGGGACCCAGGCCTCCACTCAGTGGTACAAAGTTTCAATTATGGTATAGAAAGTAAATGAATTCCAACAGAAATGGGGCAGCCACTGATCTGGAAGAGCAGGAGGCTAGGGTTGCCCCGGGCGATGGAGGAAGCCAAGCTTCTGCAGCCATGGCTAACTCAGGCCTTCACTTCAGACTACAAAGTTTCAATTATAGAAGATACATAAATTCCAACAGAAATGGCTGCTGCCAGGGAGCAAGCAGGAGGCTTGGCTCCACTCCAGGCTACAAAATTTTAATTGCAGAAAATAAATAAATTCCAGATACCAGGGCCTCTGTTTGGGTCGCTGACCGGCAAACCACCACAGGCTCCTTGCCCAGGCCACCCCATTCCCCTAGGGTACCCCCACCCTGATCCAGGACACCCTTCAGGGCAAACCAGCTGGCCCCCACCCATGCACCAAGCCTCTGTCCTATCTAATAAAAGAGTAATATGCAGATTAACCATCACTCCCAACACACAAGATGGCCAGCAGGGGGGGGGGCAGTTAGGAGGGACCAGGCCAGCAGAGGAGGGAAGTTGGGGGCAATCAGGCTGGCATGGGAGTGGTTAGGGGGTGATCAGGCTGGCAGGCTGAAGCAGTTAGGGGCAATCAGGAAGGAAGGCAGGTGAACAACTGGGAGTCAACAGTCCTGGACTGTGAGAGGGATCCCGGATTGGAGAGGGTGCAGGCTAGGCTGAGGGACACACACACACATACACACATGCACAAATTTCGTGCACCGGGCCTCTAGTGTTGATGTAGTTGTGTTACTGGAATCTTTGCCTTGTCTCTGTACAAATGAGCCCAGCTCACTGAAACTTTTTCATATATATTTTTAACTTTATAAGTATTAAATTCTCTGTGTTTAAAAAAAAAAAGGTATTAAAACATGACAGTCCCCTTCTTCCCCAGGTTGCCATTATCATCTTCACAGTATCGTTTTGTTTTCTTATGTGCGTGTATACTGTAAATTTGTTTCTTTTTCATTGGAGGGTGTCTCATTTTCTATATTGGGATGGGAAAGAGGTATCTTCCTTTAACTGCTGATGATGTGGATATACTGCACTTTACAAAGTCAGTCTCATGTTGCATATTTCTGATGTCTCTAATTCTCTGCCTGTGCAGAATGGTAATTGAGATGGATCCTGGGGCTGTCAGTAGTTTTGTGGGCTCCCATTGAATAATTTTTTCCACTTATACTCAAATATGGCCTGACCAATTTGGGTTGTGCCTTGTCCTGCTGTTAAATTTTCAGCTGCTGTGGCTGCTGAGCCCATCATTCCAGCCTTCTCATCTCATTCACTGTGTATCTGCTCTGAGCTTAGAAATTCGATCTTAAGTATAAGGAGAGCAGAATAAACAGGATTCTCATGAATAAAGTAGAAATTTTAATGCACACACATGGTTAAATCTGCTTCTACTAGAGGTAGTTGGTGTATGTTTCAGCCTCCTTCTGGGATCCTGGGTTTTGTTTTTGGCAGTTGTTTTGAGAGATAAAACATGGCCCATGATTTTGAGAGAGAGTTCTATAAATACTTATGCCATGTGTCACAAAGATAAAATCATATTAGACTGTCTCCCAGGTGTCTAGTAAAGATACTAGTTTTATATGAAATTAATTGCTGAGGTTGTTGCATGTCATTACAGTGGCTCCTGATATTCATGTTAATTCTAGTATTCCTGGACTCACAGCAAAGGGGAAGCCATGTAAAAGGCACTAGATTCTGCAGCTGAAATTCCACAAATATGGGCAAGACTAAGTATGTTCCACCTTCCATCACCTCTCCCAAATACTCATACATGAGTCTGGAAATCACATCCATTATAATCTTTGAACACAAAATAAAGACCAATAACAGAGAAATATAGCAACTTACAAATTCTGCTGTTAAATCGTTTACTGTGGGGTGAAGCCTCACAGGAAGCAGCCAATTGATGATTTTCTCTCATCGCTTTGATTAGAGAATGAACCCATGACCTCTTGGTTCCTGGGTGGATGCTCAACCACTGAGCCATGCCAGCTGGGCATGTTCACATTTTAATCAGAGATCAGTTGGCCAGCATGAATCCAACCATGTGTCGAGAAGTCCTTGTCACCACTCTTAGTTTGAACCAGGGTGATAGAAAAAGCTATGCTCTGGTATATAAGGATTTTTAAATAAACAAATAAATTGTGTGTGTGTGTGTGTGTGTGTGTGTGTGTGTGTGTGTGTGTGTGTATTATTGATTTCAGAGAGGGAGAGAGATAGAAACATTAGTGTTGAGAGAAAATCATCGATTGGCTGCTTCCTACAGGCCTCCCACTGGGGATTGAGCCTGCAACCCAGGCATGACCTTCTGGTTCATAGGTTGATTCTCAACCACTGAGCCACATTGGTCAGACTAGAACATAGGAATTCTAGATCAGATTGCCTCCTCTGGCAAGTTGACCTTTTTTCTTGAGCATTCGCTTTACATTCTAAAAACAGAACTGCACCAGGCAGAGAGAACAGATTGGTGGCCCACAGGAATTTAGCCTGTAAACATGTTTTATTTGATTCACATAGTGTTCCTTTTTAGACAAAATTTACATAAAATTGACAATTCTCTCCCATAAGAGCTCCATCCTCTTTGGCCAGGCTATGTCCTTTCTAGTTGGCTACAAATCATACCACTCCGTGTTGTCTGCATTGCTTCTATTTTCAAGCTTGCCTTGTTTTTCTTGTGCTTGTCCATTCCCCACCCCGCAAAGCCGTCATTCATTTGTGTCTCTGCTTCTCCCATCTTACCTCTCATCCCTAGGTGCACACATTGTAGTTTATGACCCCACGAAGATATTTTGGTTCTGTAGGATAAAAACTGTCACCTGGAAATATTTTCATTTTTCTTGTTTTGCAAATAAGTCCTTAATAGTGTGGGTCACTTGTTCCCTTGTTCCCTCTCCCCAAAGGACAGTGGAATGTGTTAAATAAGTTAAAGTGACTGAAACAGTCCACATTTAAAGATAAATGTCTTTCATTTCAGATAACTAAGAAACTGGTCAAAGATTCTGCCGAGAAGAACAAGATGAGACTACAAAGAGTAAGACTTTTTCTCTGAAATAAAAAATTAACTTGTGCTTTTCGTATTAAATATAAGCTAAGCCCTTTGCCCTTACATCAGCCCATTTATTACCTCTACCGGCTTATCCTGACCCTCATTGTAACTCTTGCTTCATTTTACATATCTGGGCTTGGTAGAGTGCATCATTTTTAGCTTTGTGGATGCTTAAGGCTTTGCATGTAGACTTTTCTAAGCTTTCATTATTATCATCATCATAATTATGTACCCTATTGTAGCTTAAAATTGTCTTCACAAGAACCTAGTCCCTTTCCTTGCATCCCAGGTTTCTACAAATAGATTTAGGTTCCATTGCTTCCCCTACACTCAGTGGGTGATTACTTCTTAGTGATTCACTGCTGAGTCATGGATTCTGTTATCTGGGGCTCACATTTCACACACATCAGTGCAGGGGCCTTCTTTCTTATTGCCATGAGGAACAGAAGGCCACTGGGTTTCTGCCTCCCGTGCCAGCTCACGGAATGGGCACTGATTGATGACAGTTGGCTGTCTATTCTCCAGGTGCTTCATGTGCCGTCCATCTATGGCTGTGCTTGCTTTTTGTAGGTCCAGTTTTGATGGCTTCTTTAGAGTGTATCTCATTCTCCATTGAGTGGGAGTGGAGCCGGGACTCAAGTATGGCTATGGCTAGAGACCTGGTTTACCTGATTGACCCGTGATTTACAGAGCCCTCTGTCTTATAGAGCAGAGGAGAGGTGCTAGTCTCATTAATAGATCCAGACCAGGCACCTTTTTAAGTATCCTGTGTGTCAGGTGAGAATTGAACATTCAAACATCTCTAACTGCCTTCGTGGCTTTTTTTTTTTTTTTTAATTGTTGTTTTATTGTTGAAAGTCATATATATATATATATATATATATATATATATATATCCTGTGGCTTTTATTAAATCTCTGTTTATCAGGACAGAAAATAGAGCCCTGGCTGGTTTGGCTCAGTGGATAGAGTGTCGGCCTGCAAGCTGAAGGGTCCTGAGCTCAATTCCAGTCAAGGGCACATGCCCGGTTGTGGGCTCAATCCCCAGTGCGGGGGAGGCACCCAATCAATGAATCTCTTATCATTGATACCTCTCTCTCTCTTCCTGCCTTCCTCTCTGAAATCAATAATATGTATTTTAAAATAAGGACAGAAGGTAGCATATTTTCTAAAGACAAAGCATACACCCAGACTGATCGTTTGTTGGGCTCCCCACCTTTGGAAGACCGTCTTTGGTAGTAGTGTAATGATCCTTAAAAGTTACCCAGTGCTAGAAACTAACTGCTCTTCTGGTCATAAATTCAAGATTCTTTAGTAACTCAGTGCCTCGAACTGCATGCCAGTTCTTTGGAATGAGGCTCTGATGTGCTAAAATAAGGCATTACCGCTTTAATCAATATCAAAGACATTAGCTACTTTCTTCTTAGTAATACAAATTACTCTTTGTCCTTTCTTCACATCTTTCTTTTCAGATCCTGAGAAATTGTTTTAAAGATTAAAAATAATACTTTTTTCTTTGCTTTTATTTTTTATGGTTATCATCTATTCCCAACTGCCTTAAGATTGTACCCATCAGGTTTCCAATCCTTGCCTCTTCCAATCTTCCATTTTAAAGAAATAAAATAAACCTTGTCATCTGGTATGATTTTGAGGGTATGGAAAGAAAAATACTTTTGTGTCTGGCCAATATTGCCCAATGGTTGCGCCTTGACCTATGCACCAGGAGGTCATGGTCAATTCCCAGTTAAGGTACATACTTGAGTTTCAGGCTTGATCCCCAGGGTGGGGTGTACAGAAGGCAGCTAATCATTGATTTTCTTACATCATTGATGTTTCTATCTCTCCCTATCCTTTCCTCTTTCAAAATCAATAAGAACATACTAATAAAAAAGAAAAAAAAAAGCTTTTGTTTTAAGGCAGAGATGCGAAACCTATAGGTGTTTCTGTCTTCGTCTTGGCACAGATTTTTTTTTTTTTAAAAAATTATTAATTTAAGGGGGAAAGTGAGAAGGAGAAACATCGATTGTTGTTCCACTTATTTATGTATTTATTGGTTGATTCTTATATGTGCCCTGACCAGGGATTGAACCTTCCCTTTCCTTTCCTCTCTGAAATCAATAAAAACATTTAAATAAAATACTTTTTTTAGGGTATTTTAAAATATATATATATATTTTTATTACTCTAACTGGTTTGGCTCAGTGAATAGAGTGTCGGCCTGCAGACTGAAAGGTCCCAGGTTCGATTCCGGTCAAGGGCATGTATCTTGGTTTCAGGCACATCCCCAGTAGAGGGTGTGCAGGAGGCAGCTGATTGATGTTTCTCTCTCATTGATATTTCTAATTCTCTATCCCTCTCCCTTCCTCTCTGTAAAAAATTAATAAAATATCCTTTAAATACACACACACACACACACACACACACACACATTGATTTCAGATGGGAAAGGAAAGGGAGAGAGAAATAGAAACATCAATGATGAGAGAAAATCATTGATTGGCTGCCTCCTGCACACCCCCAACTGGGAATTGAGCCAACAACCTGGGCATGTGCTCTTTGCTAGAATCGAGCCCAGGACCCTTTAGTCCGCAGGCCGACACTCTTATCTCCTGAGCTAAACTGGCTAACACAAGAAACTGTTTTAAATGAATCTTATTTTGAATGGCCCACAAGATCCTGTAACAATAGCTAATTCTCACAACAGAAGGGAATATACGGATGTTGACCATCAAGCTTCTTCTAGAGCTAGTTCCTTCATTCTTTCCCTTTCTTTTCTTTTCTTTTCTTTCTTTCTTTCTTTTTTTCTTTTTTTTTTTTTTAATTCTTTATTGATTTCAGAGTGGAAGAGAGAGGGGGAGAGATAGAAACATCAATTATTGCCCTAGCCAGTTTGGCTCTGAATAGAGCACTGGCCTTTGGACTTAAAGGGTCCCAGGTTCAATTCCGGGCAAGGGCATGTACCTCAGTTGTAGGCTCCTCCTCGGCCCAGGCCTGGTCAGGGAGCATTCAGGAGGCAATCAATCAATGTGTTTCTCTCACATGGATATTCCTCTTGTCTTTCCTTTCCTCTTCCACTATCTAAAAATCAGTAGAAAAATATCCTAAGGTGAGGATTAAAGAAAAAAAAAAAGAAACATCAGTGATGAAAGAGAATCCCACTCTGAGGATTAAGCCTGCAACCTGGGCATGTGCCCTGGTTGAGAATTGAACCGCTACCACCTGGTTCATTGGTCGACGTCCAACCACTAAGCCACACCAGCTGGGCCATTCTTTCCCTTTCTGGCTAAACATATTGTCCCCATCATGCTGACCTGACCCTTCCCGGGAGGTCTGCAGGGACACAGCTGTCCAATTGTCTCTTGGCTGTAGGATAAGGAGCGTTTGGGCAAGCAGCTGAAGTTACAGGCCGAAAAAGAAGAAAAGGAGAAGCTAAAGGAGGAGGCTAAGCGTGCCAAGGAAGAAGCCAGGCGGAGGAGAGAGGAAGAGAAAGAGCTAAAGGAGAAGGAGAGGCGCGAAAAAAGGGAGAAGGAAGAGAAGGAGAAGGCTGAGAAGCAGCGACTCAAGGAGGAGAGGCGTAAGGAGCGGCAGGAGGCCCTGGAGTGAGTGTCCTCCCAGGTGGCCTGAGCACTCTGTGGCCAGGCCGCTGCCCCTTCCCTCTCTTTCTGTATCTCCCCTCTCCTGCCTCTGTCTTCCAGGGACGCCTGTGCAGACCCCAAGTGACTTACGGGTTCTTGTCCAGGAACCACAGGCTTTGTTTGTGTGCTGGGGGCACTGGTTGGCTAAAACTGAATTTTATGTCCCACAGGGCTAAGCTGGAGGAGAAGAGGAAAAAGGAAGAGGAGAAACGGCTGAGAGAAGAAGAAAAGGTAGACATCCTCCCCAGAACCTCCATATTCTAGTCTGTTTGAGAAGTAGATCCTGCAATCCTCATAAGCAGGATTTTTGCCTATTGCTGCTCTATGTTCCCTAGATCATGAGAAGCTCACTGGCCCCACAGGGACTGGCATGTGTGTGTACACATGTTTCTGTTGATTGTTGTCATGCTGGCTTATCACATGCCTGCTGGCTAGACATCGGGCCTTTCTGTCTACAAGAGCACCTCTGACGCTTTAAGATTGCTTGGTGTACCCAGTTGAGGGTTGATGGGTTTTGAGAGCTATCTTCAAAATAATGCTTTCAACTTAAAAATGTTCAGGGTTTGCCCTGGTTGGTATAGCTAAGCAGTTAGAGCATCGGCCGGAGCACCAAAAGGTTATGGGTTCATTACTCAGTCAAGGGCACATACCTGGGTTGCAGGTTAGATACCTGGCCCCAGTTGGGCACATAGGAGGCAACCAATCAGTGTGTCTCTCTCACATCAGTGTTTCTTCCTCTGTATCTCCCTCTCTTCCCCTCCCCCCCTCCCTTCTACATTCTCTAAAAAGCAATGGAAAAATATCCTCTGGTGAGGATTAAAAAAACACACCACAAGGTCAGGGTTTAGTTCTAGGGGACTTTGTGATTTTGAAAATACACCGTTTCTTTTTATTTCTTCATCTTCTATTCTATTGCAGCGCATTAAAGCAGAGAAAGCTGAAATCACGAGGTTCTTCCAGAAACCAAAGACTCCACAGGCCCCCAAGGTGAGCAGCAGCTTTATTTAGCCCTGCTTTTCATCTCTGTCAGGCTCTTATTTTGGGGAAACCAAAAGCTTTTTTCTGACCAGAAGGCCTCCACTTGCACAGGGAGCTTCTATTTCTGGTAGGGCCTAGAGATTCTCGCTATGTCCTTGAAAAGCAAAAAAGTGGCACATTTGCTAATAAGACCTGTTGTGTGTTTAGGGATCGCTTCATGAAAACTTTTGTGTGAGTCGCTGTATGGGCTGGGTTAAGAGAATACCTAGTCCTTACCCTCTGGACTTCATGCACAAGATGGGAAGCAAGGTCAAACATAAGACAAGAGCCCAGAGTTCTGCTTCCCCGTCTGGCATCCAGTCACCCTCTGAAATAGCTGCTTGTGCAGATCCCAGATCCTGCCCCCTTCTCTTCTCCCTCCATGCTCCAGAAGTAAACCATCTTCTCCAATGCAAGAGTGTCCTTCCAGATCTTTCTTTATTTAGATCCCTTTATATATTTGTGCATTTGTATACACATACTTCAGGATCACTAAGAATATGTGATGTTACTGCATTGTTTGCATAGCTGTAACTTGAATTTTTGCCAGGTCGGCACATTTGTGTCTATCCCAATCTTTTTTTTTTCTTTTTCTTTAAATATATTTTATTGATTTTTTACAGAGAGGAAGGGAGAGGGATAGAGAGACGTCGATGAGAGAGGAACGTCGACCAGCTGCCTCTTGCACACTCCCTACCGGGGATGTGCCCGCAACCAACATACATGCCCCTGACCGGAATAGAACCTGGGACTGTTCAGTCTGCAGATCGACGCTCTACCACTGAGTCAAACCGGTTTCGGCTATCCCAGTCTTTTTTGTTGCTCTGTAATGTCTCATAATGTGGCTGGTATCATGCCTCTGCTCAGGTGCCTTCCTTTTTATTGCTATATGAGACAGTGGAAGGAAGAAGGGAGAGAGAGAGGGAGAGAGGGAGACAGAGAGAGAGAGAGAGAGAGAGAGAGAGAGAGAGAGAGACCGACCAATTGGCTGCTTCCTGTACCCAATAGGTGATTGAACCCGTAACCTGGGTATGTGCCTTGACGGGCAATTGAACTGGCAATGTGATGGTGCCCAACCAACTGAGCCACACTGGCCAGGGCATGACTTTTCTTTGACCTTAACCATCCTGATGGGTAAAAAATGGACTTTTTTTTTTAACTTTACATTTTTCCATGATGTGTAGTGTAGTTGAGCATCTTTTTAAATTTGTTTGCCATTGTAGTTCTTTAATAGGTTTGGCTTTTTGTCTTGATCTCTAGGAGTTATTTATATGGCCAGGATTTTTATCCTTGGTGATATATACCACAAATGCATTCAACCTGTTAACTTGCCTTTTAACTTGTTTGTTATAATTTTTTTTTATTGATTTTTTTTTTATAGATAGGAAGGGAGAGGGATAGAAAGCCAGAAATATCGATGAGAGAGAAACATCAATCAGCTGCCTCCTGCACCCCTCCCACCAGGGATGTGCCCGCAACCAATGTACGTGCCCTCAACTGGAATCGAACCGGGCTGATGCTCTATCCACTGAGCCAAACCGTTTCGGCTTGTTGTAATTTTTTTGTTTTAATGTCAGCATTTTTATTTTATGGCATTTGGCTTTTGGTTGGAAAGTCTTAGCTATCCTATGGTTGTAGATACATTCTAATTTTTTTACAGGTTTTGTTTTAATTATTTTACTTTGGGGTTTTTTTTTTTTGTTTGTTTTGTTTGTTTGTTTTGTTATGTCTAATTCCTTATCCTAGCTGTAATTCTCTATGCCTGTGGTTTGGGGCAAGGCCGATTTTCTCATATGGGTGCCCAGTGTTCCTAGTACCTGCTCATTAGTGAGAATAGTCAGCTGGTTCTTGTCCTCTGTGCATGTTGGCGTCACCAGCGAGCTTTAAAGAACGCTGGGCTTGGCTCCCATCCCAGAGAACAGGGGCCTGCTGTGGGCTCAGGATTTCTGACAGTCCCCAGGTGATCCTGTGTAGAGCCAGGATGAAGCCATTGGCCTCAGTTGTTCTTTCCTTGCTGATATGAAACACTGGCTTTCTTACATTGAACTTAGATGTCAGCTGACCTTCTGACTTCCCATGCCCTTGTGTGCTGCCAGCTTTGGGTTCCATTGACATAGACATTACAGATGCTGAAGGAGCCGGCTGGCATTGCTCAGTGGTTGAGCATTGACCTATGAATCAGGAGGTCACGGTTTGATTCACAGTCAGGGCATATACCCAGGGCTCAGTCCCCAATGTGGGTGTGCAGGAGTCAGCCAATCAGTGATTCTCTCATCATTGATGTTTCTATTTCTCTAGCCCTCTCCTTTCCTCTCTGAAATCAATAAAAATATATTTAAAAAAGAAGAAGAAAGAAAGAAAAATATGTGGAAGGAGCCTGCAGTGTTTCCATTATTCCTGCTGGCTCCCTCATAGACAGTCTCCTCCTTCCCCCACCAGCCCTTGCCACCACTACTCTGTCCCTGGAATTTTACTTGTTCCAGACACCTGTCATCACACAGCACCTCTTCTTTGACTTGCCCACCACAAGGGATCTGAAATGCAATGTGCTGCGGCTCACCCATGCCCCTGCTGCTGGCGTCCATTGCCCAGGCGTGCCATCACATCTCATTTCCGTTTCAGACGCTGGCCGGCTCCTGTGGGAAGTTTGCTCCTTTTGAAATTAAAGAGAACATGGTCCTCGCCCCTTTTTGTCGGACCACCTTTGACCAAGACCTCTGTGATCAGTTAGACCAGCTCATGCAGCAACAGAATGGCGACTTCTCCTTCCTAAAAGATCTAAAAGGCCGGCGGCCCCTCAGGTCTGGACCCACGGTGGTTTCTAACCGGAATGCGGACATTTTTAACAGGTTAGTACCCGAGAAGACTGTCTTGTGCCCATTGGTGAAGTCAGAGCACAGCTGGCAGAACTCTGAATTCTGGTTCACGGCTGACCCTTTCCAGACCTCAGACCCTAGCTTCAGTGCTTTGCCTCATCTCTCTCCTGGCTTCCTGTGAGCCTTCGAAATCTCTGGGAGTGCTTTTGGAGTCCCGGTGTTCCAGTCTCTCCTGGGAGGGATCCATTTCCATACTGGCCTCCCTGGAGGGGTGTTTTCCTGTTCTGCTGATTCACTTACTCTCCATAACCTGCTCACAGACATGCCATGGGGCAGCAACATGGTGGCACTTGGTTTCTCCCTCCTTGCTTTGTGTCTCTGGAGTAAATGTTCCCTTAGCCTTCTTCAGGAATACATGCTGCTGCTGCTGCTTAATGGTTACCTGCCTTTGTAGACTGTTGGTGACCTTCCATGGGAAGATGGGGTGACCGCATCACCAGGGAGGCATATGACTGAGTGCAGTGTCTTACTCCTCAGTGATGTGGTGATAGTGGAAAGCAGCAAAGTAGATGGCATTCCTGAGAGGAAGAAGTTTGGCAGGATGAAGCTCCTGCAGTTTTCTGAGAATCACCGACCAGCATATTGGGGGACATGGAATAAGAAGACAACAGTCATCCATCCAAGGGACCCCTGGGCCCAAGACAGGGTGAGCATGCAAGCAGAAGTGCCAGTGGTCTGGACACATCTGTATTTCTGTGTTTCCTTCTCATTGTGCCTTTACACTGGTCTCTTTAATTCCCTGAGTATTTTTTTCCTGCTCTGCCCTTTCATCCCAACCCTGAGAGGTGGCAATGACGCACTGCATGTCTGTTTTCTCAGAAGCTTCTGGATTACGAGGTGGACAGTGATGATGAGTGGGAAGAGGAAGAGCCAGGAGAGTCTCTCTCTCACAGTGAAGGGGTGAGTGCAGACCTAGAATGATTGCAGCTCCCATCAGAGGACCGCAACAGCCCTAGGCTGAAATCCTTTACATAGTTTCTGTGTCACCTGCAGACTTGTCTAAAAATGTCAGCCAGCAGTTTCCATCTGGACTCCCAACTTCTCTTGGAATACCTTATTTGGCAACACTAACCACTCGCCTAGCAGTCTGGGTTGTTACTGAAGCAGTATTGCCCTTTCTAGATAGGGCACATCCGATCTCTAGTTCACACAGGTCCCCGCCACTGTCTCTTGCCTCATTGGGTGAATTTATTTACTTGTTTGTGTTCTCCCCCTCCCACACCCCATCCTCATGGTGTCCATAGGAACAACAGCAGTAGATGGCTTTTTTTTTTTCCTTAGACATATACAGATTTAAATTTTTAATGAAGCATGTATTCTGTTTCCATGTGTGAACATACTTTTTTTTTTTTTTTTTTTTTGAGGATGATGATGATGAAGTAGAAGACGAAGATGATGATGATGGGTTTTTTGTGCCGCATGGGTACCTGTCTGAGGATGAGGGAGTAACTGAGGTGAGTGGGTGCACAGGAAATTGACTGGCTCAGAGACTGGAGCTTGGTAGCTGCCTGGGGACAGTGCTCAAGGGTCGCAGCCCTTTCCTGGGCTGGTCCCACATGTATCTCACTTCTCATAGCCAGGAAGGTGAGCCCCAGTGTGTGGTTGGTTATGGAAATGCTAGAACCTGAGCTGGAGTTTGTCTGGAAGGGTGGGAGAATTTGCAAAGGTGAGAGAAAATTCACTGTGACGGAAGGGCATGAGAAGAAACCTGGTCAGAGTTACTGTGGTTTGTAGGTCAGCTCACCAAACTTTTTTTTTTAACATTTGTTTCGCTGAAATGTAATTAGCATACACTTATTCAGTTTAATGGTTTTAATAATTGACAATATTTGTGAAACCAGCAATAGATATAAAATACAGAAGTTTCCATTTTTCCAGAAGGATCCCCTATTTCCCTTTGAGTTTACCCCACCAACAACAACTTTCTAAATTTTGCCACATGGTTAAACTTCTGAGTAAGCCATTTTTAGGACTCCAAAGGCCTATAGTTTATAAAATGATTCTGACTCAATGTCATACTTGAAGGGCATGTGTCTCATACACATTTCCAACCAATGAGGCAGGCTGGTGTACCCATAAGCATATCTGCCTTAGAGAGTGGTACCGTCTGGTGTGGGAGATGCCCAACCCTGTGTCTGTTCTGGGCATGTAATTTCGACTTGATTCAACAGCTTCCAGGATGACATTGTTAACATGAAAATGAAGAGAGAAGGTAAGAGGCCTCTTGTATACCTACGACCTGTAAGTCATAGCCAGACAGGATAGATGTTTCTGAAATACCAGATCTGTCAGTTACCATTCATTCCAGAAAAACTCTGTGTGTTTCATCTCCTGTAATGTTAGAAAAGGGACAACTAGGACATGGTAAGATCCATAAAAATGTTGCTGCCTGGCTCTGGCTGTTAATAACTGTGACCCATATGCTCTTTCCTGCACTGTCCCCGAGGCTGGGGCTGCAGAGCCTGGGACAGAGGGCCGATCGGAACCCTGAGTAAGCACCTGTTCTCTTACCTGCAAGGAGTGTGCTGACCCTGAGAACCACAAGGTCCGCCAGAAGCTGAAGGCCAAGGAATGGGACGAGTTTTTAGCCAAGGGGAAGCGGTTCCGCGTGCTCCAGCCTGTGAAGATCGGCTGCATCTGGGCAGCGGACAAGGATGGCAGCGCCGACCTGAAGGTGCTAGAGCAGTTCACCGCATGCCTTCTGGAGACAGTTCTCCCTGAGGAGGAGCAGACACCTAAAGCCTCCAAGAAAAAGAAGAGGGACCAACACAGTGAGTGCTGGCTTGGGGCCAAGAGGAAGGGGTCGGGCTCCCAATTGCTCTGAGACCCAGATCTGTCCAGGGCCAAGGACAGGCAACTTCTTAGGCGAGTGAATTAATAATTTAGAAGTTATTTCAACAAATCACAAAGGCTAGCTAGTACCACTGGACACAACTATTTCTTTGATATTCACAACAGCAGAACAAGGCAGCTAGTTTAATTAGGCCAGTTTACTAATAGGGACACAGGCCCAGAGTGCTTGGCCCAGGTCACAATCATTCCTAACTCCTGTGCCTCCTCACTATTCAGAGCTGGGGAGGACCAGTGGCTCAAAACGAGAGCAGGATGATCATTACTAAGGAAATACAGGTGCATAAAGTAAGTTGCGATGGTTTTATCTGGATGAAAGTTGTGAAGTCTGGGCTTCACAGAATCTCTTCCAGATCAAGTTCATATGTCTTAAATCTGTCCTTAAAAGGCCATCTGGAACTGAATGTATTTATTGCTACTTTCCCATGTCTGACACCCACTCATGTCTTCTCCTCTCCCTGCCAGTCTTGGCCCAGTTACTTCCGCTGCTGCACGGGAATGTGAATGGAAGCAAAGTGATCATCCGGGAATTCCAGGAATGCTGCCGCCAAGGACTGCTTGGCAAGGACACTAGCAGTCCTGAGAGCAGCTCCGCCAGCCCTCCAAGTCCTGGCTCTTCCCGCCCGCAGACCCCCACCTCCAGCGAGGACAATGCCGTCCCCTCCAAGGCCAGGCTTAAGCGTATTATTTCCGAGAACTCAGTGTACGAGAAGAGGCCTGATTACAGGATGTGCTGGTACGTCCACTCACAGGTGCTGAAGAGCTTTGATCAGGAGCACCTGCCCGTGCCGTGCCAGTGGAGTTACGTCACTATGGTGCCCTCAGCTACCAGGGAGGACAGTGGCAGCACCCCCACCCCAGGGCCCAGCCAGGGGACACCCATCTCGCTGAAGAGGAAGTCAGCAGGAAGCATGTGCATCACTCAGTTCATGAAGAAGCGCAGGCATGACGGGCAGGTGAGCAGTGGGTGCTGCAGGGCCTGGGCGGGGCAGGGTGTTATTCTTACATTCACAGCAAAATTGTGGCAACAGAATTGTTCAGAATTGAAGGGGAAGGTATAGAGATTTTCCATATTTCCTACCCCTCAACACACACATGCACAGCCTTTCTGGCATCAACATCCCCCACCAGAGCCCTATGTTTGTTAGAGTTGATGAACTCACGTTGACATGTCATTAATATCCCAAGTCCATAATTGACGTTAGGGCTCACTCTTGGTGTGTTACATTCTGTGGGTCTGGACAAATTTGTAAGATGTATCCACCATTACAGTATTACACTGTATAGTTTCATTGCCCTAAAAATGTTCTCTTCTGCCTATTCATTCTCCTCCCCTCCTAACCCCTGGCAACCACTGATCCTTTTACTGTTTCCATAGTTTTCCCTTTTCCAGAATGTCACATTGTTGGACTCATACATATAGGCTTTTCAGATTGTCTGTATCACTTAGTTGTATGCATTTAAGTTTCCTCATATATATATATATATATATTTTTTTTTTTTTATAATATATTTTATTGATTTTTTACAGAGAGGAAGGGAGAGAGAGAGAGAGCTAGAAACGTCAATGAGAGAGAAACATCGACCAGCTGCCTCTTGCACACCCCCTACCGGGGATGTGCCCACAACCAAGGTACATGCCCTTGGCCGGAATCAAACCCGGGACCTTTCAGTCCGCAGACCGACGCTCTACCACTGAGCCAAACCAGTTTCAGCAGTTTCCTCATATCTTTTCATTGCTTGATGGCACCTCAATATGTGGTCCTCTCTTTAGGTTGGCATCTCACAGTTATAGATTTTAATGAAGGTGTGATAGTCGGGTCTCCTGCTCCAATCAGCCCTTTTCAGGAGAGCAAGCTGCTCTGGGAGCTGTGCTCTGAAGGCTGTGGCAGTGGTGACAGAGGAGGAGAGTTGGTATATGCCCCTTTTACTCCCCGCTCCCCTTCCCTGATCTGATATGTTACTCTGAGGCTTAGAAAATAAAATCAAGGCGAGGAGGCAAGAGAAATTGCTTCTGGGATGTGACAGTAAACCTTAAACTGGCACAGCAGAGGGACTATCGGAACAGATCAATATCATCTTGACATTCCCCAGAGCCCTATCCATGAGCATTTGTGTGCACAGCTCTGGCTGCCAATGGCTGCAGCTTGGTGCCATGGGGAACCCAGTGGATGAGGAGAGGGCTCTAAATCCCCAAACACTTTCCACCCTGGGCCTTGGCCCAAAATGATGGGCTCCATTAGACCCGTTAGTGTTTGAGCTGCACACTACCTTTTGTGGTTGATGTTGCTAACCCAGTCTCGGAAGGAACCCACATGTGGCTGTTCTGGTTGAAACAAGCTGGGGACTCTGATTGGAAAACGTGTGGTATTGGAAGACACCTTTTGTGTGAACTCATCAGTAGCATCCCCAGGCCTCTGCCCCATCAACCCTCCCTCAGTCACCTTCGTGCCGTGGCCTGCTTCGTTGGGGTGGGGTAGAATCCCACACAGTGTAGTGTGGGGGCTCAGCCGCATTTCTGAGCTTCACTTCCCTTGTTAACCTCATTTAGTTTCCCTACAGGAAAAACTGGTTTTGTCCCATTACGTTCCAGGCACTGTGCTAGGCATCTTAAGTGAATTCCTGTGTTTCAATGGTGATAAGAAGCTTCATTCTCTAATTGAACCTCCAGGAAATTAAACCAGGGAGTGCTCTCCCAATTGAGAGATAGATATGGGAGAAAGCATGTGCCTGGGAATCAGTGAAATGGGACATGTCACTCGATACACATGTAGCAGCAGTCCAATGTATGGACTCCATTCCCAGTTACAGAAGCACTGCCCGGGAAGGGGTTAAAACCTTAGGAGATCTGGGTATGCTGGCCCCCACAACTGATTGAATAGGTGGTAGGGGTTAAAGTCTGCATTTTAAAGCCCCTTCTCACCGCCCTTTGGGAAGGGTCTAGGTCCATAGCGTGCGTAGGGCAGCAGAGTGGGTGCTGGCTTGTTTTTTTTTTTTTTTTTTAAATATATTTTTATAGATTTCAGAGAGAAAGGGAGAGGGAAGAGATAGAAACATCAATGATGAGAGAGAATCATTGATTGGCTGCTTCTTGCACGCCCCCTACTGGGGATTGAGCCTACAACCCAGGCATGTGCCCTTGAGCATGGAGCCTTCAGTCCTTGGACTGATGCTCTATCCACTAAGCCAAGCCACCTAGGGTAGGGTGCTGGTTCTTTGGAATGATCTAGAAGTGGATTTGTGGGCATTTAGCCTCCCCCCTGCTCCTTGGAATGTGCAAGTTTGGATACCCTGCTTGACAGCCCTGGGTCCCCAGGACTATGTCTGGCCTCAGGTAACAGAGCTCCTATTTTGTGGGTGTTTACCTTCAGCAGCTAGCCCTGAGCTCATATAATATCCTAGTCCAGTAGCCGGGTCCTCCTACCTCCCACTCCCTCCTTAGTCTGTGGCCAGCAGTAGCTGTAAAGGAATGCTCACCCCAGTCTACTTCCATCAGTATCTTTCTGGCCAAAATACTGAGGCACAGCCACTGTGAGTTGCAAGAGAGACTGGGAAATGAGAACTGACCACTCTCTGCCCCTGCTTGATGGGGGAAATGTATGGGTAAGGCTTGCTACCACATAGCACCTACACAAAGTGGGAACCAGGCACAACTTTCTAGAAGGGAAGATTGGAGGAGCATGTAGAACACTTCCCCCTACATTTTGGTAAAGCTTGCTAATTGGTATTTCTGCACCCTCGGAAGTAGTTGTAGCTAAACTATAAATGTGTGTGAGTGTTAAAAATAAATATTTAAAGTTCAAAAATCACCATAAACCCTGAGTTTACAAGTTATTATGATCCAGTTATATAAACAGGCTAAGGGGAGACTTCAGCTCTGGCAGTAAGTGTCTCTGGCACCAGGGTGACTCAGATCTGTGGGCCTTTGTTTTATTTTAAAATGGGAAGAGGTTCTGTATCTCTTTTCTAGTCAAATATATTCCATGATCAAAATAAAATTAAGCCGAAACTGGTTTAGCTCTGGATAGAGCATCGGCCAACAGACTGAAAGGTCCCAGGTTCAATTCCGGTCAAGGGCACATCCCCAGTGGGAGTTGTGCAGGAGGCAGCTGATTGATGTTTCTCTCTCATCGATGTTCCTAACTCTATCCCTCTCCCTTCCTCTCTGTAAAAAATAATCAATAAAATATATTTTAAAACAAACAAACAAACAAAAAAACACCTAAAAGCCCTAGCTGGTTTGACTCAGTAGATAGAACGTTAGCCTGTGGACTGAAGGGTCCCCGGTTTGATTCTGGTCAAGGGCACATGCCCGGGGTGCGGGCTTGATTCCCAGTGTGGGGCGTCCAAGAAGCAGCCGATCAATGATTCTCTCTCATCATTGATGTTTCTCTCCCTCCCCCCCTTCTCCCTTCCTAGCTAAAATCAATAAAAGTATATTTAAAAAGAAATAAAATTAAAAAAAATAAATAAAAGAAATAAAAAGAGGTCAACCAAAGACTTGTATGCACATATAAGCATAACAAATGGACACAGACACCAGAGGGTGAAGGCATGAATGGGAGTGGCATGGGGGGCAGAGGGGACATAAGCACACATATATAATACCTTAATCAATAAAGAAGAAAACAAAACTAAAAGAACAACAGGTGTTATACAGCTGTGGTTCTTGAAAGTTGCCAAATATCTCATTCCTGCCCATTTCACATGTTCCCCTTTTTCATCTCTGCATCCACCACATGCAGCAATGACTGGAGTGACAAGCTTTCCCATTACAATAAGCTGCTGACAGCTCAGTACAGTGGATTCAGGTGTCATCCTAAATTTCCACTGCAGAATATCTTATAGCCTGTCCTGTGTCTAGAGTTATGGATAGTGGTTCCACTATAATTGTGTTTCCTGTCTTATGGAGAGCCCAGAATTCAGATCATAGACTATATCTGACCAGGGAGGCTGTGAAGAAATCTCTCTGTTCCTTTTGCTTAACAGACCCAAATCAGCATCCCCAAATCCACATAGTTGAGAACTGAGCTGTTTGTTCTTTGTCAATCAGGCTTTTTTTTAACCCTCACCCAAAAAAATTTTTGCATTTATTTTTAGAGAGAGTAGAAGAGAGGAAAAGACAGAAATATCGATGTGATAGCCAAAACTGATTTGGCTCAGTGGTAGAGCGTCGGTCTGCGGACTGAAAGGTCCCGGGTTCAATTCCAGTCAAGGGCATGTACGTTGGTTGTGGGTACATCCCCGGTAGGGGGTGTACAAGAGGCAACTGGTCGATGTTTCTCTCTCATCGACGTTTCTAGCTCTCTATCTCTCTCCCTTCCTCTCTGTAAAAAATCAATAAAAAATATATTTTTAAAAAAAGAAAGAAATATCGATGTGATAGATTAGTTGCCTTCTATACTCACTCTGACCAGGGCCTGGGCAGGGGAGGAACCTGCAACTGAGGTATGTATCCTTGACCACACTTGAACCCAGGACCCTTCAGTCCATATGCTGACGCTCTATCCACTGAGCCAAACCAGCTAGGGTGGTCAGTCAGTTCTTTAGGTAGTTAGAACTCGCCATCAGCATCCTTAGGTGGCAGCTCCTGCTTTTGCTGTGGGACCATTCCTGTCTTAGTGATGATGCTCCAGCCACCAAAGAGTCTGGGCGTGGAGCATACACACCAGGAACTGTGATGCTACAAACTGGAGCCCAGTCTGCCAGCCAAGCCAGGAACCCAATGTGCAATCTTTACTATGTCATCCTTTTTCCAGGCAAATGGAGATTTTTGTAGCAGAGGAATTTCAAAGTGTTTTCAGTAGCTTCTCTGTTTAAATAAGTCTGTTTGTGCCTCCTCTGCCAGTTAGTTCCCTTTGTTCATTTACAGAGAAACTGAGCACTAGTGTGGATGGTTGGTGTTTAAAATCAGTCCTGCTACTTGTCTTTCTGTCCCTTCTGCTGAATGCCCATAAAAACAGCCCAGGAATCTTTTTGGAAAGTCTAGCCCCAGTAGAGGCCTTCCTGCTATCCCCTGTCCTTCCTGACTTCCGTCCACAATTGCCCAGATGGTAGCCACATTGGCCAAACTGGTTTAAGCATACATTGAGTTGTCAAGCATCAGGCAGAAGGTATAGAGAAAGCACTGACCGACTGGGCTCTCAACCATTTATTTCAAATAATAAATTCAAAGAAACTGTATGCTTTATCAATTTCCTTTTCAAACCAATCCAGAAACCCAGAATTCTAATTTGAAAACAGTTCACAAATTATTTTTGTGATAAGGTAAATATGATAGTGGTAGTTTTCAGAGCTCTGAATCAGTTCATTAGAAGGAACTCGCCAAGGTTTGCTTGGTCATCAGCTATCAAATGGACTCCTCCGTGTGTTATTAAAATGGTAGGTGAGCCCTCGCCGATTTGACTCAGTGGATAGACTGCCAACCTGCATACTGAAAGGGTCCCAGGTTCGATTCTAGGCAAGGGCACATGCCCAGATTGTGAGTTCCAGTAGGGAGCGTGCAGGAGACAGCCAATCAATGGTTTTCTCCCATCAATGATGTTTCTCTTTCCCTTCCTCTTAGAAATCAATAAAAATATATTTAAAACCAACAAAATCAAGGGTAGAGGAGGCCAGTAGTATAGACATGTGTAGTAGGAGGGATTACACCCTGGTCTGCCTGAAGTGCCCATGATGATGACCTGTGCTCCCTTGCCTGTTCAGGTCGGAGGTGGGGACCTGGATGGTTTCCAGGCAGACACAGAGGAAGAGGAGGAAGAGGACGGTGACTGTGCGATAATGGACATCTCGGATATTGCTGGTGAGAACAGACCCAGTCCCTCTTCTCATGCAGGCTGGCAGCATTGGCTCTCTTATGTACATAGTGGGGGTTGAGTTAAAAGATTCTGAAAGGTTTAGGCAGGCTGGTTTAATGATGTGGGTGGGCAGTTGGGTCCAATCCAGGCCCTGGAGTTCTGACTTAGTTACCTATGCTACATTTAGGAAACCAAAGAACTGAAGGTTGGTTGCCACCTTGGTGGGCGGTGGATGAGATGTGTTAGGGAAGAGTCCTGAAGGTGGGGGTCCTGGCACAAGTGAGGAACCTCTGAACTAAGCTTCTCCAGAAGAAAGCAGTGATGCTAGGTTCAGGGAGCCTAAAGTCCGGTGATCCTTGACAGAGGCACTTGGCCTCGATGTCCTAGTTTCTTCCCCTTTGCCACAGGGCTTCAGGCCTAGATTTGGCTTCTCCGAGGGAGCGAAGAGGGGACAGGGAGTACATATGCCTAGAAAAGGGACACGGGTCCGGGGGCTACAGCCATGGTCCTCCTCTAACCACAGTTGGATCGGGAGATCTTACCCCAAGAAGGCTCTCAGAGTTGTTTCAGGCCCCAGGGACACAGATACAGCCACTAAAACCCCTACCTCTGTTGCCTTGCAGAAGTCCAGGACCCTTGTGTAACCACTCCCAGAGCTGGAAGGCCTGTGGGAATGGACACCAGCGAGAGCCCCACGCCCTCCAACTCACTCAGCCCCTCCTGAACACCCAACTGGCTGGCGTGTGTATGTAGAATGGTTAGGGTTTTCTCAGACGCTTCTCAGATACTTGAAAGTCCTATGATTCCTGTGTAAAGAGCACTTTGTCCTGCTTTGCATACGCCCCCTTGAGGGTTGGAAAGTATATAGGATGCTTGATTCATTCTTTTTATATTTGTAAAAAATTTCCCCTCAAAGCTGCATACTAATCTGCCCTTTAATAAAGCATTATCGCAATGTGTTGGCCTGTACGGGGAATCCCAGTTGTGCCCTAAGGATCCTGAGCAGGCACTATGATGAAATGCTTATAAATGAATTGGAGACCTGCCGGTGTGTGGCACTGGGACTGACATGGATATGTATAAACTTATTGTCTAGCCCTGACCTGGTGTGTCTGTCATCTTTTCAACTTCATTTCTGTGAGCGGGTGTGTACCTTCACCTGTGGCCTGAACCCTATGTTGTGCTCACAAGTGTCCATTCCTCTACCCCACACCTGGTACAGTGGCGTCTGTACAAAGCTTTCCACTTTGCAGCAGCACTGTCCCAACTCTTTAAAATCCTCCGCCTCCTCAGTGACCTAGTTCAGGGTGTAGCTTGTCAGCAGGTGCTTGTGCCCATCAGTTCTTCCTGCCCCTTGGGAAGTGAGCAGGCCAGATTTGGGGCTTCTAAGCCCTGAATCCCGACTTCCAGATGGACTTCAGGGTCAGGCCACATCACAGGAGAGTACTGAAATAGTGGGGCCAACTAAAGGTGCTGGAGCCCTGGCCCATGAGGCCCTGCAGTGACCCCCCCATTGGGGCAGTGTTAGTCCTACAGAGGCATTGAGCATGCCAGAGCTGAGATTTGGCAGAGTTCACACCATCCGACCTGGACTCCTGTCCTGCCAACCCCTCATATAGAGAGAGTAGTGGGTTGATTTTCTTCCTTCTGCCCCCATGGGAGAAGAGCCAGTAGGCATATCAGTGTGCAGAACAGTTCATATCAGCTGGATACAACCAGACAGGGCAATGAGTTGTGGTGGCCAAGACTCCTCAGGTATTCCACTCCCACAAACACCCTGACCTCCAGGGCCCCAGGATGGGGCTGAGAAACATCCCAGTTGCAGGTGAGAACATGAGTCCTGGCCAGAACCTCCTACTCAAGGTAGGGTGCAGCTGAATACAGGTGTGTGCTCAGGATAAAGGCGCGTGTTAAACCTGTGAACACAACTACCTGTAAAGTATCCTTAAGCCCGTTTTAATTGGGTATCTGACAGTTTAATCCTAGCAGCATTGGGAACGGAGGGGATGGATCTAAGTGACAGGGTGAGACCATGCTGGGTTCCCAAGATATGGCAGCAAAGGAGACAAGCCTAGGTCCAACATCTGCTGGTGGCCTATGTGTGAGGCAAGGGCATGTATGGGGGCAACTTGCTTGCTGAGGTTACAAGGGATTATTGCTTTTTAAATCAAATTTGGGGGCTTGAAGCTACATGTTTGTCATCTAGCTGGCAGTGGCCAGAGGACCAGCCACTAGGTCTCCATGCAGAGGAGAATCTAACAAGAACTGGAGCCAGCAGCCCACATGGGGGTGAGAGGGGAGGGGATGATCCAGGGGAGTGTTGAGGGGGCATCTTCCAGCCTGGGTATGACCAGGGGGGAGTACGTTTGGTGCTCCTGGCCTTCGTTTCCGCTTTAGTTCCCTGAGGCTGTATCCCATCACTACAAGTGGTAGCTTAAAAAGGAAACTTGTTCTTACAGTTCTGGGTATCATCAGATGTGGGTCTCACTACTTTAAAATACACATGTGAACAGGGGGTGGTTCCTTCTGGAAGCTCCAGGGGAGAATCCATTTCTGTGCCTTTTCCAGCTTCTAGAGGCCACTGCACTCCTTGGCTTGTGGCCTTATTCCATCTTTGAAACCAGCATAGCATCTTCCCATCTCTTCTCCCTCCTCCTCCAACACATAAGAGCCCGTGATGACAATGGGCCCATCTGGAAACCCCAGGACAATCTCCCATATCAAGGTCCTTAATCACACACAAAGTTCCTTTTGTCACAAAAAGTAACATTCACAGGTTCCAGGGTGAGGATGTGGACATGTACAGGAACGATCTGCAGGGCCCCACAGCCTCATTCAGCAAGGTGGGCTCATTCAGCAGGTTTCCTGCACACATGGCTAGAATTCACCTCCAGGAGACTAGTCAAACAACCTGTTTATTTGGATTCAGAACTTAGTGTTACAGAACTCTGCCCAGGCCCAGCACCTCTATATTGTGCCACTATCGCCAGCAGCTCCACAGTACAGCCTCAGGGCCAGCCATGGGGCTGGACCCAAGCTGCAGGCCTATTCCTATCGAGGGAGGTGGCCAGGTCTGTCATGCCTGGGTTCCATTAACTAGGTTAAATAGCAGCTGGAGAACGCTACCAAGGACAGCACAGCAGCTGTTGCTTGAAAGCCCTCGGTGGTGGTCACAGGGCCAACCAGTGGCTCTCCCTTGCCCATGGGCTGGGCAGTCCCAGAGGAGGCTGGGAGGGAGAATAAGGACGTGAGCAGAGGTGGAGGAAGCAGGAGACAGACCCATGGGGCTTTTATTTCACGAGAGCTTCTCGATGGTCAACAGGAGCTCGGGCTTCAGGATCGATGAGTCTGGCTTAGCCCCCGCGGCCTTAATGTCCTCCAGCACTGCCATGTCCCACGAGAAGGTCAGGAGGGCTGAGGGCACCTGTGGTGGGGGAGAAGCTTCTGCTTTGTTCTGGCCTTTACATTCAGAGCTCATCTCTCTACATTCAAATCTTCGTGTTGGAATCAGGTCCACACACTCCCTGGGCCACTTCCCGCTGGTGACACCAGAACAGCCTTCACACAGTCGGTCCATTCCTGAACCAGCGGCCCCTTCTACAGAGGACCTTGGCTCAGGGACACCTCAGATTTGGCTAAGACTATCTCAGTGCTGGGCAGCCGTCAGCAAATCCTCACCTTTTTTTTTAAAATCCCCACATTTTCAATCCCATCTGGGTTCTGCTCCTCAGAGGACTTGAAATAACACACTTGCTATCTTCCTTTCCACTTTAAAGGTGGGAAACTGAGGCACAGAGAAGTTACTCAAGGTTACTCTGCTAGTAAAGGGGAAGGCAGGACTGAGGGAGCCTGGTCTTAGGACCTCTGCTCCTAGCACAACCCCATACTGAAGAGGGCCGCCCTCATGGGCAACCTGTGCAGATTCAACTTGTCACTCACCAGCCCACACTCATTGAAGGCCAAGTTCTCATCCTCTGACAACTTCTGCCCACATGAGGCCAGCAGCTCGAAGGGCAGCCAGTCGTTCTGCAGGGCCTCCCGGACAAAGCTATACAGTGCTGCCACCCGCTCCCGGGCATAGAAGGTGCCTAAGGGGTGGAACAGTCAGCATGAGGCTGGAGATCCTGGGAACCCCCAGCCCAGACAGCTGAGCCCAGATGTAGCTCAGACCAGAGGCCTTCCACTCCTGCTGGAGGCACAGCAAACCCACAGATGCAGTTATACCACACCCACTCAGCCAATCAGCAGACACCTCCTCCCAGGCCGCACCCTGCCCAGTGGGAAGCACACACCCTGGAGGAGGCAGCCATCAGGGAGACGGACACGCAGCAGTGTGTACGTGTACTTGCGCATCTCCCTCTGCTCCTCCTTCTCCCGCATGGCCTTGGTCCGCAGCATGCTCAGCCGCTCCACCGCCTCAGACCGGAGCTTCTGCTCCCGTTTGGCCTCCTCAGCCGTGAGGTTGAAGAAGTCAGAGGGCAGGTCGAACTGGGAGGCCATGGGCGAGGGCCGGAAGACACGGCGTTGGCGGATCAGTGTGGCCCGCACAGGTTCGCCGCTCAACAGCTGCTCCTTGTGTCTCTCTAGGCTCTCGGGTTGGGCCAAGGCGGCCTCGCTTAGCACGTAGAACTCTTCGGGGACCTCTGGGATACGCAGGGATATCACTGTGATGTCACTGTGCCACAGGAGGAAGGCCCCGAGCTGGACCCCCCACATTCCCACCTCCCGACTTGGCCAAGGCGCTTCTCTAACCAGCTTACCCTGATCCGGAACTGGCAGCAATGTCTTCTGGAAGCCAATGGCCTCAAAAAACTCGTGGGCCCCTTCCAGACAGTTAATGCGCTCCTGGGGGCAGAGCCAGAGTCAGCAGGGCCCTTGGGCTCCTCAAGGCCAACCAGCCTTGCTGCCCAGCCCATTCAACCAGGCCCAGCACCTCCCTCTTAGAGCAGCTCTGCCCACTGGACAGGATGAACGCCCCCAAAGCTGCCTAAGGACAGGCTGTCACAGCAGGTCACAGAGGATGTGGGACCCCAAAGGCCAACAACTGGGGTGAAGAGGAACTAAAGAGCCAAAGAACAGCATGGGGGGGGGGGGGAGATAAAAACTGGGGGAGGACTGCATATGATGGTGGGGGGTGGGCAGTGGGTGTCCTGCCAACAAGCAGCACAGGTAACATGGGCCAGGGTGGCGGGACCCCTTGATTTCTCCACAGAAGCCACAAGTCTGTTTATATAAGAAATCCTCCCAGTGCTGATGTGATCCCAACAAAAGAAAAGTCAAAACATGCCATGGGTGGTGGGCATGCAGATTAAATATAGACATGGTATATGACCTATGTTCATAAAACCTCCTCTCCACATGCTACCTCTGCCTACCTCAACCTGAAGCCCCTGGACGAGCACTCCCACTGGCCCCACCGCCGGACTGGGCCTGTGTGACTGGGAGCCCGGCCACGCTGGCTGCACAGGCTAAAAGTCACTCAGCACAGCCGAAACCGGTCTAGCTCAATGGATAGAGCGTCGGCTTGGGGGCTGAAGGGACCCGGGTTTGATTCTGGCCAAGGGCATGTACCTTGGTTGTGGGCATATCCCCAGTGGGGGGTGTGCAGGAGGCGGCTGATGGATGACTCTCTCTCATCGTTGTTTCTAACTATCTCTCTCCCTTCCTCTCTGTATAAAATCAATAAAATAAAATAAAAAAAATAAAAAGTCACTCAGCACAGCCCTCACCTGGAACACCTTGTTCTGCAACTTGATCTTCCGGTACTTCTCCTCCTCAGGGTGCAGGTGGATATTGTCCAGGTACCTAGAGCAGAATTGGGGATCAAGGACAGGCCAGGGTTGTCTGACTGGCTCCTCTATACCTCCCACCCCGATGGATAGCAGCTGAGAACCACACCCAGGCTTGTGGTAAGTGTGATGTTGGGGGTGGGGGGGTGCCATCACACCTCAGACCTCATGGAGCCTGACCCCTGGTGCCAACAGCTTGGGCCACCATAGGACACCACTGCCCCCACCATTGCCATCTGAGACCTATCGCCGTCCCTGCCTCCCCTGGAGGGCACAATGGAGGACAGGGCCAGTGGCCCACAAGTGTCAGCTTGGGGGTTCATGAGCAAAATGGACTTCCAGCCCTGGCTGGGTAGCTCAGTTAGTTAGAGAATTGTCCTGATATGCCAAGGTGGTGGTTTTTGATCCCCAGTCAGAGCACATACAAAAATCAACCAATGAGTACCTGAATAAGTGGAACAACAAATTGATGTCTCTCTCTCCTTCCCTTTCTCTCTCTCTCTTCCTCTCTCAAATCAATAAATAAAATTAAAAAGACTTCCAGCACTCCCTAACCTGCTTAGTCAGGGAAGTGGAGTGGGAACTCACCTACTTCCCATTCTTCTGATGATCCCAAAGGGAAGCCAGGGCTGGAAACCCCCAATTCTGTAAACCCTTTTGGTTTACAAACAGAGGTCCAAGCCCCTTTCTCATGGACTCAGGGGCAATGAAGGGTGGGGCCTGGCTCCTTCTGGGCCCCCTCAGCAGGTTAAGCTGGAAGCCCAAGAGACTGGCCCCCCCAGTGGGGGGAGAGGACACCCACTCACTTGGCGATGGTGTCCACACCCAGCTTCACCCTGTCCCGGTCTTTGTTGAACGTGTGGATCTTCATGATGGAGGCAGCTACCGGGTCCGTGGAGAAGTGCTGGGAGGAGTGAGGAAAGCATGTCAAAAAGTGCTTCCCTCATGGCCTGCAGGCCTCACTACTCAGGAGGCAGCAGTATTAATACTGGTAACACTCTCCTGGTGGTCCAGCCTGTAGGATTTAACTTAATTTTATGGGCTCAAGCAGAAAAAAAGAAGAAAAGCCCTTTGACAAATCCTTCCTGGACCTCAGCTCTGCCCTCAACTCTAGGAAAGATGGGGTCGTCGGCAGCCCAGAATATGGCAATAGTTTTATTGGACAATAATGGTTATTGTCCTAGACAATCCTGCTAGGCCAGGGTAATCATAAGAGTCCATCAGTGAAGAGAACCAGAGAGATGGCAGCCGGACAAAGACTTGCCTGGCATCACTAGATGTGAAGGTAAAAGAAGGGGCCACATAATACAGGTGACCTAGAAGCTGAAAAAGGACAGGAAACGCACTGTCCACAGAGCTTCGGGAAGGAATGCAGCCTCCTGCCACTAGTGAGAGCCATGTCACACCCTGACTTCAGAATTCTAAGAAACCAGACATGTGTTTGAAGCCCCCGAGTTTGTAGTAACCTGTAATGATGGTTAATGAGAAACTCAGACCCAGGGCAAAGATATTCAGGTGTTCTTTTAGTTCTTGCAATTTTTCTTTAAGTTTAAAATTATTTCCAAATTCAGTTTTAAAGAAAGAAAAGTAATGTTGGAGAGTTCTTTTTGTACTGATATAATGGCTGGCAGTTCCCATGTTAAACGTGAGTGGTACATTACCTTTTATGGAAAACAAAACAAGTGAAGGGGAGATACAAGTATGTCGGTAGTTTGTTTATATTTGAAATGTCTCTGAAAAGGAACTTAAATCACTCAGCGGTAGCATCCTGGACGGGTAGCTGGGGGGTGGGGAGAAGGTGGGTTTTGTCTGCCTATCCTTTTTAAAAGTATATATTTTATTGATTTTTTACTGAGAGGAAAAGAGAAGGACAGAGAATTAGAAACATCAATGAGAGAGAAACATTGATTAGCCACCTCCTGCACACTCCTACTGGGTATATATATGCCCACAACCAAGGTACTTGCCCTTGACTGGAATCAAACCTAGGACCCTTGAGTCCGCAGGCCGTTGCTCTATCCCCTGACCCAAACCAACTAGGGCTGCCTACCCTTTTTGTATCCTGAATTCTGTATCACAAGTAAGTTTTACCTCTTTGAACAAGTGACAACAGACACAATATACACAGGTGAAGACACTACGAAGGATCTGTACCACCCGGCCTTACTGGGGCTTACTGAGGCAGCCCTGACCTGAAACCTCTAGGTGAGGGAAGAGGTGTGGGGTCTCTACTCACTGAGAGAATGGCCTCCTTGATTCGGGTGTCCCGCTGGTCCTTCCTCAGGATGTCCCCTGTGAGCGGACAGGTGAAGTACACTCCAGGCACCGCCAGGGGAGTTGAGCCTTCCTCTTTGGGCTCAGATACCTAGGGCGATGGGGATGAAAGTGTCTGGGCCTAGACAGTGGACAGAAGCCACCTCAAGTCACTGAATGCCACAGCCCTGAAAGCATGGCCCTGGGAGTCAGTCATCCCTGGTCCCAACGCTGTCCCCTCTACCATGAAACACCTTGGCCCGTGGCCGAGCCCCTCTGAGGCTGTTTTCTTATCTGTGAAATGTCTCTGCAGGACCAGCTCAGAATTCAACAAGGTAAGAAAGGAAAGGAAAGTGTGTAGCAGCTTTGGACATGGTGCTCAATCAATGGCTTCTGCTGTTCCAGTCCCTGCTACCTCGTAGAGAAGGGGCTTTGTGAGGAGTCAAATCAAGGTGCCCTGGATGAATCCTGGCGCCTCTCTAAGCCTCAAGTCCTAGGCAGTATCTAGAGTCTCTTCCGCTCTAAAATCCAGGGAGAATTCCATGGTTGAACTGCAGGAACATCCTTTCGGCAGAGCTCTCCTCCTTCAGGATAGCCTCTGGTCCACCAGGCTCCAGAGAGCCCTCCCACCTCCCAACAAGGCTACAGAGGCCAGTGCTTTGGAGCCCCAGAGACGGGGGTTCCCATTCTGTCCCTGCCGATTTTGAGGTGCAGAACTAAGGACAGCTGCCTTCACCACTCTGAACCTCCATTTTCTCTTCTGAAAATTAGGAACTATAACAGTACCCACCCTCATGGGGTTAGGAAACTGGGGGAGGGAAGTGAACCAACAAGCTAATGAGGTCCAATCCTACCCTCAACACCCAAGCCTGACATTATTAGGTGCTGAGCGTGGAGGTCCCAGTCAGTACTGCACTCAACTACAACCTGCCTCCACCTTTCAAGGCAGGAGTCCCCAAGGCCAGAGGTGACCTCTATCCACTCTGACAAGTCTTCTGCATCCCCCCAGCTCCAGGTGCTTACAGATCCGGCTAGGCACTTAGCTGGTGATGAGGAAGTAGCTGATTAGACAAATGTAGGCAAGAACTTGGGGGTTGGGGCCCCAGCTCCCCTGCCCCAGGCCATCCCTTAGAGTATCATGCTGCCATGTGGATGCTTTTACCATGTTTGTCCCTGAGCTCCCACTGACAGTCTCTTCAGCTGGAAGTTCCTTTTTCACTGGAGGAAGAAGCAGAGAAGGGTCAATGTGTGGCTCCACCAGGGCTGGCCCTCAAGTCCTAGTCCTTCTAGCTTAAGGTCCTGACCCATTTTTCAGCAACAATGCTTTATGCCCCCAGGCTTCAAGTGATCATCTGATGATGACTTTCAACCTCCTCCTCCTCTTCCCTCCCTCCCACAACTTCTTCAACCTCCCTGACATACAGGGCAGCCAGACACCAGACCTCTATTCCTTTTCACCCTGAATTTCCCACTCTCACAACTGTGATTTTAAAGCCCCTCAAAGTCGTCAGGATTATGTAATTATTTTCATCCAGGGCCAAGCACAGGATCTGGGGCCTGTGAACAGCCATGGACAGGCCTCACTCCACCTCCCCTCGCCTCCCCCATCTGCAACCCAAGGACAGCGCAAGTCACCCTGGCTTCGCATGAGGTCCTGTGATGAGGGGCCCCGAGCCCTGGGCTGCTTCTGCTCAAGTCGGGCCAGGGCTGCTGCTGCTGCCATCTGGGCCTCATTGGTGGGTCCCTGGCGAGACTGCTGGCGTGCTGGTTGGTTGGTTTTTGGTTTGGGGGCCTTCTCCCTGGGGAGAGACATAGGGAAAGTGATGTGATGTGATGTGGGTTCAGACAGAAGAGCCTCTGCCCCTCTCCCATTTCTACTCCTGCCCAGACAGACATGTCCCTTTTTCCCAGGCCCCCACCCCGACCCACCCCATGGTTCTAACACAGCAGAACCATTGGGCAGATTTCACTCCCGGCTCTGCCACTTTGGACAAGTCCTGCAGTGGCCTAGATCTCAGAATCATCATCTGTTAAGTGGGGTAACAATAGCACCCACCCCGTAATGAGGGCCATCCGGTGAAGCATGTGTGATAGCACCCTAATGTCTTCAGGAACTGATGAGACTCACAGGTATCATTCCTCTCCCTTGCTCTCTCCTAAAAATTTCCACCCTTACTGTCTAAAACAGTGAGCAGTTGCAAGTTTTTGTTTGTTTAACAATATTTTATTGCCCTGACCAGTTTGGCTCAGTGGATACAGCATCAATGTATTTTATTGTTTTTTTTTTTTACAGAGAGGAAGGGAGAGGGACAGAGAGCCAGAAACACCAATGAGAGAGAAACATCGACCAGCTGCCTCCTGCGCACACCCCACTGGGGATGTGCCCGCAACCAAGGCACATGCCCTTGACCAGAATCAAACCTGGGACCCTTCAGTCCGTAGGCTGATGCTCTATCCACTGAGCCAAACCGGTTAGGGCAATAAAATACATTTTTTTTAAAAAAAGAATATTTTATTGCCCTAGCTGATTTGGCTCAGTGGATAGTGTTGACCTTTGGACTGAAGGGTCCTGGGTTCAATTCCAGCCAAGGGCACATGCCTGGATTGCAGGCTGGATCTCCCCCCGACTCCAAGTAGGGGGCGTGCAGGAGGCAGCCAATCAATGATTCTCTCTCATCACTGATGTTTCTCTCTCTCTATCCCTCTCCCTTCCTCTCTAAAATATATATATATATATATATATATATATATATATATATATATATGGTCTAGTAATGATTAATGTCGTTTTTTAACATTCGTGTAAAATCTTGCTTGACGTTGACTTGTATTGACATAACCTTCAAACACGTGGTATCTACAGAACGTGTGAAGTGCAATTAACAAGTTTTGCTTGAAAAAGTTTGTGTTCGGTTTGGTTTTTGTTGCAAAACTAGGGCTAAGAAGATGGCGGATGAAGAGCATATTCGGCACTGCATGCTTTACGAGTTCCAATTAGGAAGAAAAGCAAGTGAGGCTGCAAAAAACATCTGTATGCTCTTGGTCAAGATGCAGTTAGCGCCAGAAAATGCCAGCGTTGGTTTGAGAAATTTCGTGAGGGAAATTTTTCGTTAGATGACAAGAGTGGTCGAGGCCGTGTGTCCAATTTTGATCAAGAAGCTCTTCAAGCTCTTTTGGTGCAAAATCCTCAAATTACCCAACAAGAGCTTGCGATAACTTTAAATTGTTCACAAAAAACAATTTCCAATCAATTGCGTGCACTTGGCAAAGTCCAAAAGTTTGGAAAATGGGTTCCTCATGAGTTGATCGACAACAACCGTAATCAAAGAGTCACAATTTGCAGTTCGCTCCTCTCTCGTCAAAACCGTTTGCTGTTTTTAGAGCAAATTGTTATCGGAGATGAAAAATGAGTGGTGTATGTTAATTTGAAAAGGCGGCCTCAATGGTTGGACAAAAATGAGGCTCCGCAGCCCACGCCAAAACCTGACTTGCATGCGAAAAAAGTGATGTTGTGTGTTTGGTGGAATTTTAAAGGAATTCTTCATTATGAACTTTTACCCTCTAACGAAACCATTACAAGTACAGTGTATAGTGCCCAATTGGAAAGGTTAGCCCAAGCTTTAAGAGAAAAAGAACCCGTGCTGATTAATCGGAAGGGCGTAATTCTTCACCACGATAACGCACGACCGCATACTGCAAGAATCACTGCTGAAAAACTGCGCCAGTTGGAATGGGAAGTTCTCCCTCAACCTGCATATTCTCCTGATATTGCCCCTTCCGATTACCATTTGTTTCGTTCTCTGCAAAACTTTCTTCTTGGAAAAAAATTTAATAATGAAGAATGCCTCAAAAATGCATTGACCGAATTTTTTGCATCAAAATCACAAGAATTTTACAACAGAGGGATTAAAATGCTTCCTGAGCTTTGGGCACAAGTAGTAGAAAACAACAGCAACTATATTGTTGATTAAATTTTGTTGTATTGTTTAAATAAATTTGATTTTAAAAAGTATTAGAAAACGACATTAATTATTACTAGACCTAATATATATGACATCTTTTTAAAAAAAGAATATTTTATTCATTTTTGGAGAGGAAGGAAAAGGGGGATTGGGGAGAGGGGGACAGGAAAGGAAGAGGGGGAGAAAAGGGAGAGGGAGATAGCGAAATATCAATTGTCTGCCTCCTGTATACCCCTTTACTAAGGATCGAGCCCGCAACCCAGGCATGTGCCCTGACCTGGAATCGAACAGTCAACCTTCTGGTACACAAGGACAAGGCCCAACCGACTGAGCCATAATGACCAGGGCGCATTTGCAATCTCATTAACTGAACAGTTTGTCTTCCTCATACCAACACCCCTCTGAGGGCTGTCTTGAGATCTTTTGCAAGCCCTAGTAGTTCTCAACCTTTCTAATGCTTCGACCCTTTAATACAGTTCCTTATGTTATGGTGACCCCCAACCATAAAATTATTTTCATTGCTACTTCATAACTGTAATTTTGCTACTGTTATGAATTGTAATGTAAATATCTGTGTTTTCCAATGGTCTTAGGTGACCCTTCTAGTGGTTCTCAACCCGTGAATCATGACCCACAGGTTGAGAACCGCTGCTGTAGAGCCTAAGACCATCGGAAAACACAGATATTCACATTATAATTCATAACAGTAGCAAAATTAGTTATGAAGTAGCAGTGAAAATAATTTTATGGGTGGGGGTCACCACAACATGAGGAGCTGTATTAAAGGGTCGCGGCATTAGAAAGGCTGAGAACCACTGCCCTAGAGGGACACAGCTCAGACACCACATAAGCCCCGAGTTAAGCATGGGACAAAGATCTGGTTTAATCCCTCCTCCACGCTAGGAAATGTGATGTGATGACCCCAGGGGCTGGATGGCTTCTTAACCTACTTAGCAGGAAAATGAGCTAGTTTGAATGTCCCAGCAGTGAAATCCCGTCTTACTCACCTACCTCACCGGCCTTCTTCCTTAAGGGTTCTCTCCCAGCCCCAGTAATTGGGATCATCTGTGCTAAGTCTGTAACACCTTCCCAAGAGTTCACCGCCTCCCTCCTCCCACTCTGCTCAGATATACAGCAATAAGCCTCTTCTTGTTCCAAGGCTCCTGGGACCTGCTTCCTGCCCATCCCTGCCCTTCTTGCCAGCCTTCCCTACAGCCGAGAACATAATGCTGAAGAAAAAATGAATCACAGACACCCATCCGAGTCCCATGTGATATTCCGATCTTTCTATAAAAATGCTACTTTTCAAAACACCTCACCCATCCCCTTCACGGCTCCACTGGGCAGCCAGAGGGACCCCTCTAAAACCTGTCAGTGCTTATCGCACCTCGGCACCAAGTCCTCCCACACCTGCCCAGCAGAATCCTAAAGCCACCCATGTCCCCATGGGCCATGCACAACCGGCCTATCTTCCTGTTCACTCTTCTCTCTCTCACTGGTCTCCCTGCTGCTGCTCACACAGGGCCGGCAGCTGCCTGTGCCTTTTAACTGGAATGTTCCACTTGGGGGCGGGATGAGGAAAGGAGGTCTGGGAGAGGGTAGAGAAGCTTCATGTATGTGCACATGCAACCTCACTTCATCCGGATCTCTGCTCACATGTCACCTTCTCAGAGGCATTCCTGAGCCACCCAAAGGTTCCTCCCAGTACTCACTAGCCCCTGCCCCTGCTTATTTTTTCATGGCCCCAGCACCACCTGATATTTATAAACTAAATCATGCATTGGTTTCCTTTCCCATCTCCCCCCACCCCATAGAAGGTGAGCCCTGAGTGAGAATTTTGTCTTGTTTGTGCTGACAGTGTTTGACACACCCACCCTCCAGCTCACCCTGAGTCTCTTAACTCACTCCCAGGTAAGTCACAAAAGCTTGCACCTCCAAATTACTTCCTTCTCTTCTTCCCCCTGGCCTCCACTCCGGCCCAACAATCACCCGCAGGGCCCCTATCTTCCTGTCACACAGTCCCAGCTGCCCCAGGCCCTACCTCTACCCACCACTTGTCAAACAAATGACTGGACCCTCTTGTCTGGCCCACCACTCTGCTGGGCCCCTGTTAAGCAGCCCTCCTCTCCCCGCTCAGATTCCCAGGAACTGATTTTGTCTGCTGTGCTTCCCTCCTTTACTCACGGACCTGGACCTCATGTATCTTTTCTGTCCCATTCGGCACTCTCCTCCCAAGAACCTCAGGAACCCCCAATCCTTATGACAGATGTCCTGAGGTCCTTGTCCTGAACCCACTCTCCCTCACCCACCTAATGATTCCCTCACCACCCCTTCCTGCCCTACTCCCTGCCTCTCCTGCTACCCCTCCCAGCCCCTACTTCTTCACAATCCCTTCCATTATTCCTCACAGGCCCCTGCCCAGGCTGGGGTCTTTCCTCAGCCACTCCCTCACAGCCCCCTCTGTGGCTCCCTGCAGCAGTCTCAGCACCTCCCAGGGTCCCATTGCCAATCCCATCCCCCAGTGGAGCTTCCTTCTCAGCCCACCAGCCTTGACAGTCTAGCATCCTCACCTGCTCCACCATTTCACTGCCCTCGCCAAGGCACTAGCCCTACACACACATCCCCACTGAGTTCTCAGTCTTGCCACAGGCCCTTCCCTTCTCCAAGTCCTCCTCAGAAAGTCCACAGGGGCCTAAGGATGGGCACACTGCCTCCCCTCCTCTTCCAGATCTCCCAAGGCCCTCCAATTTGCCTCATCCATCACCCACAAGACCTTCATCTCCTTCCCATCTCTCTCTCTCCCCCCCCCCCATAAATACAAACACACACAGCTTGTCAGCTCCCACCCCAACTCATTCTCCTCCCGTCCCACACATCCGCAGGCCCCTCCAGTTCACCCAGACAGTTCAAAAGACTTCTTGCTGACCCAAGATTCCCTGGCCTTCCAGGCACTTATCCAGGCCTCCCTGGCGCTCCAGAGCCGGGGCCCAGACCCCTCACACCATGGACGCTAAGCCTCTCGACTCTGCTTCCCCGAGGTCAGCCCCTAATCCCGGTCACCTAGATCCCTCCAATTCTATATGCTTCTCCAGGGGTCCTCCTCCGCTCCTGGCTTCTCCCTGATCACAATCCCCTACTTCCTTCCCAGACTCTGGGTTCACCGTGGCTCCCTGTAGCCCCGCCCCGCCCCTCCTCCTGCCCCGCCCAGGCCCCGCCCCCAGAGGTCCCCTTCCCCTTACGCCCACCCGCTCCCCGGCCCCGGCCCAAGGTCTCTCCACACCCCTTGCCTCTCGGCCTCCCGTCCTCACCCCTCGCCCTCAGGCCTCCCCCGACTCTCCGCCCCCACGCCTCACGCCCCAGCCCCCGTCACGCACGCCGCCGACTCCGTGAGCTTCTGTCCGGCACCCGCGCTCTTAAACTTGATGTCAGCCTTGATTTCCTGGAAGAATTTCTTCATGGTGGTGGCAGGCTCCGCGGCGCGGGGCCGCGGGGGGGGCGGGGGGCGGGGGGCGCGGGGCCCCGCAGAGTTCGTAGCAGCCAACAACCGGAAAAAAAACTAGGCGCTGCCGGAAGTCCCGCCCACGTGACAACCGTCCCGGCACGCCTCTCTAGGTTTCCTCGCTTCGCGACCCAGCGGGGACACTCTGCCCTCCCGGGCTGCGTCTCTATGGTTTTTCCGGAGTCCGTTGCCAGGGACGACGAGCGCGCTTCTAGCTGCAGGCTGTGCTCGGGCACCTACTACCGCGTTCTCCTGGGAGAGGAGGGACAGGCCGACGAGGCTCTGCTCAGAAATCTTCTAGGGCTCCCAGCGATTATGTGATAAAGTCCCAATTCAATTGTGGGCGCATTCTAGGCCCCCCAATCTAGCCCCGTGGTCATACCCAGTAGCTCGCCATCTCCCTTAACCTTACTGAGCTTCAGTTTCATTGCTTGAAATAGGGATAAGAATGGCACCCGAGCTGAAGCCGGTTTGGCTCAGTGGATAGAGCATCGGTCTGGGGACTGAAAGGTCCCAGGTTCGATTCCGGTCAAGGGCATGTACCTTGGTTGCGGGCACATCCCCAGTGGGGGGGGTGCAGGAGGCAGCTGGTCGATGTTTCTCTCTCATGGACGTTTCTAGCTCTATCCCTCTCCCTTCCTCTCTGTAGAAAATTGATTTTTAAAAATATATATATTTTTTTTTAAAAAGGCACCCGATTCCTAGGATTGTAAGCATGATAATGCAATTGGAAGGTTCAATAAGTGACAGACTTTATATTTTACCCCTTTTATATCTCTTTGAAATCAGCAATGTATCAGCAATGAAAAAAAAAAACAGACAAAATTCTCTGACCTTGCAGAGGTCCTGGTTTTTTCAATGGGTTTGGACAAACAATATGATAAAATCTGTGATATGGTAGATGTTATTACGCGCTATGAGGGAAAGTGGAAAACAGGAATAGAGGAGGGCAGAGTGGGGGCAGTTTGTAACATCAAATAAGAGGGTCAGGCACAGGAAAAGTATTTTTGAGGCCACCACTGCTCAACCATCATGGTTCAGTGGTTGAGCTTCAACCTATGAACCAGGAGGTCACTGTTGGATTCCTAGTCAGGGCTCATGCAGGTTTTTTTTTTTGTTTTGTTTTAAATATATTTTATTGATTTTATAGAGAGGAAGGGAGAGAGATAGAGAGTTTAGAAACATCGATGAGAGAGAGTCATTGATCAGCTGCCTCTTGCACACCCCCTACTGAGGATGTGCCTGCAACCAAGGTACATGCCCTTGACCAGAATCGAACCTGGGACCTTTCAGTCCCCAGGCCAACGCTCTATCCATTGAGCCAAACCGGTTTCGGCTCATGTAGGGTTTGCAGGCTCAATCCCCAGTGGGGAGCCTATAGGAGGCAGCCAATCAAGGATTCTCTTTCATCATTGATGTTTCTATCCCTTCCTCTTTGAAATCAATTTTTTAAAAAAACACACCTTTTTTTAAAGAAAACTTCTTATCCTTAAAAAAGAGAGGGAGACCACCACTGACATTTGAATGTGTCTGAACATTAGATGCTATAAAGGAACTACTGTTAATTTTGCTAAGGGTATTAATGTCATGGCATAATAGTTATGTTTAAGTATATTTTTGTTAGAGGTGTATTCTGAGGTATTTATGGGTAAAATGACATCTGAGATATACTTTTAAATACTCCAGCAAAAAAAAATTATACAGCCGAAACCGGTTTGGCTCAGTGGATAGAGCGTCGGCCCGCAAACTGAAAGGTCTCAGGTTCGGTTCCGGTCAATAATATATATATATTATTGTTTTTTTACAGAGAGGAAGGGAGAGGGATAGAGAGCTAGAAACATCAATGAGAGAGAAACATCGACCAGCTGCCTCCTGCACACTCCCTACTCGGGATGTGCCCACAGCCAAGATACATGCCCTTGACCGGAATCGAACCTGAGACCCTTGAGTCGCAGTCAGAGCAGGGCTCAAGACTTTCATAATGTTGCAGTCAAACTGTAAACTGGAGTTACAGTTTCACATAAAGACTTGATTGAGGAAGAATCTACTTCAAAGCTCACACAAATGTTTGTTGGCAGGCCCCAGTTCCTTTCCGGCATTTTTTTTTTTTAATCCTCATCCAAGGATATTTTTTTTCCATTGATTTCTATAGAAAGAGTGAAATTGAAGAAGGAGGGGAAGAGAAACATCAATGTGAGAGAGACACATCAATTGGTTGCTTCCCACTCACACCCCAAGACTGTGAGTGGAAAGCAACCAATTGATGTGTCTCTCTCACATTGATATTTCTCTTCCCCTCCTTCCTCAATTTCACTCTTTCTAGAAATCAATGGAAAAAATATCCTTGACTGGGGTGTGGATCAAACCTGAAAAATGGAAAAAATATCCAAGACTGGGGTGTGGATCAAACCTGAAATCCAGGTACTTGGCCTTGACCAGAAATTGAACTCATGACCTTCCTGTGCACAGGCAGACACTCTAACCACTGAGAACACTGACCCGGGCTAGCATAATATTCTTGAGGTTCATCCACATTACAGTGTGTATTAGTGCTTCATTTCCTTTCATTGTTGGGTAGTATTTATCAAAGGATATACAAGATTTGATTTATCCATTCAGCTATTGATGGATATCTGGGTTATTTCCTCCTTTGGGTTGTTATGATGTTATAATGCTACTATGACTGCGTATGTTGAAGTTTTTGTGTGAATATTTATTTTTATTTCTCTTGGGTAAAGATGTAAGTTTATGTTTAATTTTTTAAAAAGTCTATTTGAGCTATATTTCACATGCATAATGGTGTGGGGGGTTTTGTGAAAACAACAACAAAAATCTATAATTAGAGCCGAAACCGGTTTGGCTCAATGGATAGAGCGTCGGCTTGGGGACTGAAGGGTCCCGGGTTCGATTCCGGTCAAGGGCATGTACCTTGGTTGCGGGCATATCCCCAGTAGGGGGTGTGCAAGAGGCAGCTGATGGATGACTCTCTCTCATCGATGTTTCTAATTCTCTATCTCTCTCCCTCCCTCTCTATACAAAATCAATAAAATATATTTTTAAAAAAATCTATAATAAGGAAAATTCATAGCAAAACTGAGCTGGAGATATATGGAAAAACTCAATAATCAAACAAAGCTGTCCAAACAAAGCTTTCTGCTGTGGAGAGTGATTTGGTGTCTTGTCACCTTTCTTTTCTTTCTTTCTTTCTTCTATATTTTTTAATTTAGTTCAGAGAGGAAGGAAGGAGAGAACTAGAAACATCAATGATGAAAATCATTGATCAGCTGCCTCCTGCAAGCCCCCAACTGGGGATTGAGCCCACAGCCACAACCCAGGCATAGGCCCTGACAGAATCAAACTGTGACCTCCTGGTTCATAGGCCAATGCTCAACCACTGAGCCATGTCGACTGGGCTGCCTTTCTCTCTCTCTCTCTCTCTCTCTCTCTCTCTCTCTCTTCCTTCCTTCCTTCCTTCCTTCCTTCCTTCCTTTTCTTTCTTTCTTTGATTTTATTTATTTATTTTTTAAATATATTTTATTGATTTTGTACAGAGAGGAAGGGAGAAAGATAGAGAGTTAGAAACATCGATGAGAGAGAGTCATTGATCAGCTGCCTCTTGCACCCCCCCTCCCCCCCGCCCACAGGAGATATGCCCTCATTTAAGGCACATGCTCCTGACTGGAATTGAACCCAGGAACTTTCAGTCCCCAAGCCGACGCTCTATCCATTGAGCCAAACCGGTTTCGGCTTATTTATTTATTTTTTTATTTAGAGAGAAGCATCAATTTGTTATTCCACTTATTGATGCATTCATTGGTTGATTCTTATATGTGCCCTGATGTGGGATGGAACCCCAAACCTTGGTGTATTAGGAGGACACTCTAAGCACCTAAGCTATTCTTTTTTTCCCCCCACATGCCTTCCTTCACCTAGCAGGGCATCCAGAGAGCCCCATCTTCCTATTTACTTTCTTCTTGGGCATTTCAAGATGTAGAAGACTTATCTGGAGAAGGGAAAGATGCAACAGCCCTTTGTTCCAACGACGTCCCAGCCCCATCCCCATCCCTCAGTGTTTATTGATGTCAAAGAGATGAACCCCTTAGAACTGGGGCAATGTAGGGAGCAGTATGCTGAGCAATGAGGCTGTGTTGATGAGGAAGTGAGCTGCATCATACTCAGTGTGGAAGCTGGCCAGGAGGTAAAGAACAATAGGGACTGTGGGCAGAAGTAAACTGGAGCCAGCAGTCCATCAGTCCCAATGCATCACTAGCAGAGCCTATTCCTGAAAAGGGGTTTCAAAGGGTGTCCCTTTCACTCTATGTAGGAAGACATACATGGGCTGCCAGCTTCAGAAGCCTACCAGCTTCGGGTGCAGCACTTGCTTCTATCCACAAAGATATTTTTTGAGGCTAAAGTAATTTCTTTATACCTTGTCATCAAAACCCTCCAATATCTTCCCAAGAAGGTAAAATAAATCCTAAAATTCTCTGTACCTAAGTTGCAAGCAAGCTCAATCCCTGGCCCTCGTCAAGGAATGTGCAGGGAGCAACCAACTGATGTATTTCTCTTCCATTGATGTTTCTCTCTTTCTGTCTCTCCCCCTCCACTATTCCACTATTTCTAAAAATCATTGGAGGCCTGGCCAGCTTGGCTCAGTGGTTGAGCATTGACCTGTGAACTAGAAGGTCAGGGTTTAATTCCCGGTCAAGGCAAATGCCTGGGCTGTGGGTTCATTGGGCGTGCAGAATGCTGCCTATTAATGATCCTCTCTCATCATTGATGTTTCTCTTTCTCTCTTCCTCTCTGAAATTAAATATAATATATTGCCAAGAACCAATTCCAGCATGTAACATTTACAAGAGTTTCACTAAAAGGTTGGTGAAGCTTGGGCAGCACAACAAGGGTGAGCCATATATGTAATTTACCTCTTGGAAATGGCTAAAGGACACTTCCCCCAAACCTGAATAGGATTGTTAACTGCCAGACAGCTCAGGGGATTTTATTGCCTTCTGTTGGTCAAACACATGAACACCTGCAGGCTATTCCCCAAACTGATAATGCTTCTGTACCTCTTGATACCTTACTAATTGAAGTATATATTTCCACCTTGCCTTGGGAAAACTTGTGTTATAATAAAAGCATGAATCCTTGTACAAGGAGTCTTTAGCTCCTTCAGCTGAAGATCCTCTGATCCCCAATGCCTTTCAAAATTATTTTTCGTCTTTGGACTTATTAAAAAAATATAATTTTATTGATTTTTTACAGAGAGGAAGGGAGAAAGATAGAGAGCTAGAAACATCAATGAAAGAGAAACATCAATCAGCGTTCTCCTGCATACCTCCCACTGGGAATGTGCCTGCAACCAAGGAACATGCCCTTGACCGGAATCGAACCTGGGACCTTTCAGTCTACAGGCTGACGCTCTATCCACTGAGCCAAACCGGTTTCGGCAACACTCTGGCTTTTTCACTCTGAGTTCTTAACAAATGAAAATTCTGAGATGTCTTAAATTAAATTACAGCAGTTCAGAGAGTGGAAGGAAGAGACAAAAGGGGTTCATTAGAAAACAACTGCAGTGCAAAACAAACGAAAGATTACACACACTCCTTAGTGTCTGTTAAATTATTAAATTAACTTCCAGGCAGTTATTTCTCAGATTGGCTAAAAAGGGAGCACAGCCCCTAGAGCTCTAGGCCCCTCTTCTTCGTGTTTACATATGAGCTTTAAGTACTTGCTATGTCAACCCTAGAACTAGCCCCTAGCTCCACTTCACTTTCTCCCACCCCCTTGTCTATAACTAATGTAAATTCTTTTTAAAAAAATGTATTTTATTGATTTAAAAACAGAGAGGAAGGGAGAGAGATAGAGAGCTAGAAACGTTGATGAGAGAGAAACATCGACCAGCTGCCTCTTGCACACCCACTACCGGGGATGTGCCCGCAACCAACGTACATGCCCCTGACCGGAATCGAACCTGGGACCTTTCAGTCCACAGACTGACGCTCTACCACTGAGCCAAACCAGTTTCAGCGTAAATTCTTTTTTTTAAACATACTTCCATTGTTTTCAGAGAGGAAAGGAGAGGGAGATAAAAACATAATAATGAGAATCATTGATTGGCTGCCTTCTGTATGCCCCACACGGGATCAAGCCCAGAATTGATTGAACAGTGACCTCTTGTTCACAGGTAGAGGCTCAACTACTGAACCATGCCAGCTGGGCAACTAATGTAAGTTCTTTCATCAAACTGCTTACATCTTTCTTTCCTCTTTTTTCTACTTGATGGATAAAAATGCTTGCAAGCTCCAAGATGTTTGGTCATGTCTTTCCTACCAAGCTATGCTGCTGGTGGTTTAGACTCCATACCCCGAAATGGGTCTCTTCTTCCTCTTCTCCTTTCCTACTTCTCCTCCTCCTCCTAATTCTTCTAATTATTATTATTTTTTTGCTAGCTATGCCCTTTAAAAAAAAAAGGTTAAATTGGTTTTTAGCCATGACCGGTTTGTCTCAATGGATAGAGCTTTGGCTTGCGGACTCAAGGGTCCCAGGTTCGAATTCAGTCAAGGGCATGTACCTTGGTTGCGGGCACGTTTCTCTCTCATGGATGTTTCTGACTCTCTCCCTCTCCCTTCCTCTCTGTAAAAAAAAAAAAAAAAAGAGAAAAAGAGAAAAAAACCCAATTAAAAAAAATTATTTTTAGAGAGAAAGGAACAGAAACATCCATAGGCTGCCTCCTACATGCCTCCTACTGGGGATCGAGCCCCCAACTAGGGATTGTGCCCTGACTGGGAACCGAACAGGCAACCATTCCATGCTCCAGAAAATGCCCCACCACACAGGCCAAAGCTAAACCATTTCTGTTAAAAAGACATTTAGCCGTGGGAATTAAATTATTTTACTTAACATTGAGTTCTTGGAGGACAGGTTAACAATACCCAATGCTGCCAGTATTTCCTAATGCCAGGCACAGTTGCCAGCGCCTTAGGCGTGAAGTTATTTAATCCTCCTGCCCCTATCAGGTGAGTACATTATGAGTTCTATTTTACAAAGCCATTAAGTAACTTGGCCATGTAGTGCACAAAACATTTTTCTTGACTGAATCAATATAGGTTGGGTACTTTGTAGCTCTAGCACATGGTGTTCAATAAACTTTTTCTAAGTGTTTTGTGCATTTTCTGGCTGTCTAACCTAAGAACCCCCCCTCCATAGTCCGCTCCTTCTCCTAAGCCCCACCCCCTGGGGGGTAGGCCAAGGCACTCCGTATTATGCACTTCCTCTCTTACGATATCCAGTGGTGGACAGATGCCTAAGCCCCGCCTTCTGTGGTAGTCAATGGCCGCTCCCTACCTGGAGAGACTTCTTGTTTGGCATCCAACGGCCTGCAGCTCGCTTTTAAGCCCCGCCTCCGGGAGTGGAGGCTATCAAACAACCCGCGGCTTCTATTGATTGGGTCTTCTTTTCTGTGGTATCCAATGGCCTGCCTCCCATATAAGGCCCCTCCTACTATGGCGGCCCATGGCCCGCCCCTCTACCCTAAGCCCCGCCCATAAGCCTGGCAGCTCTCCACTGGGCTCCGACCGCCTCGGTTTCCCTCCTTCCCCCTGTGCCCTTTCACCTCTCATAACCTCCTCTCCCTTCAATTAGGCCTCTGGGTCACGCCCCTGGGCTCTACGCGTTATCCAATCGCGTTAGCGTGCTCTCCAGCCCCCCTCTTCTCATTGGTCTCTGCGCTCCTCTATCCCGGCACGTGGTTCTGAGCGACCCTGTCTCCCGCCGGTGACGGCAGGAAGGTGGGACATCCGGCGGCAGCGCGCAGCCCAATAAGCACGCGCCGGCCGCTGCCCAAGCGACCGTCTCCGCCCCCTTCGCTCCCTGCTCCCGCCCCCGGCTTCGCCTCCCGCTGCCGCCTCCACCGCTGCCGCCGCTGCCGCTACCGCCGCTTCCCGCGGCCTGGGCTTCCCGCCGCCAGCATGCCGCACGCCTTCAAGCCCGGGGACTTGGTGTTTGCCAAGATGAAGGGCTACCCGCACTGGCCGGCCCGGGTGAGGCCGCGCGGGAGATATGCCAGGCGGGGGGTGGGGGGGTGGGGCAGTAGACGGCCAGGGCCGGAGGGACTTGTGCGCTCGGGTTCGGGGGGAGGGGGGGGGCTAGTCTGAGGAACCCGCGTTCTTGGAAGTCTGGGGGTCCCGGGCCTGAAATACCACACGCCTGGTGTCTGGGAGCTCTGGGCCCGGGGGCCTGGGGAGCCTCGGGCCTTGTGTACTTGAGAGGTCTTGGGGACCCTGGTTCTGGGGCACACACACGCCGGGGATCTGGGGGGGGGGTACCTGGCTTGAGGGACTCGTGCGCCGTGGGTTTGTTTGTTTTTTTTGGGGGGGGGGGCAGACCTGAGGAAAGCAAGCCGCCGGTCTGGGGGCCCCGGGCTGAGGTAAGTGTGCTTCGGGGAGTCCCAGAGTTGAAGGATGTTGGGTTTGGGCGATCTGAGCCCTGAACCTGCATGGTTCAAGTTTGAGGGAGACCCGTGAGTCTGAGGGGCTGAGGAACGTGGGATTTGAGGAGAGGGATCAAATGGATGGGAAGGGGACGTCCTACACTGAAGCACCTCATTGGGGAAGCCAAGGTCTGAGGGCTCTGCAGCCATGTGTGAGGGTGGCTAAGGGTGAGGGGTGCAGTAAGGGAGAAAGGCTTGAGGGTCAAGGCTGAGGGAGGCGAGGGCTGGAGGTTCTGTTCATAAGGTCACTGGAGCTGAGAGACTTGATCTGATAACGTCTGGGACATTAGAGGTTGGAATAAGACTTGTTTGGGGAGACTCTCCCCCACTCGCAGAGCCTGGTGGAGGAAGCTGGAGGGAGGGCTTGGGGTGTGGTAGTCTTCCCAAGATGCTTGTATCAGAGAGGAGCCCCTTGTAAAGGAGGATGGGTTCCAAAAGAGAGCATATGAGGAGGAAGGGGGCTGGGCCAAAGGGACTTTGGGGACCCCCTTGGCAGGAAGCTGTGAGCCAAAGAACCTAGGTGGTCTAAGGATTCCATCCAGGTCTGAAAGGTAGTCCTGAGCCTTACAGGTTTGCAGAGTGAAGTTCCAGGCACTGTTCAGGGCAGGTACGTGTGGAAGAGGATCTGGAGGTTATTTCAACCCCAGGTCTTAGTGCCAAAGTTGCCCAGGGCTGAGATTGGTGGAATATGTTTGGTTAGGACTGAAGGAATTTGGGGGTTGGGAGTACGAGGCTCAGGTAGCAGCAGGGGACAGTGAAAGGATGAGGCCAGAACAGTGCTGTGAAGTGGCTGGAGATTTCAGCCTGGACCTTCCCTCCCTATGGGTAGAAGTGAGCTGAAGGTCAGTACTTGGTGCTGGGGGTTTGGGTGCAGGGAGGCCACCATAGGATGTCAGGAGAGGCTCAGGGACCAGAGACCAGTTTAGAGCTAGTGCTGTTACTAGGATGTCTGGGCCGTGAGCTCAGAGGCAGGCCCTGGGTGAGGCCAGAGCAGAAGATGGCCTGGAAAGCATGTTGGGCTGGGCCTCAGCTCAGGGATGCTTCTGTGTGGGAGTGTGGTGCTTGAGATGGATGTCAGAGATCCACAACCCAGGGCCAAGGATTTGAAAAGCAGCTTATAAAACTGAGGAAGGAAGCTGAGTGAGGGGAGCAGGGAAGTTCTCAGTAGTCTCCAGGCATTGAAAAGAATGATGAGGAATTAAAGGGGACCCAATACCCATTTTAACCTGATTTGCTCACTGTTATTTTCTTGGAGGGCACCAGAGCAATGAAACTTTATGGGTACATCCCTTCTTTCCAGAGTACCAGCTTCTCCCTCTCCAACCCCCTTCCAGCTGCCTCTCTTCAGCCCTGAACATTTCCAAGCACCTGATTGGAAATGAAGGGGCTGCTAACCTCCTGTGGGATGTGACTGACAGCTGCCAGAGCCCATAGGCCTGTAGGGAAGGGTGGGACTTCCGGGATGCTCAGGGCCTGTCTCCTGCAGCCCACCCCCCACCCTCTGCATCCTTGGAGCTGCCTGCTGCAACCTCTTGTAGACCAACAAACCCACCTGCCGCTCCCCTCTTTGAGGGAGGGGTTCTTGTGGGAGGGTCCTGGTAGTTCATAGAAGCTGAGCTTGGCCCCACCCCCAGCTGCTCAGAGGACTGTTTTAGGCTTTGCTCAGGTGAAGCACCTACCTTGGGGACAACCGTGTGTGGAGGAGGGGATAAATATGCAATTGAGGGGGGAGGGCAGGGTACATAGGAATGCAGATGCCTAACTGGAAGGTGATGCATCGTCCTAGGTTGAAGGCTTCCCTTCTCCCGGCATGCTTTCCCTTAAGTAACTTGGCTAATTTCTGGGTGATTTTCTCGGTTAGTGGGTGAAGTTGCCCTGCCCCTCAGCTACCCCCTTACTGGCCTCTCACTGCAGATTGATGACATTGCTGATGGTGCTGTGAAGCCCCCACCCAACAAGTACCCCATCTTCTTCTTTGGTACACATGAAACGTAAGTGTCCCTCATTGGGCTTGATTTCCCCCAGGGGTACCTCCCAGGGTGGCCTGGCTCACCTAGAACCGGCTGTGGTTTCTCTTTCTAGAGCCTTCCTGGGACCCAAAGACCTATTTCCCTACGACAAGTGGAAAGAAAAGTACGGGAAACCCAACAAGAGGAAAGGCTTCAATGAGGGACTGTGGGAGATCCAGAACAATCCCCACGCCAGTTACAGTGCCTCTCTGGTGAGTACCTTGGGGTTGGGGACAGCTGTCGTAGGGTCTGCAGAGCCTAGTCAGGTGGTGCTCATGTGCCCTGGAGACTAGAAGTAGCCTTAGCTTGTCTCATTGAAAAAGGAGAGGCTTCTGGGACAGGGCTTCTCCCCCTTGGTACTACTGACAGTCTGGGCTGGATCGTTCTGTGTGTGTGTGTGGGGGGGGGTGGGGGGGAGATGGTGACATGGGCACTATAGAGTGTTAGGCAGCATTCCTGGCCCCCACCCACTTGGTACCAGGAGCACCTTCCCTCCCCCTACTCTCCCCCAGTTGTGACAACCAAGTATGTCCTCAGACATTGTCTAGTGCCCCTTGGGTGGGGTGGATGGATGTGGGCTTACCCTTGGTGAGACCCACTGCTCTGGGATGAGTGTGAATTTATAATAGTGTTGTTAGCTCTTATAACACCTTTTGTTTTCTAGGGAAAACACTTTTCCTTTTAATAATAACCCCCACTTCTGCCATTACTGCCAGATTTTAGACTCAGAAAAGACAGCAGTTAGTACAAGTGAGACTTCTTGCTTGTGTGGAAAAAAAATGCCAGGGATCATAGAGATGACATCTTAGTGACAAATGAGTATCAGAAAACAGTCAGGGAAGGGAAAGATCTAGAAAAGTTGAAGTTAAATTGATAGAAAGCTGTGGAAGGCTGCAGAAGCATGGCAGAGGGGTGTCTTGCTCTGGGTATTTTGGGGTGAGATGCAGATGAGGGGAGGCTAGGCTGGGGTTCTCCACCATGTTAACCACTGGTTTTGGGGTTTTTGTGGGTGGTGTGGGGAGGCGGAGCAGCCTGGCCTCAGGATGGATGGGCTCAAGATTGGCTGGGAGCAAACTGACCGAAGGGGCCAGAGCTTGGCTGTAGGAGGAAAAAGTACTATCAGCAAGGTCTGTGGGGAGGGAAGCAGGAGTTGGAGAGGGGCTTGGTTCTGTGGGGCCAGGTCCTGCTTGAAAACTTTGGATCTTAAGATGGTTTGGGTGTTTCTCCTGTGGCTCAGTCCACCATCTGATCCAGCAGACTCCTATACTGACATCTGCACACAGCTAGGGACCAGGAATTCAAAGTGACTGACACTTCTTGCCTTCCAGGAGCTCATGGCCCAGAATTCAGGGTTCACTCAACAGATGGTCCAGGCTCACATATTTAGTGCATGTTGCGGGGTATTTGACTTTTACCTCCATGATGGGTCTGGGAGACAGAAGTCCCCCTGCTTTGATACCCACTCTTTTCCTTTGCTTTGCATGTCCCTAACTGGGAATCGGAAGGTCTTTAAAGAAGTTGAGTTTCATGAGATCTTTTTCTGGCCCCACCTCAAGTTCTGTTTGGTTACTTCCTAAGCTTGTTGTCTCCTGATGAATCATCACTCCACTTAATATTTATTGCACACCCACAGCTTGCTAAGCATTGTGTAGATGCTTGCCCTCGAGGAAACAGAACTCAAAAATGTTATGACCTTGACATTAAACTAGGCCCGTACAGGTTCCCCATGTTGAGAGTTGCTCTGAGTGTGAGAGCTTATTACTGCTGTTTGGTTCTCTAACTAGTCTGTGCCTACAGATGGAATATCGGTTTAAAAGCTAGATCCCTGAACCTCACCCCTCCTCTCCTAGAGGTTTAGGTATAGTAGTTTAGGGCTGAGGTCTGGGGACCTTGGGGTATTCCTTCCCATGCATCATTCTAGATGCTTCTGGTGGAGCCAGTCAACAGACTTAGAGTCATTGCTTTATGGTACCTGACCAGTCTCTTTTTTCATCCTCTAAGTTTGCAGTTTATTTTTACATTTTGGGTGGGAATATAGTGTCATGGTACAAAATTGAAAAGGTACAAAAGGGACGTACAGTGAAAAGTCATTCTTGCCTCTTGGTCACTCTGTTTCCATTTCCTCTTAACATAGCCACAGCTACCAGTTCCTTATATCCTTTCAGAATTTTTTATTCATATAAAATCCTATAGCTTTCTTTTATAAAGCATATAACTCTCTACTTTGCATTATCCCTCCAGTAATATATCTGATGCCTGGCCCATGGCAACATGCAGAGAATAGCTTCATTCCTTTTTAACAGCCTTAGCTCATCTGGTGTTCCTGCCAGGAGTGTATGGCAAGGCCTGTTCCACATCCCTTAGCCAAGCCAGGAGGTGAAAAGTGGTATGTATTTAAAAAAATATATATTTTATTGATTTTTTACAGAGAGGAAGGGAGAGGGAGAGAGAGTTCGAAACATTGATGAGAGAGAAACATTAATTGGCTGCCTCCTGTACACTCCCTACTGGGGATGTGCCCGCAACCAAGGTACATGCCCAAGACTGGAATCGAACCCGGGACCTTTCAGTCTGCAGGCCGATGCTCTATCCACTTAGCCAAACCAGTTTCAGCGAAAAATGGTATTTTGCTATGGTTACAACTTCATTGTCTTTTGATCCGCACAGTAATCCTAGAATGGGGTGGGCCAGTGGCATTTTCCCCATTTTACAGATGAGCAAACTAAGGCCCAGAGAGTTTACTTGATTGCCCAGAGGCACCTAGCTGGAATCTGAGACCTCTTTGTGAGTTGCTCTCCTGGGCACCATGGAATGTTGAGCAGCATCTCTGGCCCCATGCACACAGTGTAAGGAGCACCCCATCATGATAACCAGAATGTCTCTAGACCTTGCCAGATGAGGGACAAAGTCACCCTTGGTTGAACACCATTGACCAAAGTCACCCTTGGTTGACACCATTGATACATTAAATAGCATAGAAGTATGCTATTTAATGTATCGGATCACCGATATAGAAGAAGTAAGGGGACCTATCTAAGGTTCTCAAGCTGGTTAGAATTGAGCTGGGACCAAAAGCTAGTCCTCCCGCCTTCGGGGTGAATTATTTTTCCTCTGGCTGATAGAAGTCATGATAAAGGCCTGGAGGATGAGGAGGAAGGCCCCAAGAATAACCTCTACATCAGGGGTGGGGAACCTTTTTTCTGCCAAGGGCCATTTGGAAATTTATAACTGTCGTAGGCCATACAAAATTGACAATTTATTCATAGGCTTAAAAATTAGCCTGCTAGCCTGGCCAGTTTGGCTTAGCGGTTGAGCATAAACTCATGAACCCAGGACGTTGCGGTTTGACTCCTGGTCAGGGTATAAGCCCGGATGTGGGCTCGATCACCAGTGGGGGCATGCAGGTGACAGCTGATCTATGATTCTCTCTCATCTTTGATGTTTCTTTTTTTTCTTTAATATATTTTATTGATTTTGTACAGAGAGGAAGGGAGAGAGATAATTAGAAACATCGATGAGAGAGAGTCATTGACCAGCTGCCTCTTGCACACCCCCCACTGGGGATATGCCCGCAACCAAGGTTCATGCCCTTGACCGGAATCGAACCCGGGTCCTCCAGTCCCCAAGCCGACGCTCTACCTATTGAGCCAAACCGGTTTCGGCTCATCCTTGATGTTTCTATCCAACTCTGAAATCAGTAACAATCTATTAAAAAAAAAAAAAAAAAAAAAAAAAAAGCAGTGCTATGTGGACACCTGAACCTAGGTCAAGTGAGCAAATGTGTGTCAGGTACCTTGTAAGTGCAAGATAGTAGTTGGGAATGAGGAGGCCAGGCTGTATTTGACCTTCCCTTTCCATCTCCTTCACATCCACATTCATTAAGACATGGAGAGAGCCAAGACCGGTTTGGTTCAATGGATAGAGCGTCGGCTTGGGGACTGAAAGGTCCTGGGTTCGATTCCGGTCAAGGGCATGTACCTTGGTTGTGGGCATATCCCCGGTAGGGGGTGTGCAAGAGGCAGCTGATCGATGACTCTCTCTCATCGATGTTTCTAGCTCTCTATCTCTCTCCCTTCCTCTCTGTACAAAATCAATAAAATATATTAAAAAAAAAAAAAAAAAAAAAAAGACATTGAGAGAGCCGAAACCGGTTTGGCTCAATGGATAGAGCATTGGTCTGCGGACTGAAAGGTCCCAGGTTCGATTCCAGTCAAGGGCATGTACATTTGTGAGTACATCCCCAATAGGGGGTGTGCAGGAGGCAGCTGTTTGATGTTTCTCTCATTGATGTTTCTAGCTCTCTATCCCTCTCTTTCCCTTGTGTAAAAGAATCAATAAAATATATTTTTTTAAAATATGTTGAGAGAAATCGTTGAGAGAAATGAGTGCTCATCTTACTCAGCCACTGGGTGTCCAAATGTCCCCCAACTTCTCCACATGGATCAGAGTTCCCAAAACCTTTCCTGGCAGGCACTTAGATACCACGGGCTGACCCAGATCAGAGTTCCTGGCTCTACCCACAAGCACAGTATAGGGCAAGTCACTTAGCTTCTAGAGTCTCAGTTTCCTTAATTGTGGACCATGTCCATTCATCCCAGTTCCATGGAGGCACAGTTGATCAAGGGCTTGGTAGAAGTGAGGAGGCATCTAATAAGCACCAGCTGTGTGCAGGACCCAGGCTTAGTGGCCAAGGTGAAAGTGCCTTGCATCCCAGCTCTGACACTTACTTGCTGTGTTATCTTGTCACACCAGTTTTTTCTCATCTGCAAAATGAGGATAACAGCTTTCACAAGTTACACACAGAGAGAGAAAGAGAGGAGGGGGGAAGAGAGAGAGGTGATGAGCTCAGTGTTTGGTGGTTTGCACTTGAGTAACGCTTACAAAAGATCTTTGGACCAGCCAGTTAGTCACTTACTCTCTAAGCATCTTCTTTCTCTGTTTACCAGTGGTGCTCCTCAGTCCTGGAGGACAGTGTGACAGAAACCCACCATAAAGGTGCGATTCTTCTAGCGTTTTAGGTTTGGGCCTACACCTACTTAGTTTTATACTTTTTAATCTTGTCAACTATACAGACACGGCCCTGCCTCCCTGCCTAAGCTCACAGTGATTCAAGGAAGACAAAAGGTGTTTGGTGCTGAGCTGCCAAGTCCTGTCAACACATAATTCTCGTTTTTCTCTCTTGTTAAGTAGGGATTGTGGTGAAGCCTGGGAGGGCTTCTGACTTCAATTTCTTGCAGAGGGAAGAGTGTGGCTTTATATACAGAGTGAGCGTGGGGTGGGGAAGTAATGGCAGACTGAATCCCTTCCCGGCCATTCCATCCACTCGGTCCTTCCTGTGTCACTGTTGTCCCTGGTCTAGCTGTGGTGCCCACACTCCTCCTCTCACATTTCCATTCTCCTATTTTGGTGTGCTGTTGGGACTTGGTCTCTACCTCTGTCCAGTTGTTCATGACCCCTCTTCCTTCCTCCTGGCCACCCAGCCACACAGACCCCCGCCTCTCCTTGCTCCTCTTTCTAGACTCACTTAGTTTGTCCCGTTGGTACAACCCTCTCCTGTCCTCATGCCCTTTTGGTCCTTCTTTTTTCTTAGTCAGCGTGCATACCCTGCTCTAATCCATTGAGCTCCAACTGTCATCACACCAAGAGAATGGGGCTTTTTTGGAGTAGTGTCTTTTTTCTTAATTGGGATAAAATTCACATAACTTAAAATTCAGAATTTTAAAGCATACAGTACAATGGCTTTAATACTTTCACAATGTTGTGCAACCATCACTACTATCTGATTCCAGAACATTCCTATCACCCCACGAAGAAACCACCTTCTTCATTAGCAGTCACCCTCAATTCTCTCCTCCCCAAACACTAGGAACTACTAATCTACTTTCTGTTTTGATGAATTTGCATATTCTGGACATTTCATATGAATGGAATCATGTATTTGGCCTTTGTATTTGTCTTCTCTCACCAAGCATGCTTTCAAGGTTCACTTGTGTTGGTTAGCATGTGTCAGATTCATTCTTTTTTATGGCTGAATAGTATTCCATTCTATAGCAATCCCACATTTTATTTATTTGTCAGTATGACATTTGGGTTGTTTCCACATGATTTCAGAGAATGTGGTTTTTAAGAATCTCAATCTTATTCTTTTTAAAAATATATATTTTATTGATTTTTTACAGAGAGGAAGGGAGAGAGATAGAGAGCTAGAAACGTCGATGAGAGAGAAACATCAACCAGCTGCCTCTTGCAAACCTCCTACCGGGGATGTGCCCGCATCCAATGTACATGCCCCTGACCAGAATCGAACCCGGGACCTCTCAGTCTGCAGACTGATGCTCTACCACTGAGCCAAACTGGTTTTGGCTCAATCTTATTCTTAAAAAATAATCAGTTATTTAGAAAAGAGGTACATACTGTGAAAAAACCTGGTTAGATTTTATCCTTGGATTAGGCTGGGTGTCCCCCCTCATTCTGTGTTGTAATTGCATTTACTTGTCTGTATCCCCATTAGACTATGAGGTCCCCAAGGGCAGAGACCCTGTCTTACTCGTCTCTAACCCCAGCACAGGGTCAGACACATAGTAGGTATTCTGTGACGTTCATTGAATGATGGCTAAATACCTCAGGGCCCCATCCGTTTTCCTCACACAAACAACTACAGAAGTTTAAAAAGGGACCCGAGAAAGCTCTATGGCCTATCATTGTGCCATCTGCCTGATCTCGAGCCTTGATAATTCCTGCCTCACCTGGCCCTGCCTAACCTCCCAGCCTCTCAGCTGTCATTTGCTTTTCTTTCGCTGTGCCTCTCCCCGTCCCCCGTTATCCCCCACTTGTCCAGATTTCTTAGGAGAACCTTCACTTATGCCAATCCTGTCTTCCCAAATGCGTCTAGCCCCTATCCCTTTGCATGCTTGGGACAAATGCTCAGCTGAAATGTCATGTCTTTTGAGGTCCCCCTCCCAGTGCAAAATACTCCCACCACTTGGCATACACCTCTCTCTGACCCTTCCCACTCATGTGCTGCCCTTCACCACCGTGTGACATTGGCCTGTCCAGGTGGCTATGGTTGGTTTCTCCCATTAGATTGTAAGCTCCCCAGGGTCATATTCTGTTTATATCTGTGTGCTTACCAACTACCTACTACAGTGCCTGGCACCCAGTACCTCCTCCCAAAAGTGAGTTGTAAATGAGCCTAGCATATGGTTCAAATAGAACAAACGCCACACCTAAGGTTGTGCCAGAGTTTCATCTCTCTTTATGGCTGAATAGTATTCCATTCTTTTGGAATTTGGGGTAAAGCAGAAATAGCAGTGTCTTGAAGTTTAAGACCTGTGTTAGGTCAGCTTTCTTCTCTTAATTATGAGAATAATAATAATAATAATAGCAATAAAAAGCAAGCCTTGATGGATGTCTTGCCAGTCTGGGCACTGTCCTAAGTACATCACATTCCACTTGTGTCTCATCCTTGCGATAGCCCTGTGAGGCCAAAGTGGTGAAATCTTCATTGAAACTGAAAGGCTTGCCGAAACCAGTTTGGCTCAGTGGATAGAGCGTCAGTCTGTGGACTCAAAGGTCCCAGGTTCGATTCCGGTCAAGAGCCATGTACATTGGTTGCGGGCACATCCCCAATAAGGGGTGTGCAGGAGGCAGCTGTTCAATGTTTCTCTCTCATCAATGTTTCTAGCTCTCCCTCTCCCTTCCTCTCTGTAAAAAATCAATAAAATATCTTAAAAAAAAAAAAAAAAGAAAGAAACTGAAAGGCTTAAGCCACTTGCCCAGGGCTTTACCAGGAGTCTCAGTGCTTGAATCATAGCTTTGTCCATCTCAGCCTCCTGCCTCAGTTCCCAGGGCTTTCTAGGCCTCAGTTTCCCCATTGGGAAAGCTGGCATTTAAGACACTGCCACTGGTGGGTGCTGTCTTCTGGGTCTCTGCCCTGGTAGGGAAATCCACCCAAGCCTGAGAATGACTCACTGTCTCTGCCCTCCCCACAGCCGGTGAGTTCTTCTGACAGTGAGGCCCCTGAAGCTGACACAGCCGGCAGGAGTGAGGACGATGAAGACAGGGGGGTCATGACTGTTACAGCCGTGACTACTGCAGCCGCCAGCGACAGGATGGAGAGCGATTCGGACTCAGACAAGAGCAGTGACAACAGCAGTCTGAAGCGAAAAGCATCAACTTTGAAGGTAGGGGTGGGGTGGGGCAGATTCACCTGGCTTGTCGGGCTAGTAAGTGCCCTGACTCTTTCCTTCCAGCCTGAAGTTGCATCCTGCAGCTTACTTACCCACTCCTGTTTTTTAAATCAGATTCATGAAGGGTCCCAGTTGACCTCATTAAAAGTTCCGGAGCAGGGGTGGGGAACCATTATTCTGCCAAGGGCCACTTGGATACTTAATAACATCATTCTTGAGCCAGACAAAACTATCAACTTAAAAATTAACCTGCTAGCCGGGACCGGTTTGGCTCAGTGGATAGAGCGTCGGCCTGTGGACTAAAGGGTCCCGGGTTCGATTCCGGTCAAGGGCATGTACCTCGGTTGTGGGCACATCCCCAGTGGGGGGTGTGCAGGAGGCAGCTGGTCGATGATTCTCTCTCATCGATGCTTCTAACTCTCTATCCCTCTCTCTTCCTCTCTGTGAAAAATCAATAAAAATATATTTTAAAAAAAAATTAACCTGCTATATTTGGTCAAACATTTAATTAACTGACCCCTAATGCCTTGGCTGGCCAGACCAAATGATTTCTTGGGTCTTATAGGCTCTTGGGCCAGAATTGCCCACTCCTTTGTAGAGTTTGAGCTCTTCCCGGGATAAGAGGGGTCAGTGGGAGACTGTTGAGCACATATGCTTTTCTGGTCTGTTTGGGTTGCTCTCCCTCCAGATGTCGGTCTCAAAACGAGCCCGGAAGGCCTCCAGTGACCTGGATCAGGCTAGTGTGTCCCCATCTGAGGAGGAGAACTCTGAAAGCTCATCTGAGTCAGAGAAGACCAGTGACCAGGTGAGCAGGTGGTTTGCTCCTTGGGTGGGTGGGGAGAGATGCACAGGTGAGGGCCAAGCAGTGGCTAGCCAGGTGAATTCTGTTCAGCTCTCTTCTCTCTGCCCAGGATTTCACCCCTGAGAAGAAAGCCATGGTTCGGGTGCCACGGCGGGGCGCCCTGGCAGGACGGAAGAAAAAGGTAGAGGTGTGTTGTGTTTTTTTCTTAAGTTTGTTTTCATTTTCTTTATTTATTTTGTTAAATATATCGTTACTGATTTCCAAGAGGAAGGGAGAGAGAGATAGAAACATCAGTGATGAGAGAGAATCATTGATTGGCTGCCTCCTGCATGCCCCCTACTGGGGATTGAGCCTGGGCATGTGCCCTGACCAGGAATCAAACTGGTGACCTCTTAATTCCTGGGGTCCTCTTTGGAGGAGGATAGGGCGTAGGCCAGGGACTGCCGACTTCCTCCTCTGGTTTCACTGATGGCTTCACCCCTAGTTTCTGAGTGCCATGTGTGCAGAGCACTTCCCTGAGCAGATGACCTATTTTTGCAGCTCCTGTCTTTTACTGGTGTTGGCATCAGAAAGGAGTGAAGCACTCTTAATTATCGTGTGTGTGTGTGTGTGTGTGTATGAGAGAGAGAGAGAGAAAGCTGTGTGTTGTATGTGTATATTTGTATTAATATATGAATTGTATGTGCAGGTGTGTGTATGAGCATGTGCATACCTGCACAAGTGTGCGCATGTATATGAATGTGTTATCTGGCATGTATGAGCTATCTATGAGTTATATACAAGTATTATGTGTAGTGTGTGCATGTACAAACGTGGATATGAGTGTGCATATATAAGAGTGTGCATGTACAAGTGTGTGCCGGGAACTCGGGAGCTCGGGGACAGAGACAGTGGAAGAGGGCAGCGCATCTGGTTGGGCCTCCAGGCAAGATTTTAAAAAGCTCTTGCCACTGGGGAAAATCTTTGCATTTCACCCAGGAGGAGGGGATCTGGGGAGATTATGCCCTGTGACCAAGGTGAAGGATCAGGCAGCTGGAGGCACATCCAGGGCTGCCTGTGATTCTAAGCCTAAAAAAGCTTTTTTAATTTGGAGGAGGTGAAATTTTGTGGGTTGGGGGCCATAAGGGGTGCTGGGGTCTGCTCTCTCACCTCCATGCCCTGGTCTCTTCCAGAAGCCACCATCGGCCTCTGACTCAGACTCCATACCGGAATCTGAAGGGGTCAAAGTTGAGCCAGTGGCCGTGACCAGGTCAGCCTCTTCCTCCTCTTTGGCCTCCTCGTCCTCCTCCTCAGACTCCGACGTGTCCGTAAAGAAACCTCCCAGGGGCAGGAAGCCAGGTAGGGTAGCTGGCACTGGTTCTGACCTGGTTCCCTGGGGCCTTCCCCACATGGGCCCTCGCCTCTGGGCGGGCCTGTGGGCGCCCCTTGCCCTGCCTGGGGGACATTGCGGAAGAAGGCCACCCCTTCCTTTTTCGTAGCTGAAAAGCCTCCCCCAAAGCCCCGCGGGCGGAAACCGAAGCCTGAACGGCCCCCGAGCAGCTCAAGCAGTGACAGGTGGGTTGCTTCTGGTAGGATCCTCAGCCTGGCTGTGGGTGGGTCTGGAGCAGTGCCTTCTGAGGACCAGCCCCTTCTCTAATTGGCCTGCACCCCCAGCGACAGCGAGGAGGTAGACCGGATCAGCGAGTGGAAGCGCCGTGATGAAGAACGGCGCCGTGAGCTGGAGGCCCGGCGGCGCCGGGAGCAGGAGGAGGAGCTGCGGCGGCTCCGGGAGCAGGAGAAGGAAGAGAAGGAGCGGAGGCGCGAACGGGCTGAGCGTGGGGAAGCCCTGCCAGGGGGCAGCGGGGGAAGCAGCGGCGATGAGGTCAGGGATGAAGAAGAGCCCGTCAGGAAGCAGCGTGGCCGGAAGGGACGGGGACGGGGGCCCCAGTCCTCCTCTGACTCGGAGCCGGAGGCTGAGCTGGAGAGAGAGGTGCGCCCAACTTGGTGGGGGTCTTGGCAGCCCCGTGGGGGGGAGGGTGATGGGGAAACATAAGTAACTGAAGAGGCTTCTCCCTAACACCCACCCTTTCAAGCAAGTCCATGCCTTTATCCAGCATGTTTGTTGAGCACCTGTTGTGTACTAGACACTGTCCTGGGTGCTGGGGGAGTGGCGGTCAAGCAGTGGGTGACACACAGAAACCCCTGATGTTAAGGACCTGGTATCTGAGGGAGGGAGAAAGAGTAGACAACATTAACATGTTATATGGTGCTTTCCAGCGTGTTCTGTGCTAAGATGATTAAGGCAAAGGGAAGGACATGAAGTGTTGAGATGAGAGGATTTCTATTTTAAATGGGGTAGACCCTGCTAAGGCATCGGTTGAGAAGGTGACATGTAAGGATCTGAGTTAAGTGGGAGGTGATGTGGGAAGATAACTTGGAGAGCAACATCCTAGACTATGGGCATAGCCTGTGCAAAGGTCTTGGGGCAAGACTCTGCATGGCATGTTGCAGGAAGAACAAGGCTTGTATGGCTGGGTCAGAGTGAGCCAGGGGGAGAGAAGAAGGTGAGGGCAGGGAGGGAATGGAGACAGGATGTGCAGGGCCTTGTGGACAGTGGGGAGGACTTAAGCTTTTACCCTGGGAGAGGTGGGAGACCTGAAGTCTGTGTGCAGACAAGGGGTGGATGTGACTTAGATGTTCACATGTGTCCTCTGGCCATTATGGGTAACAGCTTGTGGGGTGAGCATGGGAGCAATCAGGAAGACTCTGATGCCAGTGAGGGGCAGTGGTGACAATCAAGCACCATGTGTTGGTGTGGGCCTGAATCCAAGAATCTGATTTCCAAGGTCCATCACGTTCTAGACCAGGATCCCACTTCATGTGGGAATGGAGAAAGCCTGACAACACCCTGTTCTCTCCCAGTCCCTTTCCCTTGTCCCAAAGTGGGGACCAAGTTCCCTGTTTCAGGAAGTGTCCTGCTTGGAAGAAGGAATACAAAGGGCTGCCCCACTGTTGGCGGTCCTTTCAGAGCCTGAGATCTGCTGCCAGGGATGGAGGGGACACGGGACCTTTCCCATTCCATCCTGTCCATTCTGCCAGCTCCCAGCAGTGAAGGTGGTGGCAGGAAGTGTCTTCCCACGGGGGATGGTTCAGTACAGAGCCAGCCCCTGCCACTCCAGCCCCTCTGTTTTGCTGCTGCAGGTGAAGAAATCAGCTAAGAAGTTGCAGCCACAAAGCACAGAGCCTGTGAGGAGACCCAGCCAGAAGGAGAAGAAAGGGCGCCCTGAGGAGAAGCCCCGATCCAGGTTGGCACTCACTTAGCCTGTCTGCCATAGTTCCCCAAGGCCCACCCTGGTCCCCAGGTTCTCACTCTCATTGCGGGGCTGGGCTTCCAAATTTAGTTTGGTAAACAGATCCTGTTGAAGTGTCCCCTTTTCAGGATTGTGGTCCTTGACTGGGGTTTTCCAGACATCAAGTGAATGGGGGCCAGGGATGCTCAACGCACCGTAGTGTGCAGGATGGCCCCCCATCCCCTCACAGAGAATGACCTGGCCCTGATGTCAACAGTGCCGAAGGGGGGAACTGTCCCCAGACCAGTGGTTCTCAGGCTTTTTAAGTCCAAGACCCACTGAGTTGTGGGGCCAGCACATCTCCAACATTTTGAAGTGGAATTCTAGCTATTGGTTGGAATCTGTCCAGTGGGAACTTGCAGCCTGACTGCCAAGTAGAGTGTAGAACTGAAACCGTGTTAATGAGTGTGGCTGTTGCCTATGACTATCCAAGTGGATCGCCTTTTTATAACTTACTCTCTGGGTCTTATGTACTAGACTAACCCTCAGCCACATATGAAAAAACAAAGAAAGCCGAAACTGGTTTGGCTCAGTGGTAGAGCGTCAGTCTGCAGACTGAAAGATCCCGGGTTCGATTCCGGTCAGGAGCATGTACATTGGTTGCGGGCACATCCCCGGTAGGGGGTTTGCAAGAGGCAGCTGGTTGATGTTTCTCTCTCATCGACATTTCTAGCTCTCTATCTCTCTCCCTTCCTCTCTGTAAAAAATTAATAAAATATATTAAAAACAAAAAACAAAGAGAGAACTTGGAGATTTCAAGTGGTTTTTCCCAGGTGCCTGTCTTAGATCAGGTCTCGATGGTCCTGACAGCTTTGGGGCCTCCTAAAAGTTTTCTTCTGTAGCTCCCGGCCTTATTGGGGAGGATGGCAGTGGTTGGGGCAGGCTGGCTTCATGGATGTTGATCAGAGGCCTAAAGGAATTGAGTCTTCAACAGGCCCGTGAAGGTGGAACGAACCCGGAAGCGGTCAGAAGGGTTCCCACCCGACAAGAAGGTCGAGAAGAAGAAAGGTGAGGGCCCAGCTGTCACAGTTGCTGCCAAGGTCTTGAGCCCACGGTTGCTGAGGTCGGGAGGGGGGCAGGCTGCTTCTGTCACGTAGCAGTGCTCAGGCCCATGGCCAAGTCGGTTTGGGAGCTTAGGCCCAGGCAGTGCATTCTCTCCTGGCCACAGAACCTTCCGTGGAGGAGAAGCTTCAGAAACTGCACAGCGAGATCAAGTTTGCCCTCAAGGTCGATAATCCGGTAAGACACACCTTAGGGTCATAAAGAACCACTCTCTCGGAGTGAAGCAGTCCTTGCCACCCCTTTATGTCTAGAATTCCCTTAGAAGTCTCCAGAAATTGAGGCAAATTCAGGGTTCCTCGGGGTTGATGGGACGGGGTGGGGGGTCCATTGTTTTTATTGTGTATCCCCAGCTGGGGGCCATCCTGATGTGCAATGCTCAGTGTCCCTGCCAGCTGGCTCTGTGGACAGGACCCAAGAACCCTCTTAATCTGGGTCTTTCGGCAGCTCTTTCCACAGGGAATGCCCCAAGGCGTCCTGTTCTGACCTCTTGGGTCGCCTAGGTGCTATCCCTCCTCACTTCTTACTTTCCCCCCCTCAGGATGTGAAGAGGTGTTTGAATGCACTAGAGGAGCTTGGGACCCTGCAGGTGACCTCACATATCCTCCAGAAGAACACTGATGTGGTGGCCACGTTGAAAAAGGTACCGTTGGAGCCCAGGGTTGGAAGCAGGCTGGGGTCTGCATGGGGAGCCTGTGTTCCAGGCCACAGCGGCCCTTGGCCGGTGGACTGCCTAGGGGAGTGCCAGTCTCTGTGGGAGGTGCCCAGGTGGTGGCAGCAATAGGGAGGGTCTAGGGTGGGGTGGGGGGGAATGAGGCCCACTGCACTCCCTGAGCCAGGCCTCTTGGCGGGCAGATTCGCCGTTACAAGGCCAACAAGGAGGTGATGGAGAAGGCTGCGGAAGTCTACACCCGGCTCAAGTCTCGGGTCCTGGGACCAAAGATTGAGGCCATTCAGAAGGCAACCAGGACTGGAGTGGAGAAGGAGCCGACTGAGGCGGAGAAGCCTGAGGAGGCTCCAGCTGGAGAGGAGGCCCCGTCGGAGAGGGCAGAGGATGAGGCCGGTGCTGGTGAGGAGCTGGGTGGGCTCCTCCCCGATAACAATATGGTGTGTCCTGGTGCTCTCTGCGCAGGCCTGGCTGTGTCCCCAAGGCAGCTGGTGCCTGGTACACACGCACACCTATGCCCCTCACGGGCTCTGGATTCTCAAGAGTCAGGCAGTGTAGGAGGCTGTGTGTGTGTGTGTGTGTGTGTGTGTGTGTGTGTGAACACTCCTGTGAGGCACAGGCCTTGGGCTGGAGCTGGAGGGTCATGGGTGAGCTGAGGAAAAAGGATGTTTCCAGCAAGGACAGTGGCCTTTGGGGCGGGAGTTGTTCCTGTTGGGGTCACCTGGTCCTGATGACAGATGCTTAGAGCAGCCCTTCAGACTGATGTTTGGTTGGCTCGGCTGAAGAAGCCTCAGCAACCTGGGGGCTAGCCCAGCAGGCACTCATTTACTGGCCCCTCCCTTTTTCAGCCAGCCGTAGCCCGGTGGAGCGGATAGTCCCCATGCAGCTGGGAGGTAGAAATGATTGTGGACACTTGGGGCCAGGGTCCATCAGGAGTGTCGAGAGTCCCCTGTCCCAAAGCTGCTCTCAAAAGGAAGGGACGGGTCCTGGGCAATAGCACCACTGTGTCGTATGACGCCCTTTCCTCCCCCAGATCTCTCAGCCTCTGTGAATGGTGAGGCCACATCCCAGAAGGGTGGGAGCATGGAGGACAAGGAACAGGAGGAAGGACAGAACTCGGAAGAGGGGCCGGTGGGGGGCTCCTCTGAAGACTTGTTACACAATGAGTAAGTGTCCCTGGGGCTGTGGCACTGGGGGTGACACTCTCAGAAAGCAGGGGGTGGGGGCGACTTGCTGAGAAGGCACCCTGATGTCTGGGCTGCTTATCATGGTCAGGGTCCCAGGGACTTGGCCCCCATGTGCTGGCCTCCCATCTCCTACTTTAGCAGCAGACACCTCTGGACGCCCCAGTCGAGGAAGCGAGCTGCCCTGGATCAGATCCTAGGGACAGTGGCTTCCTCCCAACTCTCCAGGAATGGGTGCGGGCAGTCTCTGTCACAAGCATCCTCGGGTCTGGTGTGCGGCCTGCTGAGAACCTCAGACCATTCAACACACACCCACTGCGTTGGGCACGGCGGGATGAGCCTAGGGCTGTTAGATGGAGACAGACAGACAGAAAGGCAGGTGCTCACCCCCACCGTGCTGTGCTTCACCAGCAGCGCGAGGGAGGGCCCCGACCTGGACGGGCCTGGGAAGGACCGGCAGGAGCGCCAGAGGGCGCGCGTGGACTCTGAGTCCCTGGACGACGAGGACAGCTGAGCCCGGGCAGCCCGGCGGCCAGGCCCCGCCTGACATGTAGATGCCCGTAGGCCTGCCCCCTCCTTCCCGGCCGCCCAGGGAGCAGAGAACTGTTGGGGAGATGCTGTGCTCTTCATTTGTATTTGTCCCTCGGGGTTTTTTTTCTGCCCAATTTCTGTGATTTCCAACCAACATGAAATGACTATAAAGGGTTTTTTTAATGAAAAAAATTACTTTTATTGGCTTGGTTTTCTAGTGTTACTGGTGCAGCTGGGCTAGAATGGGGAGAGGCCTATAGCTCTCAAGGGCCCTATTGGGGACAAAGGGTTTAAGCCATAGTGTCACCCTATACAGTGAATGTGAGCTTGGTTTTAATGGCGTTCCTGGCCCGGCAGGCCTGATGCTGAAGAAATGGGGTTGGAGCAAAGCCTTTCCAAAACTAATAAAGGAAAAATAAAACTCTCTGAACTTCGAGGCTCAAATGGAGGCTGTGGTTTGATGTCCTGGGTTTGGCTGCCCAGTGCCCAGAAAGGAGAAACAAAGAGACCAAGAGGGCAGGTCCGGGACAGTGGCTACCATGCTCCACTGGCTCAGTCGTTTTCCCTCTTGCCCAGGCTGCAGGAGGCATTGCGAGGCCCCTTACCCCCCCACCCCCCCGCCCTGTCAAGAACCAATGTACCTGGCACTGCCAGTTCGGGGCATTCAGTCCAGGAAGTGTCCTGTGGGTTGTTTTCTTTACACATTCAGAGAGCGTAAGGCCTCCCTGTGTGACATTGGGCAAGTGGCACTCCCACTCTGGGCTTGTCTTTTCTCACCTGGATAGGGGGTGACTCCAGCCTCTCAGGGAAGTCTAGTGGATTTAGATGGAGGATGAGTGTGTGTGACTCCCAGCCAGGCACCTGCCCTCAGCAGTTTGTGGCTAAACAGTGGCCTCCTTTGTGTCCCCCTGTTGTGGGTGAGTCCACGCATCCTAACTAAGAGGGAGACTGCGGTATGGCAGGGATTTCTTGAGTCCTGCCCACCCTCCATTTGGTTTTGCTGGACTTGAAGTCAGGTCACTCTGCTGGGTTTCTGTGAATAGCTGTATTCCCAGTGTCTTCACTCCGGATAACTTAGGTATTGGAAAGAACATCTCGGAAGGTTCACTGACTGGGTCCTTTGTCAAGCCGGGTGCCAGCACCCCAATGCAGGAGTCCCTCCCAGATGCTGGCAGCCTTTGGTAACCCTTAGGGAGAGCAAGCCCATTCATCCTGGAGCTCAGAGCACCTCATCATTTCTGAGAAGGGGTACAGTGTCGGGGCGTGCTGTCGGCATGGGGCAGGTTCTGGGAAGATGGACCTGGCTTGGGCCGCTGGTGTTCTGATGTCCAGCTCCCAGATGGAGAGAAGCCTAGGCCAACATCCTGAGTTTTCAACATCTGGGGGCAGGGGCAGGGGGCTTGGACCTCTGGCTGGGATTGCAGGGATGCTCCCAACCATCGCAGGCCCTGGTCTCTAGCCTGGAGCACATTACCAAGACCTGAAGGATCATTCAGCACCTTGTTCCGTACTCCTTGGGGCCCTGTCCCTTGTGGGGAAACCCTTTCATTCCGCCATTGGCAGCCTCTGGGCCCAGGTGCCCCAGGGACAGAATCTCAGCTCTGTAATCTTGTGATTGGCCTGTAGGACCGGGCAGGTGAGTAAGCAGAAGAGGTCGGAAGGGGCTTGATTTGTAGGCCCCCCCCCATAGTCCCTCTAAGCAATGCAGTCCTCAAGGCAGGCCCTGAAAAGCTGGAGGCAGCGGGGCAGCTGGTGGCTTTGTCCTCACAAAGTCCCTTATCTAGGCCACATTCAGCAAAGGCACTTGGGACCCTGCCTCCGGAGGGTGGTGGCATTCTGTTACATTGTGGCGCAAGGTGTTTGCTAGATCTGGGGAAGACGCTTTCAAAATGAGTACATAGGAGCAGGACTACCCGCTAAGCTGGTAGCTGAAGGCTCAGACTGGGTAGAAGACCTCTATCCCTGCAAAGATAATGGGACTCCTAGTGGGGACTGCTAGGAGAATCTTCTAGACTTAGTCACATTTCACTTGTTTTATAACTGGAGTGTTTGCTCAGGATCTCATTGACATAAGACCTCTGTCAATGGTCTTAGCAACCCTGGGTCCTAGGCCAGCCATGCTTGAGAAGAAAGGTGGATGGGGCAGTCCCAGAGCTTCAGGGAGTTGGGGCTGGAGAGGCTCTGAGAAGGACCTATAGCTGCTGCCCACCAGGGTGCAGGTCAAAGGGCCCCACCAGCCAGCTGAGTGGGGGGCTGTGCTGCACGCTCTCCAGCTGCTTCTCCAGCTCTTGCCAGGCCTGGCCTACACTCTCACGGCTCTGAGCCAGGCGCTCGGCTGGCAGCTCTGCAATGGAGCTGGCAGAGGAGACGACGCCATAGAGCCCACAGAGGCTGTGTCTCGCCTGCCTGACCTGCTGCTGGAGCTCGGCTGGGAGACCCTGGAGGCTGGAGGCCAGGGTGCTGTAAGCCACGTGGAGCTGCTGGATGAGTCCACTGGTCCTGGACAGAACTCCCAAGTCTGTCACCTGCAGGAAGAGGGAGAGGGGTGAGCAGGGGTCAGAGAGGAGAAGACCCTGGGAGCCTTGTCTTGTACGTACCTCTTGGGTGCCGGCTTTATCCGTCCATGGCTGTCCTTCTGGAGCCTGCTTGGCCTTTTCAATCTGTAAAGAGCCCAGCAGAGAAATGAGGGCTTTTGGCTATGACCTTTCACACACTTTCTCCTAAGAATGACATGAGGAGCTGGGGTGGGAACTCCCTGGCCTGGAGCTGTGTGTCTAGACCTTTGTGTGGCATGGTGGGAGTGTCACAAGTCTAGAGCCAGCTACCCCTGACAGGCCTGTCTTCTCTTGTAGAGTGGCAATAATCCAAATCCTCATGAGGTCTTCAGCGAGATCAAATAACAGTTGATGGAATCTTGTCACTCCCCAACTCAAAGCCCTCACGTGGCTCCCCATTCCCTGTTGGATGAAACCAACGCCTCCCAGTGGTCTGCACAACCTGCCCCCAGGGCATCTCAGATCTCATCTCCCGATAACACCACATCATGATCACTGTACACCACCGAGCCCTAGGTCCCTGGGCTCTCCCTCCTCCGTCCCCACCTTCACTCCACCCTGTCACCCTAGCTGCCTTTCTCTTTGAACACATAGCTTGTTATTGGGCACTCTGGTGTTTTTAAATTGATTTTATTTTTTATTTTTAAAAATATGTTTTTATTGATTTTAGAGAGAGAAGAAAGGAGAGCGACAGAGAGAAACATCAATTGGCTGCCTCCTGCACACCACCTACTTGGGATGGAGTCCACAATCCATCCAGACATGTGCCCTGCCTGGGAATCAAACCTGTGGTTCATAGGTCGATGTTCAACCACTGAGACATCTCAACCAGTCTTACATTGATTTTAAAGAGGAAAGGAAAGAGGAAAAAAAAACACATCGATTTGTTCTGCTTATTTACACATTCATAGATTGATTGTTCTTTGTGCCCTGATTGGGGATTGAACCTGCAACCTTGGCATATTGGGATGATGCTCTAACCAACTGAGCTACCCAGTTAGGACTGGGTAGTCTCTTCTTATGGTCCCACTTCTCCCCACCTCCGCATGGCCCCTTGGCATTCACAATGTGGCTCCAAGAGGCGCTCTCCTGCCCAGCCTAGACCCTCTCTGTCTGCATGGTTGTCTTATTTCTTTCTTTGCATCCCTTTTTCTAGGTATATCAGTCCCTTCTTATGGTCACTTTCACTTTCCACAATTTCAGTTCCTGCAGCCAATTACGGTTCAAAAATATTAAAAGAAAAATTCCAGAAATAAACAATTCATAATTTAAAAATGGCTGTTCTGAATAGTGTGTTGAGATCGCAAATGGCCTGCTCTGTCCTGCCGGGACATCCCTTTGTCCAGTGTCTCCACTCTGTAGATGCCCCTCCTGTTAGTCACACAGTAGCCATATCAGTTATCAAGTCAATTATTGGGGTATCACAGCACTCATGTTCAAGACACCTAATTTTACTTAATGCAACAGTAACATCACTTACAGTATGTTATAATTGCTCTATTATTACTGTTAATCTCTCACTGTGCCTAAATTATAAATTAAACTTTATCATAGGCCGAAGCCGGTTTGGCTCAGTGGTAGAGCGTCGGTCTGCGGACTGAAAGGTCCCAGGTTCGATTCCAGTCAGGGGCATGTACGTTGGTTGTGGGCACGTCCCCAGTGTGGGGGGTGTAGGAGGCAGCTGGTCGATGTTTCTCCCTCATCGACGTTTCTAGCTCTCTCTCTCCCTTCCTCTCTGTAAAAAATCAATAAAATATATATATTTAAACTTTATCATAGGTATTATATGTGTTGGAAAAAATAGTATATTTAGGGTTCAGTCTATCAATGGTTTTAGGCATCCACAGGGAGTCTTGGAAAATCTCTCCCAAAGATATGGGGTCGGGGGGCACTACTGTATTTGGTTTGATTGTCCATCTTCCTCTCTGGGACACAAGCCCCACGAGAACAATCTGTGGCTGTCTTAGTGGCTGACAGATGTCAGGTCACAGCCTGTGGTAAGGGAAGCCATGGGAAGGTATTCTGAGAAAGACACCCTGGAGAGGGGAACACTCTTACCAGCCTAATGGAGTCCTCAAGCTGGGCCAGTGTAGCCCTAGCCTGGAACTGGCCATGCTGCAAATGGCTCAGGGTATGCTCGAAAGCCCGCTGGCGAAAGCTGTGGGCCAGGTCACCAAGACGCACGAAGTAACTGCTCTGGTCTGCTGCGGGTACCCTGGGCCCAGGCTCAGAAGCCACCAATTGAGCTGGAAGGGAAGATGAGATTACTCAACCCAAGAGTCCCCTTGCTGTACAGATGACAGGCACCCACTAAGACTGCTAGTCTCACCTTGCTCCTCAGCGTTCATGGGGTGGAAGATCTCCCGCAGTTCCTCTGGAAGTGTCAGGAAGCCCATGACACCTTCATGGCTGTGCATGGTGGCCATGCACCCCGCATCCTCCGTACCCAGTGAGGTTCCTTGTGTGATTGCTACCACAGTGGAACCAAGGCTCTGGGTTCTTGGAGTGGCTTCTGTGGCAAGGACATGGCCAGCACAGAGAGTGTCAGGGAGGCTGGAGACCATGCAGGATGAAGCCTCCAGGGGGTTTACCACAGTTTGTTGCCCAAATTTGTCTGTCTCTGAGTCCTTGGTGAGTCCACCATAGGAGCTTTCCCCAGAAGCTGGTAACCAATTCTGTACAGTGCCCAGACCAATCTGGACAGCGCCCTTGGTCAAACCCATGGCCCCATTGAGGCCAGTGGATACTGTGTCTTTGGTGCCAGTCAGGAAGGTCTTGGAGGTATCCACACCAGTCTGGACGGCACACTTGGCCATATCCATTGCCCCAGTGAGTCCAGTGGACACCGTGTCTTTGGTTCCCATAAGAACAGTCTTTGAAGTATTTATGCCAGTTTGGATGGCACCCTTGGCTACACCCACTGCCCCGGTGAGGCCGGTAGACACAGTGTTTTTGGTGCCAGTCAGGATGGTCTTGGAGGTGTCCACACTAGTTTGAACAGCACCCTTGGCCGTACCCATTGCTCCGGATAGACCAGTGGACACTGTATCTTTGGTGCCAGTCAGGATGGTCTTGGAGGTGTCCACACCTGTCTGGACGGCACTCTTTGCGACACCTATTGCCCCGGTGAGGCCAGCGGACACTGTGTCTTTGGTGCCAGAAAGAACGGTCTTGGTAGTGTCCATGCCAGTTTGTATGGTACCTTTGGCCACACCCATTGCCCCAGTGAGGCCAGCGGACACTGTGTCTTTGGTGCCAGTTAGGATGGTCTTGGAGGTGTCCACACCGGTCTGGACAGCACCCTTGGCCACACCCACTGCCCCAGTGAGACCAGCGGACACTGTGTCTTTAGTGCCAGTGAGAACCGTCTTGGTAGTGTCCATGCCAGTTTGGACGGCTCCTTTGGCTACATCCATTGCCCCAGTGAGGCCAGTGGACACTGTGTCTTTGGTACCAGTGAGAACCGTCTTGGTTGTGTCCACACCGGTCTGGACTGCACCCTTGGCCATTCCCATTGCTCCGGTTAGGCCGGCAGACACAGTGTCTTTGGTGCCAGAGAGAACGGTCTTGGTAGTGTCCACACCAGTTTGGACGGCACCTTTGGCTACACCCATTGCGCCAGTGAGTCCAGTGGACACCGTGTCTTTGGTGCCAGTCAAGATGGTCTTGGAGGTGTTCACACTGGTCTGGACAGCACCCTTGGCCATTCCCATTGCTCCGGTTAGGCCGGCAGACACTGTGTCTTTGGTGCCAGAGAGAACCGTCTTGGTAGTGTCCACGCCAGTCTGGACTGCACCCTTGGCCACACCTACGGCCCCGGTGAGGCCAGCGGACACTGTGTCTTTGGTGCCAGAAAGAACGGTCTTGGTAGTGTCCATGCCAGTTTGTATGGTACCTTTGGCCACACCCATTGCCCCAGTGAGGCCAGCGGACACTGTGTCTTTGGTGCCAGTCAGGATGGTTTTCGAGGTGTCCACACCAGTTCGGACTGCACCCTTGGCCACACCCATTGCCCCAGTGAGGCCAGTGGACACTGTGTCTTTGGTGCCAGTCAGGATGGTTTTCGATGTGTCCACACCAGTTTGGACAGCACCCTTGGCCACACCCATTGCCCCAGTGAGGCCAGCGGACACTGTGTTTTTGGTGCCAGTTAGGATGGTCTTGGAGGTGTCCACACCAGTCTGGACTGCACCCTTGGCTACACCCACTGCCCCAGTGAGACCAGCGGACACTGTGTCTTTGGTGCCAGTGAGAACCGTCTTGGTAGTGTCCATGCCAGTTTGGACGGCTCCTTTGGCTACATCCATTGCTCCAGTGAGGCCAGTGGACACTGTGTTTTTGGTACCAGTGAGGACTGTCTTGGTTGTGTCCACACCGGTCTGGACTGCACCCTTGGCCATTCCCATTGCTCCGGTTAGGCCGGCAGACACAGTGTCTTTGGTGCCAGAGAGAACGGTCTTGGTAGTGTCCACACCAGTTTGGACGGCACCTTTGGCTACACCCATTGCGCCAGTGAGGCCAGTGGATACAGTGTTTTTGGTGCCAGTTAGGATGGTCTTGGAGGTGTCCACACCGGTCTGGACTGCACCCTTGGCTACACCCATTGCACCAGTGAGTCCAGTAGACACTGTGTCTTTGGTGCCAGTGAGAACCGTCTTAGTTGTGTCCATGCCAGTCTGAACAGCACCCTTGGCCACACCCATTGCCCCAGTGAGGCCAGTGGATACAGTGTTTTTGGTGCCAGTTAGGATGGTCTTGGAGGTGTCCACACCAGTCTGGACTGCACCCTTGGCCATTCCCATTGCTCCGGTTAGGCCGGCAGACACTGTGTCTTTGGTGCCAGAGAGAACCGTCTTGGTAGTGTCCACGCCAGTTTGGACGGCACCTTTGGCTACACCCATTGCCCCGGTGAGTCCAGTGGAAACTGTGTCTTTGGTGCCAGTGAGAACCGTCTTGGTAGTGTCCACACCGGTCTGGACAGCACCCTTGGCCACACCCATTGCCCCAGTGAGACCAGCGGACACTGTATCTTTGGTGCCAGAAAGAACAGTCTTGGTAGTATCCATGCCAGTTTGTATGGCACCTTTGGCTACACCCATTGCGCCAGTGAGGCCAGTGGACACTGTGTTTTTGGTGCCAGTCAAGATGGTCTTGGAGGTGTCCATGCCAGTCTGGATGGCACCCTTGGCCACACCCACTGCCCCATTGAGGCCAGCGGACACTGTGTTTTTGGTGCCAGTTAGGATGGTCTTGGAGGTGTCCACACCGGTCTGGACAGTACCCTTGGCCATTCCCATTGCTCCGGTTAGGCCAGCGGACACTGTGTCTTTGGTGCCAGTGAGAACGGTCTTGGTAGTGTCCACACCAGTTTGGACGGCACCTTTGGCTACACCCATTGCCCCGGTGAGACCAGCTGACACTGTGTCTTTAGTGCCACTGAGGACCGTTTTGGAGGTGTTCACGCCTGTCTGGACGGCACTCTTCGCGACTCCTATTGCCCCAGTGAGGCCAGTGGACACTGTGTCTTTGGTGCCAGTAAGAACGGACTTGGTAGTGTCCACACCAGTTTGGACGGCACCTTTGGCTACACCCATTGCCCCGGTGAGACCAGCTGACACTGTGTCTTTAGTGCCACTGAGGACCGTTTTGGAGGTGTTCACGCCTGTCTGGACGGCACTCTTCGCGACTCCTATTGCCCCAGTGAGGCCAGTGGACACTGTGTCTTTGGTGCCAGTAAGAACGGACTTGGTAGTGTCCATGCCAGTTTGGACGGCACCTTTGGCCACATCCATTGCCCCAGTGAGGCCAGTGGACACTGTGTCTTTGGTGCCAGTCAGGATGGTCTTGGAGGTGTCCACACCGGTCTGGACAGCACCCTTGGCTACACCCACTGCCCCAGTGAGGCCAGCGGACACTGTGTCTTTGGTGCCAGTGAGAACCGTCTTGGTAGTGTCCATGCCAGTCTGGACGGCACCCTTGGCCATTCCCATTGCTCCGGTGAGGCCAGCGGACACTGTGTCTTTGGTGCCAGTCAGGATGGTCTTGGAGGTGTCCACACCAGTTTGGACTACACCCTTGGCCACACCTACTGCCCCAGTGAGGCCAGTGGACACTGTGTCTTTGGTGCCTGTGAGGACTGTCTTTGTGGTGTCCAGGCCCCCCTGTACAGCCCCTGTCACCATATTCATAGCACCAGTCACTCCACTACAGATGGTGTTTTTGGTGTCGGTCAGCGCCATCTTGGTGGTATCCACACCAGCCTGAAAGGTCCCTTTGGCCATATCCACTGTCCCTGTGACCCCGCTGGCCACAGCCTCCTTGGTTCCGGTGTGCTCAGGTTGGGACATTCCAAGACCTCTCTGCGCCACACCTTTAGCGGAGTCTGTCATGTTCGCCACTCCAGAGGAAATGGCGTCTTTCGTTTTGGTCATCATGGAGCACACCTGGTCTTTCACCCCAGAGATCATCTGACGAGAAAGGACATGTGTGGTCAAGAGCAGAGCTGGGAGGCAGACTTCTGCCAGCCTGATTCCCCATGGGCCTGGTAAGTGGTATCTGTCACCCCGAGGCCCTGCCTCCTCACTTCCCACCCCCGAGGTACCCGTGGCCTTCCAGGACACAGCCTTCACAAACTCAATCACGTCAAGTTACTTGTCTGACCAAATAGAGCCCCTTTGCTGACAGCGGGTCCCTAATACTCTGCAACCCTTGACGAGGTGCCTTGGTGGTATCCATGCCTTAGGCTCAACAAGCCATTGAATTTTGTTTGTTTTTAGCAGAATTTGAGCCTGGTTTGCCCGTTAACTGTAAAGAGGCCAGATTGTTCATGAAAATGAATATATTCAACTAAGAGAAGGGAATGAACATTTGGAAAAGTGATAATCACACAAGTACAGGGGCAAGTATTGGGTTTGAGCCATAGGAAATTATCAATAAACTTTAATTATTTTTAACCTACCCAATGGCAGTTTCTGCCAATACCAAAGGGTCATGATGGCCTCAGAGTTGCCAGCACTCAGGTTCAGCCTTTTATTTTTAATTCAGTGGTTCTCATCTGGGGAGATCCAGCCTCCCTCTCCCCGCTCCTCCTCGGGAACGTTGGACAGTGTTTGGGGACATCAGTGATAGTTGTGACTGAGGGCACAGGGCACTACTTGCATTGATTGTCTGGGGGCCTGGCATGCTGTGCAACACCCCATCGTGCCCAGAGCAGCTCCACAATCAAGAATGATCCTGCCCCAAATAGCCACAGTACTGACAATGAGAAGTTTATTCTCACACTCTGTTTCCTGCCCAGGGTTAAATCAAGTGGGCTCCTTGGGCTCTGTGCCCGCAGAGACCCACGTTCAAATCTCAGCTTTCCTGCACTCACTGTACGAAAGCCACATCCCCTCTCCGAGCCAGTTTCTGAAAGGTGATTAAAATAGCACCACCTTCAAGGATTATAGATTAAAGAGATTAAAATAGCACCACCTTCAAGGATTATGGATTAAAGATTATGTGCACTTTGCAGATAGTAGGTGTTCAGTTAACATGAGTGAAGAGGAGTAGAAAAGAATTGCATAAATGGAGAAGGGTGAGGGGTCTTTTAATTTCAGCCAAAAGGACCTGTCGAGGTTCTTCCCCTTCTGAGATGCTAAGATCTGGTTGAGCTGAGGGTAAAGGGCGACTAGAAAGACCAGGGTGTGGGCATGTGCTGGGCAGAAGAGTTCCTATCAGGGCTCTGCCACCCTCTGGCTTACACCAGTCCATCCACTTGGCCCAGCCTTGGGTACAGGACATGGGCCGTCCCCATGTATTCAGGACCAAGGGTGGATGCAGCATTGCTGTAGTTCAGCCTCTGACTGCCCGTGAGTTCAAGTCCCAAACTACCATGACCTGCCATGACTTTTGGCAGGTGGCTCAGCTCTGTGCCTCAGCTGTCATGCGGGATACTACCTACTACCCCTTCCTCACAGGGAGGTTGGGAGGATTAACTGTTAAGCAGCACGTATAAAGTACAGTGTCCAGAGCTGACACATGGTGAGTTGCCTCTGGGTCCCCTCATGCTAGACAGAGTGAGGGGCGGTCTGTAGTTTGGAGCCTGACCGTGTGGACAGATGCTGCACCCATTTCACAGATGTGGCAATGGAAGCTTAGAGGGATGTCTGCTCTCTCCTTGGGCAGGAACCGAAACATTCCCGAGGGAGGCAGAGACTGCCAGGCCAGGCCCTGACAGCCACTCACCTTGTCTGAAGGCGGCGACAGCTTCTCCACCTCCGTGGCCATCTGCTTCGGGTCGGTAGCTGCTATGGGCACAGGAATTGGTCAGGCACCCCAGGGAATGCGAGGGAAGTGGGCTGGCTTCAGCTGCTCTGGTGCCCATTGCGCAATTGGCGGGCACAGCCCAAAAGGTCAGGAATGTCCCAGCCAGCCCGCCAGGGACAGCAGGAGGTGACATCTGTGGCCATGGGCTTGGCTCCTTTTGGCCCCCCAGGGCCTCAGTCCCCTGGAACTGAGGAGCTCCCTGGGGTTTTCTCCACATGAGTCCTGGGTGCTGTACGCCCACCCAGGGCGATTGCAGGGAGAGGAGTCAGAGCCCGCCCCACCTCTGCTACAGCTGGCAGTTGCCTGTCAGGCCTGAGTATGTGGAGCAGAAGTCAGCTGCCAAGGGCTCGGCCCACAATGAGGCCCAGCCCGGGCAGCCACCCAAACCTGGGTCGCCTCCCCTTCCCCCACCCCTGCATCAGCCCCCGCCCCCCCCACATTGTCCCCAAGTACTCTGGCTGAGTAACTAGGGTGGGGAATTCCCCAGGCTCTGCCATCCCAGGGAAGCGACTATCCCTTTTGGGGAACCAGGATTGCCATCTCCAACAAGACCTGCCTGCAGAACACCTAGGCCCTGGTCCACAGGCATCATAAATGGGTGATGGGAGGTGAGGGCGGGGTGGAAAGTGTGAGTGGTACTGAAGGGAGATAGGCTGTGTTCACACCCCCACTTTTGCTGATTATGCACCTTGAGCCACCCACTTGCCATATTTATGCCTCAGTTTCCCCATCTGGTGCTAAATGAGTGTTGCCAGTCTTGTAGTGTCTATTTAGATGATGCAGGCACATAGGAAATGTCCCAAAGTGGCCAGAAGTCCCTACTAGGGGATTTCCTATTGCTGGAGTCCCCCCAGACCCTCCACCCTATTGAGCTGTGTACTCACCCTGGGCCTGGGGACGGGTGGCCTCGGGAGCAGGAGCACCTGTGGGATCAGCCTCTCTTGCTGAGCTGTGAGCATTGGCCAGGTTTCGGGCAGAACTGAATCCAGGCAGGAACCCCAAGAAGTTGCTCAGGGTCTATGTGGGGAGAGGGCAGCATGAGCAGGCTGGGCCGAGATGGGATGGGGTGGGGAAAGCATCAGACAATCCTGGGCTTCCACACCTCTCACGCTCTTGTTTTTGGGTAGTATTTAGTTTTAAGCCTCGGTTTCCTAATCTGGACAATGGGCAGATGCAGCCGGCCTTCCATGGAAGGGGAAAAGGTCCTCCTTTAAGTCTCCACAGCCCCCATTTCACAAATGGGGAAACTGAGGCTGAGAGAGGGGCTGTGGCTAGCAGAGTCAAAAAGTAGGAAAGGAGCTGAAGTCTGCCCCATTCCCGCTTGGGACAGGAGGGAAGAGTTAGCACCTTGGCTCTCAGAGCCCTTCCACCCCACCCAGGAAGCTCCTCCCAGATCTGAGGATTGTGGAGGTCACCTTTGCAAGGTTCTGGGGGTCTCCAGGCCTTAGCAGGGATCTCCTCCTCCCACGCCTCTCCTCACCTTGCCCTTGGATTTGTGGGGCTTCCGGCCTCCTTCCTCTTGAGCAGACATGTTAGTACTCTAAGCAGCTGGGAGGGGGCAGAGATGGTTCATAAGTGGGGTTCCCATGCCTCCTGCCCCACACCCATAGCCCCCAGACTTTCCCGGACACCCACCTGGAGACCTTGCCTCACCCTGGCATTGCTCACCTGGACTACGAGAGGGTCCTTTGGAGTGTCTGGCGGCGCAGCTGGCAGCTGGCTCTGCTTTCAGCTCCCAGGCCTTATAGGGTCTGGGGCAGGCGCAGGCCTGGCCTGCAGAGGCAAGCGGCCAGCCTGCTGGGGGAGGGCCCTGGAGGGTCACGTGCCTGCCCGCCAGGCCCAGCTTGCATGGGCCTCGGGCCCAGCACCTTTCCCCTGCTCTCAGTACTAGGCCACCTCTGCCCACAGCACCCGCCCCACCAAGCTGAGTGATTCACAGGCCATTCCATGTTCCTGAGACACAGCCTATATGCCCTCTTGGTCTGTTCTTTCTATCCATGAGATGGACATGGTTCAAATCTGAGTTCTTCTGGGATTTCTTGGCCGCAGTTTCCCCTTCAGACTCCTCACTGGTCCACAATGTTCTTCCCCTCATTCCCCCTGGCTCTTGCCTCTGATCAGTCCAGCCACAGAGGCCTCCTTGCTATTTCTCCAAATCTTTTGGCATGGTCCTGCTTCAGGGTCTCCTGCCTATAGCACTTTTCCCCAAACGCCCACCCAGCTCCCTCCCTTCCCGTGTTCCCTGCAATAGAACAGTACCTGGCACACAGTTGGCACTTAATAAATGTTGAATTAAATGAGCCAACTCAGGGTGGTTGTGAGTGTGAAATGAGATCACACATGTAACCTGTTTATCCCTGTGCCTGGTACCCAGCAGGTGCTCAGTAGACATTAGCTTAGCATTGTCCAGGCAGAGGAGCAGCGTCTGTCCTCAGCAGGGATGGGACATGTCACTCCCCAGAAGGGACTTTTGTTGAGAAAGGGGACAAAACAGACCAAGACAGTGCCAACAGAGCCTGGAACATAGGATGGCCTGTGAATCACTCAGCTTGAGAGCAGGGGAAAGGTGCTGGGCCCAGGGCCCATGAGAAGCAGGCCTGGTAGGCTCGGGCCAATCCAAGGGGGCTTCCTGGAAGAGGTATTTTGTACCTAAGGCCACAGAGCCAGGAAGTGGCAGAGACAGGATTCAGACCCTGACCCTGAGCCTGTGTGCAGGGTGGGCTGTCTGTGGATGGGTGCTCAGATGAGCCGAGGAATGGCTGCCATGCCCCCCCTGGGCTGTTTACTCCCAGCCTGCCCCTGAAACGGGTCACCGTCATATGCTGGTGGGGGTTGGAGAGAGATCTAGCTGGTGGCTCTGGGTTCTGAGCTGGGAGAAGGGAGGTCCTGCTGTCGGGCTTGATGAATCCCAGGTTGTCCCCTTGGAGTCAAACAGCCAAGGGACAAAAGAGGGATTCCCAAGCCCCTGTCCTTAACTTCCGAAAGGTGACATTGCGGGATTGCGGAGCTGGATTCTGAGTATGCCCCTCTCCCCAGCAAAATAATAAAAATGGCATGGCTGGTGTGGCTCTGGTTGAGCATCAACCTATAAACCAGGAGGTCACAGTTCGATTCCTAGTCATGACAAACCTGGCTTGTGGGCTCGATCCCCAGTGTGGGGCGTGCAGGAGACAGCCAATCAATGATTCTCTCTCATCAATGATGTCTCTATAGCTCTCCTCCCTTCCTCTCTGAAATCAGTACCAAGTCAGGCTTTGTCTCCTTTCTGCCCCAGCCCTCTAGTGCTCCCACCTTCCTTGGGGGAAAGGCACAATTTTTCCCTGTGGTCCATAGGCCCTGGATGACTTGCCACTGTCTTCTCCCTGTCTTCATTGTACTCCCCCCCGCTCCAGCCACACAGGCCTTCTTGCTGTGTCTCCAACAGGCCAGATAAGGTCCTGCCCTGGCACCTTTACATAGGCTGTGCCTTCTACCTGGAATGTTCTCCAGTCTTTGCTCATATGTCAGAGAGGCCTCTCTGGATCCCCTCTTTTATTTAAAAATATACATCTCGCCCTAGCCAACTCGGCTCAGTGGATAGAGCGTCAGCCTGCAGACTGAAGAGTCCCAAGTTCGATTCCAGCCAAGGTCACAGGCCTGGGTTGCGGGCTCAATACCCAGTAGAGGGTGTGCAGGAGGCAGCCGATCAATGATTCTGATTCTCTCTCATCATTGATGTTTCTGTCTCTCCTTTTCCCTTCCTCTCTGAAATCAAAGAAATATATTTTTAAAAATAAAAATATACATCTCTCCTCAAATGCCCACATACTACCCATTGTCCTCCCCTTTTATTTTTCTTATTCTACTAACACTAAAAAAAAAGTAATATATTTATTTTTCTTGTGTTGCCCATCTCCTGTATTGTCATGTCACAGAGGGCAGGACTTTGATCCATTTTGCTCATTGCCATGTCCCCAAGGTGGAGAACTGCCTAGCACACAGCAGGTGCTCTATAAATGCAAGTTGTTAAAAAAAAAAAAAAAAGTTTACACACTTTTAACAGCTGATAGCTCAATTGATGTTTCTTTTCAGTTTTAACCCATTGGAATTAGTGATTATTCAAGATGTGTATACATTTTTTGGGATAACCTGTATTTGTTGAATAAGTGAATAATAGCTTCTGTGGGGGAGGTGTTTACTAAGATTGGGCATGAGTTACCCATTTTTCGGAGGAGAACATGTTTGGAAAGGAAAAATAAGTTGCCTACCCACCTGCAGGCAAGGCTGGGACTCAACCCCAGGGCGGTTCCCGAGCAGGGGCAGGGAAGTGAATCTGACCAGTGGGAGGTGGTCAGGGCTCCCAGAGCTGCCCCTGGGCTGGGTCCCAGGGAAGCCAGGGGCCACCCTGACCTCACCGAATCATGCTGTGGTTTCCCAACACCCGGCCTGGCTAGTGGGGAGTCTGATGGGCAGCCAAGAATGTGGTCAGAAGATGGGAGGGCCCCCATGAGACTGGCCCATGGCCCTTGCCCTGTCTCTGTCTCCCCAGTCCTGAACAGTGGAGGAACCACAGCAAGATCAGCAGCTGTGGGTGCAGGGAGATGGGCATAGGAGGACCGACTCCTGTAACTTCTCAAGATCCTGCTCCCTGCAGTTCCAAGGCATTCACTGATAGTGTGAACTTTCACGCCAGGAAGCTACATCTGAAGGGGCAATGCTTAAGCCGGTGGGCTGGCACTAAGGGTGGAAGTACAGACAGGATGCAGGATGGCAAGCGGGGGTGGTGGTGGGGGGAGTGGGCATCACTCCTTTCAAATCTCGAACCCTGGCTTGTGCCATGCAATCACACCTCTGAGACCCCCGGGCACCCTGTAACTGAGACTCACCCCAGCCAGAACAACACAAAGCACCTTTATTCTGGAGAGCATACCCCAAACAGCATAGCAAGTGGGTCCGGCTGGTCCAGTTGGTGCAACCCAGTTCTTTGGGGACCCCTCAGTCCAGGATGTACAAGCTGGGGGAGCAGGTGGATGCTTGCTTTTCAAAGCCCCAAATAGAAGCCGTTGGGCAAAATGTGTTTCTCTGAGGAGCTTTGATCAGCTTCTTGGGGTGAGGGAACATGTGACTACAGATGAATCCAGATGGGGTCTAGTCAGATCTGAGTTAGGTTCATGTCCTCATATGTCCAAGGGAGAGATTGGGAAGGGTCTGATGTCAGAGTAGCTGGTCCAGATTCGGAATTCCAGGGGAACCTCCAACTCCGTGCCTGGGCCATGGCAAAGGTACTGGCTGCTGTGCTTCAGTGTGGCCACTAGAGGGCAGCAGGCTATGGACGTGTAGGGCAGCCTCCTGCTGCCCCTGGCAGTGAGGCCCCATGGGATCAGAAGTCCAGCTCCGGCATCAAGGTGTGTTTGGGGCGGCTGGGGGGCTCGGGCTCCTCTGGAATGTCCTCCGGGAGACCTATCCCATTCCGGTGCTGGGCCTGCCAGGCTCTCTGCTGGGCCGGCCAGTCCAGATGCGCCCAGCGGGGGTCAGGGCCCCCCACAACCTCGTCCACCAGGTTCTCCAGGTCAGGCAGGGGCTCCGACCGCTCTATGAGGATGGGCGAAAAGGGCCCCACGAGCCAGGGCAGCGGCATGGTCTGCACCACCAACTCGAGCAGCTCATCCACGCAGGCGTGGGCCCGAGCCACTCGGCCCCGGCCCTCGGCCAGCGCCGAGGCTGACACATCCCTGAAGCAACGCGCGTCCGCGAAGACGGCCTGCAGGCTGTCCACGCTGCGCCGCACCTCGGCCACCTTCTCCTGGGCGCCCTGGGGCAGGCCCCGCACGCTGGTCTCCAGGGCGTCCACCGAGCTCTGCAGCTCCTGCATCAGGCTTCGGGACAATACCAGCGTTTCCAGCTCCATCTGGGGGGAGGGTTGGGAGAGGGGGCACCTCAGTGTTCCAGATGGACACATGCGGAGACCGCTGTCCTGCCTCAGTTTACCCATGGACACACCGGGACTGTCACCCTGCCTCAGTCTCCCCATAGGCACACAGTGGGACCGAGCCCTCCCTCAGTTTCCCCATGGACACATGGTATTGCCATCCTGTCTCAGTCTCCCCATGGGCACACTGGACTGTCTCCCCGCCTCTTCTCACCCGTGGACACAGTGAGACAGCCCTGCCTCCCCAAAAGCAGGAACCAGGAAGGTTTCCCTGAAAGACCCACAATGAGACTTTCCCTGCCTCAGTTTCTCTAATGGATACCCAATAGGACGGCATCACCCTGCCTCAGTTTCCTCCCTGCACACAACAGACTAAGCCCTGCCTTAGTTTCTCCTGTGGGCACCCAATAGGACTGTCAGCTTACCTCAGTTTCCCCACGGGCACTCCAACCCGCTGCCTCAGCAGTTGGTTAGTCACAGCTCAGTCGCGGCCCCTGGCCACCCCCGGCGGGTCCAGAGCCACTCCCGTCCTCCCGTCCTACCTGGCTGCGGCGGCGGTGGCGGCCGTTCTCCAGGGGGCTCAGACTCCAGTCCCCCCACAGCTCGTGCACTTTCCCGGGGCGGGCTGGGGCGGTGGGGGTCATGCCGCACTGCACGAGGTCAATCTGTGGGAACCGGAAGTGTTCATCAGAGGTGGAGGACTGGAGGGGGTGGGGGTCGAGGGAGCCAGGACTGTTCACAGCTTGGATCCGGCCTCAATAAGCATGTAGGGACACTGTGTGCAGCCTTCTGCACCCGCTGGTCCAGCCTGGCAGCCTGTTCACTGAATCCTCTGCCTCCCACAGACCCTGCGGCCTGTGGTTCCGGAGCTCAGACTCATCGCCAGGCATTTGCTCATGCGGGTCCCTCAGCCATGTACCCTCTTCCCTCCACTTCATCGCCCCCGCTGGTTCATCCCAGTTCAAGTCTCAGTGTGGACATTACCCTCTCCAGGAAACCCCCCTCCTCCCCTTCTGGCTGGGTGATCCCTCCTCTGGGTCCCAGAGCACCTGCCGTGTTCCCCGTTTTGACCGTGATCCTCTGACTGGACTGTGGGTGTCCTGAAGGAGCACGGTGTCTCCAGTACCCAGGACAGGGCAGGCATTAAAAGATGAATAGAAATAAGTTGTGGCCCATCCATATGGTGGAATAGTATTGGGCCACAAAAAAAGAAGGTTCTGATGCATGCTACAAAATGGATGAGCCTTCAGAGCATTCTGCTCAGGTGCTCACAGGTGCCCTCTGTTGGCTGCTATGGGAGGACAGGGGTCCAGGAGGAGAGCTGGGTGAGTGTGTGCAAGCATGAGAGCTGGAAGCAGGCGGAGGGAGGAAGCGGAGGGAGGAAATGTTGACAGACTCAGGATGGAGTTTGAGGGCAGAGCTGAGAGTATGGCTGATGTGTCGGACGAGGGAGGGTGTGAGAACACGGAGCTGCTGGCAATTGAGATGAGGAGAGGGGATGTGTGGTAGGCAGGCCGGGGCATCTGCATTTAGCCCAGTAAGCAGGAGCTGCCATGTTCCTTTGGAGCAGGGAGGGATGGACAATGAGACAAGAAGCGGGGTGTGAGCCGGAACCTAAAGGGTGCAGGGGATTGGAACTGGTGGCAGGAGAGTGAGGGAAGTGCCTCTTCCCTCTCCAGACCTCCCTTAACTGCCTATAAATTCCAGCTCCTACTTCTCCCCAGAACCCCTTCTCTACTCCCTGGGCTGTCTTAACTCCCCCTAAGCTCCTCTAGCCCCAGGCACCCCTCTCCCCCAGCTCTGAACATGCATAGCTAGGGGCAGCTGGACCAGTGCTGCCTCCCCTTCATGGGACCAGGTACTCGGTGGCGCTTAATGCATGCTTACTGGCCAGCATTACAGGGTGGGGGCAGGCAGAGGGCTCTCACCAGCTCCAGTGTCTCCTGCAGCTGGGCCAGTGTGTCCTGAGCGTGATGTTTCTTCTGCCTCAGTTTCCCCAGAGAATGCTCATATGCCAGGTGGCGGAGTCGTGTTGACAGGGAGCCCAGGCGCACAAAGTAGCCCTGATGTCTCCTCTGCTGCTCCACTGAGCCCACTTCCGAGCCCTCAGCCTCAGCCTCGGCAGCCAGTGCCGCTGGAGGGCAGGATGGGGGAGTGGGGGTCAGTGTGGATACCCGCCTCTGTGCCTGTTCACCCACCTTCTGGGTGGACAAGCCCACGGGCTCCCAAATTTATAGTTTCCCTTTACCAAATTCAACTCTCAATATTCCCTAAACCCTATGATGTGAGCACTATTATTAGCCCCATTTCGCAGATGGGGAACACTGAGGCAAAGAGAGGCGAAGTCCCACAGTGTGCCTGAAGCAGAACCAGGATTCAAACCTAGGCACTCTTACTTTAAACAGTTCTTAGTCACTCTAACAAACTGCCTCTTGAGGAATATATCGCAGGCGCCTGGAGCACAGCTGGTGCTTCATAAATGCCTTTCCACTGAGGACAAAGTGGGTCAGCATTTCTCCCAGTGCCGAGGCAGAGGTTGAGAAGTCAGCTTGGCTCCAGGGCCAGCAGACAACATTAGAACACTGGGGAAAGGCGGGCTTTCAGGGGGCAGTGATATCCAACCCAAGTGTCTAATTTTTCAAGGCGAGCCAGAAATTGGGATTTGCAGGGCAAAATCTGATTGCTGAGTGCATGCCATGAATTAAACCATTGAAAAGGCACAGTACAGGTCAGAGGGTACAACTTGGAGGCTACCGGTTTGAGGCCACAGCTCTCTGAGTCTTTAGGCCACTCATGCCTGCGGGGTCTGGCTGGTCTGGTTTCTAGTAGGATGACGGCTGGGGGGCCATGGCAGCGGAGAGGGGGGGCAGGGCTGGGCTCCAGCCCCATGTTCCTGCTGATCTGTTGTGATCGAGTGAGTCCTGAATATCTCTAATCTGTTTGGGGTTTTTTTTTTAATCCTCACCCAAGGATGTTTTTCCGTTGGGGTGTGTGTGTGTGTGTAAAAATATTTTTATTGATTTCAGAGAGGAAGAGTGAGAGAGATGAGAGATAATCATTGACCAGCTGCTTCCTCCTGCAAGCCCCCCACTGGGGATAGAGTCTGCAACCGAGGCATACGCCCTTGATCAGAATCGAACCTGGGACCTTTGAGCCAAGCCAGCCAGGGCCCCATTGATATATATTTTTAGAGAGAATGGAAGGGAGAGACACACAGAAACATGGATGTGAGGGAGAAACATGGGTTGGTTGCCTCCCACAGGCACCGCAGGGCTGGGGACCGAGCCTGCAACTAAAGTGTGTGCCCTTGACCCGAATCGAACCCCTGACCCTTCAATCCGCAGGCTGATGTTCTATCCACTGAGCCAAACAGGCCAGGGCACCTCTCTAATCTGTAACCTCTGGAGAGGGGGACTGGGCAGGATTCAGGGGCGGGAGGAGAGGGCACCAGCCTCACCGAGTTCCTCCTCGGTCATGGGCAGGAAGTGGTCCACCAGCTCCTCCGATTTGCCCAACACGACGTCCACCGCGTGGCTCACGGACCGCTTCAGCTCCATGCTCAAGCGCCGGCCCTGCCGGGCCAGGCCCGCCACGCCGGTCATGCTGCTGGCCACCGCGTCTTTGGCTGAGGTCACCACCTGGGGGAGGGACCCCAATCCAGTTTTCAGCTCTCTTCTCTGGCCCCCTCAATCTCCCCCTCTATTAATTGGAGGAAAATAAAAACTCCCTCACAGGCTGGCTGAAGGGGTTACCAGCACCTACTGGCACATAGTAAGTGCTAGATAAATATGAGTGCCGGTTATTTTTAAAAAACACGTTTTTATTGTTTTGTTTTGTTTTTGAGAGAGACAGAGGAAAGGAGAAGGAGAGAGAAACATCATGTGAGAGTGAAATATCGATCAGCTGCCTCCCGAACATCCCCCACCGGGGATGGGGCCCACAACCCAGGCATGTGCCATGACCAGGAATCGAACCAGCAGCCTTTCCGTGCACTGGATGATGCCCAATCAACTGAGCGGCATCAGCCAGGGCTGGGTGCTGATTACTCATCTGTGTGGTGTTTTCTGAGTTGACCAACGCCTCTCCCGGAGGCCAGCTGGCAGAGGCGTCCTGCTGGCTGTTGGGGGGAGACAGCCCTCCTCCCTCCCACCCTCACCCCTGCCGGTCCCCACCGTTTGTGCCTCACCATCTCAGAAGGCTGCTGGAGAAAGGGCAGCTTCTCCTCCAGCTTGTCCAGGCCCCTGCAGGCAAGATCGTTCACTGTAGCCACTGACGAGGGAGAGGGAGAGGCAGGGAGTGAGAATCCGGGAGATGATAAAGGAGAGAGGAACAGGAGGAGGGAATACCAGAGAGAGAGAAGCAGAGAAAAAAGAGGGGAGAGACAGGGAGAGATGAAGGGAGGCCTCGCGAGAGGGGGGACCTGGCTGATTCCCTGCGAGGCTGGAGACCCTGAGGGTGTGGTAGGCCGCCAGGCTGGGCCCTGCCTCCTCTGCATTCCCCACCTCCGCCCCGCCACAGATTTCGGCCAGCACCAAGGTGACTCCACACCCATGCTCAGCTCATGCCCCAGGGAGCTGGCTCAAGGTCACTCAAACCAGCCTAGGAGGAGGAGGGGCTGGGAACCTCAGGTGGCCCCTCAGTCAAGAGTCTTTCTGTCCCCACCCCCATCCTGTTGTCAGGTTGGACTCTTGAGCTGGTCACAGGCCTAGGAAGATAAGGGGTCTGGATAGGTGGAGGCAGCCCTCAGGACAGAGGGGCAGGCGGGGAAGGGAGGTTGGGTAGGTAAAGGGGGCCCAAGACCTAACAGGCCAACAAGGGAGGACTTCAAGACAGATGGAATGGGACAGAAGGAAGGGGCCGAAAATCCGCTGCTAAGAGCAGATGACGACCAGGAGATAAGACACAACAAGCCAACAGGAGAGGGGAGGAGGGGCAGGCCAAGAGGGACTGGGAGATGGCCCCGGCACAAGGACGGAGCGAGGGTGACACAGGTGGTTGGGTGGGGGTGGGGGGAACGGGCAGTCAGACTGAAGGCGCAGGACAGGTGAGCCTGAGGAGGAACACCCAGGGCAGGAGTCCACCCTTCAGGCCACGCCACGCGTATGGAGCATGAGAGGGTGAAACACAGACCACGGCGGGACCCTGGGGCCGGGGGGACTCACGCTGAGGCTGCAGGTGGCTGAGCAGGGGCTGGGCGTGGTCCAGGGCGCTGGAGGTGAGGCTGCACACGCAGTGCTCGGCCAGGCGGCAGGCGGAGCCCAGCAGCGGGTGCCTACCCTTGGCCGCGCTGTAAGCACCGGAGACAGCAGTGCACGTGGCCTTGACCAGGGGCAGGGCCACAACTCGGTGTACCACGTTCTGTGGGAGGGGGTGCAGTCAGAGGGGCCCCCCCGGGAGGTGGAAGGCGCAGCCTCACGTGAGCCACCTCCTCCCTGTGGGCCGGAGTGAGGGGGGCCAGGGGCCTGGGGGGAAGGTGCGGAGCCCCGCTGTGCCCAGGAGAGGAGCCCCCGGGACGGTCTCACCGGCTCCGGGGCTCCGGAGCGCACACAGCGTGATTGTCTGGTGGCTTGAAGGGCACATGCCTCTGGGGCAAAACAGTCTGCATTCAGTTCTGGTTGGGCCTAAGGTGACCAGATCGTCCCGCTTTTGGCGGGACAGTCCTGATTTTCAACAATTTTTCCCCGAGCTGTGTGAGCGTGGGCAAGTGAGTGAAGTGCTTTGCTGGGTGCCTTCGTCTCATCTGTAAAGCGGGTTGCTAGGGCTGCGATGGGAATTCTAGGAGCCAATGTAGGTGAGGTGCTTGGAGCCGTGACTGTTGCCGGGGAGAGGCTGTGAGTGCTGCTGCTGCTGTGGTTGGTAAGAGTGCCACGACGGTGGACACAGACCCAGAGCGGGGAGGGGGGAAGCCGGGCCGAGGCCAGATTAGCCAGCTGGGTGTGCTGGAAGACATGCTCCCCTCCCAGGCTCGCTGGGCCCCTCTGGGAGGGCGTAGGAGGTGCAGAGATGGCAGCCTCCATGGTCCAAAATGCCCAAAGTGTGGGGTGCTCCAAGCAAAGACAGAGGTGGGAGGGGTGCCCAGCTGTCCGGGGAAGACCTGCCCCCCTCCCGTCCCCATGTCCTGCTCCGTAGGAGGTGCAGCCCCTCACCTGCTGGTCCTGCTCCCATACGCTGGGGCTGGGGGCCTGAGCCGCCTCATCCTCGGACATGCCCGCTGCAAACAGGGTCACCTAGGGGGACGGGACAGAGTGGGGGGGCCAGCCCACCAAGCTCCCTCCCAAGCCCTGGGCTCTGTCTGTCTGGGCTCTGTGACTCCAGCAAGTCTTGTTCCTTCTTGGGCCCTCAGTTTCCTCATCCGAAAAAGGAGGTAATGATAATACCCTACCTCAGAATGTCCTGAGGAGCACAGACAGTGCACAAGACTCTGCACACAGTAGGTGCACACTAGAGAGCCTCTGGGCAAAGTGGGGTCCCCTGGAGGGATTCAAAGCATGGGCTCAGGGTTTCAATCCTGCCATTACCTGCTGTGTGACTTTGGGCAAGTGCCTTCACCTCTCTGGGCTGTTTCCTCTTCTGCAAAGTAGGGGAAGCCCCTGCTGCCCTACCCTGGACAGAACTGCACGAGCAGCCCCATGCAGGGATGCAGGCGGTAACTGTAGAATCCCAATAAACCCAGTCAGGTTGACCATCAGGGAAACCGAGGCACACAGGGGTCCCTGCTGGGCTCAAGGTCACTCAGCTTAAGCTGACTCAGAGTAGGGAGTCTGACCTCCGACTCCCTGCCTGCAGGTCATCCCTACCCCGTGCCTTCAGAGCTGTGGTGCCCGCCCAACAGGGTCCTGAGCTTCAGCCAACTGGGCCAAGGGTCTCAGCCACCTGCTCCAGCCCGTCACTCCCTCCTCGTCCCACGCCGCCGAGCCCTCGCCTGCCCACCCAGTTCGGGCCCCAGGCGCTGGGTGCTCTTGGACTTCCCCTGGGTGACACTCACCTGGGCGCAGCCTCAGGCTCCAGGTGCTGCCGCGGACCCCAACCTCTGGCTCCAGACTCCGCCCTCCGCCGGCCCCGCCCGCCTTATAGTGACTTTGGGGGCGGAGCCTCCGGGGAGTGGCCAATAGGGAGAGGCTGCCCGGGGGCGTGTCTCGGGGGTGGGGCTTCAGGACCCCACTCTCTTCCCGGGTACTCCCGGGAACTGTGCGGTTGCCAAAGCAACTGGGGGACGGCGGATGCCCAAAGATTGAGCTGCTTCCGTAGGCCACGTGTGGCCGCTTGTCACCCTCGCTGCCTTAGGGGGCGACCACAACTCCCACCTCCTTCCCCAGTGACCTTGGGCAAGTCCTTGATGTCTTTCTATTTTTATTTAGTTATTTATTTTTATTTTTTAATTTAATCTAACTTTTTAAAACATTCTATCTACCCTGTTTCCCTGAAAATAAGACAGTGTCTTATATTAATTTTTTCTCCCAAAGTTGCGCTAGGTCTTATTTTCAGGGGATGTCTTATTTTTCCATGCGCTAGGTCTTATTTTCGGAGGATGTCTTATTTTTGGGGAAACACGGGTAGTATAGTTATTTTTTAAAATATATTTTTTATTGATTTTTTACAGAGAGGAGGAGAGAGGGATAGAGAGCTAGAAACGTCTATGAGAGAGAAACATCGACCAGCTAGTATATTAATTTTGAAATGAGAGTAATTTTTTAAAAAATTAGTTTTTCTGAGTTAAATTTTTTAAAATATATTTTATTGATTTTTTACAGAGAGGAAGAGAGAGGGATAGAGTTAGAAACATCGATGAGAGAGAATCATCGACCAGCTGCCTCTTTCACACCCCCTACTGGGGATGTGCCCACAACCAGAGTACATGCCCTTGACCGGAATCCAACCCGGGACCTTTCAGTCCGCAGGTCGATGCTCTATCCACTGAGCCAAACTGGTTTCGGCTGTCTTTCTATTTTTTTTATTTTATTTTTTAAATATATTTTATTGATTTTGTACAGAGAGGAAGTGAGAGAGATAGAGAGTTAGAAACATCGATGAGAGAGAGTCATCTATCAGCTGCCTCTTGCGCACCCCCTACTGGGGATATGCCCTTGACCGGAATCGAACCCGGGTCCCTTCAGTCCCCAAGCCGACGCTCTTTCCATTGAGCCAAACTGGTCTCGGCTGTCTTTCTATTTTTTTAAAAAATGTTTATTTATTTATAAGAAAGAGACAAACAGACAGACATTGATTTGTTGTTCTACCATCTATGCATTCATTGTTTGATTCTTGCATGTGCTCTGACTAGGGATTGAACCTGCAACCTTGGCATATAAGGACAGTGCTCTAACCAACTGAGTTACCCCGCCAGGGCTCTTTCTGTTAAAAAAAAATAATAATAATAATAATTTTTTTTTTAAATCTGCCACTTAACTAAACCAGGAGCCACACCAGCCCATTCTCTGAGATCCCCATTTTACAGATGAGCAAACTGAAGTTCAGAACGCTTACACCACTTGCCCTGGGCCCCACAGTGACTGACGGGTTTGATTTAAATTCAATCAAATCAAGCTCCAGACCTGTTTCATCTTCGCGCCTGGAATGATCACCAATGTGGGCATGATACTCCTTCCAGGGGGCTGAACAAACCGAGCATGGCCCAAACACATACACATGATTGTCAGCAGGTGGCTCTAGGCACTGAGTTCTGAGAGCACAGCCTTGGGCTTCTGCCCGTGCTCGTCCTGCTGGCTGTGCCCTGGGTTATCACGGGCCAGCTGACGGATTGTTGGGAGACCTGAGCAATGTGGTTTAATTTAAACCTTCCCCAGGGCACAGACTCTGGCAGGAATCCACCCGTAAAATGACACCCCGGCCAATAGTCAGACTTTTATTTCCAGCGAAGCCTTAGGATAGGAGAGAGGAGGAGGAGGAGCCATGGGTCATCAGATTTCAAGTCCAGCACCGCACCCCGGGTCACGCCATTCCTCCTTCGTCCTGGAGAAGCAGGAAGTTCACTCGGGAGATGCAGGAACACAGTAAATGCCAATTTGTCCAATTCTGTTTGACATTTATTTATATTTTAAAAAAATATTTTACATTTTTATTTTATTTTTATTGATTTCAGAGAGGAAGGGAGAGAAAGATAGAAACATCAATGATGAGAGTCATTGATTGGCTGCCTCCTGTAGGCCCCCTACTGGGGATGGAGCCCGCAACTCGGGCATGTGCCCTTGACCAGAATTTAACCTGGTACCTTTCAGTTCACAGGCTGACACTGTCCACTGAGTCAAACCAGCTAGGGCTGACAATTATTTATTAAACCCCTCGGGTCTGACATCTAACTAAGTAAACAACTCAGCCCCAGGCCCTGCACTCAGAGAGCCCCCCAAAAGTGGGGGAGCCAGAGTCAGAGACAGCCCCAGTGCAGCCAGGGTTGCGCCGAGGGAGCTGGGGGACCAAGAGATGTGGGAAATGGGGAAGGCATTCCTGGAAGAGCAATGAGGAAAGCTTGAGCAAAGGCAAGAAGGCCTGTGAGCGGAAGGGGTGTTTTGGGAAGCGTATATCTAGCAACTGGGGGAAGCCTGCCTCCCCCTGGAGAGGGAATTAATTAATTGCCTGGTGAGCAGTGTTCCGCCAGGCTGATCCTGCCCATCTCCACCCCAGTCGTAAGCTTCACATGAGCCATGGCTGCGCCCAGGAGGGTCTGGCCCTGCATGGCTTTGGGCTCAATGCAGCACGTGCTGTTCCGGAAAAACATCTTGTCTCTATTGTCCACGAGCCACTGATAGAAGTCCTCCAAGCTCTGGTCGCAATTCCAGGGGTTCCCAGAGACGTCAAAGCCCTCCTTCATGTCCCGGGCTGCCCCACGCTGCCCCACGGACGCCCAGAGCCCCCTGGGCACGGTGCTCAGCGAGTTGTTGGACAGGTCCAGCATGTCCAGCTGCTTCAGGCCTCGGAAGGCGCTGGCCGCCACCGTGGCCAGCCGGTTGCCGCTCAAAAAAAGGTAGCTCAGGCTCGGCTGGGGCTCCAGCAGGCCCCCTTCCAGTGCTTGCAGCCTGTTGCCCTCCAGGTACAGCCATTCCAACTGCAGGGGGCCCCTCAGAAGGTCAGAGGGCAAAGTCTCCAGCTGGTTACTGCCAAGGTTAAGGACGCGCAGGTCGGTGAAGTTGGCCAGCAGCCCGGGGGGCAGTGTCCGGAGGCGGTTCCCAGATAGGTCCAGGTGTCTCAGGGCCTTCAGGCCCTGCAGCCACGAGGTCTCCAGGGCTCCCAGCTGGTTCTGGTTCAGCACCAGGGTGTGGAGGGCGGCGGAGCCCTGGAAGAGGCCGGGTGGCAGCCGGGTGAGGGCGTTGAGGGTCAGATCGAGCACCTTCAGCTGAGGCACAGGCAACAGAAGCTTGTCTGACAGCGTCTCCAGCCCATTGCTGGAAAGGTGCAGTTCCTGGAGGTTAGCGACGCCCTGGAGGGTCTCGGGTGGCAGCTGGGTGAGATTGAAGAACTCCACAGACAGCATGACGGTGTCGGCCGGGAGCTGCCGGGGGAGTTTGGCAGGTGGGGAGCAGCTGACGGAGCTGCCATTGCTTGACTGGTCCACCTGGCAGGCTTCAGGGTTTGGGGTGACCTCCTGGACTGAGGGGGCCACAATTAGTAGCAGCAGGAACAGGATTCTAGAAAGATGGGGGTCCAGGACCCCTGGGCTGGAGGCAATGACAGAGGTGCTTAATGAGCCAAAATAGAAATATACCCAACTCAGTGAAAATATACCCAGAACATGCCCACTTCTTCCCTTCCATTTTTGCTCCCCAGAACCATGCCTTCTCATTGATCCTCTGGACTAGTGCAGTCACCTCCTCCTCCTCTTCATGTTTTGAAGGCAGAGCCAGTGAACTCCTACCCATCCTGCAAAGCCCCCAATACCAATGCCCCCCCCCTTTTTTTCCCCCCCACAAAGCTTTCTCTGACTTTCCCAAGCAGAACTCATGGCTCCCCCACCTCTGTGATCCTACTTTTTCTTTCCAACCCTGATGAAACAAGGTCAGGTTATCTGTGTCCAACTTGCTTCAAGCACCCAGGTACAAGCCAGGGCTCCAGTTGCAAATGGGACTTTGAACATGAAAAGTGTCCAAAGGAAAAAAAAAAAAAAGTGCCCAAAGCAGGCTTGGGGGCAGGCATTTGGCCTTGATATTGGGTGGTTTGCAGTTGGCACTGTAACCTTGGAGGGCTGGGGCTTCTGCTCCTCCCAGTCCCCCCACAACAGCAGGCCTCTGAGGTCGGGGTGGGTGGGTTCTCACTCCTTGCCTGGGACATCCGCAGGTGAGTGTGTGTACGGGAGCAATCCTGTCCTAGTTAGAGCCTGAGTGTTGGTCTGTCCCAGCCAGGAGGCCTCCGTCTTCCCCTGTGAATTCAGTGGGTCAGACGGAATGTCCATGCACTGCCTGGTGTCCAAGCCTTGCCCATGAGTGGCAGGGTGGGGACCTACCTCTGGCTTCCCTCTGGGCTCCAAGAGGTCATGGTGGCCTCTCTCTTTTCCATCCAGATTCCTTTGGCCTGGTGAGGCGGCCTTATACCTACCTGGGCTGGGGGCAGGGGCACCAACCATAGGGAAGTCCCCACCCACCCACATCCTATTCCGGATAGGGCCTGAACTTGAGCCAGTGACAGGAAAGGGAGGAGCCAAGATTGCAAAATTGTTTCCTGGCAGGGGGAGGTCAGCGGAGGGGCTGCCCACCCCTTCTTGTCCCTGTTTTCTGTTCAGTTTTCCTTCCCCTGATCCCTGCTGTGGGAGAGTGGGCACCCGGAGCCTCTGGGAGGGAGTCCCACTGCCCCCACCCCCAACCCAGGAATCAGGGGTCAAGCTCGCAAGGTGCCAGTCCTGGAGATGGGGACAAGAGGTTCTGGCACTTTGTGACACATTTGAGCAATCAGGAAGTGCAGTGGAGAGAACAAAAAACACTTGTCTTGAATTTATGACATGTTGTTGGATACATTTTTATTGAAATAACTTTTTAAAAATAGAGTATAAAAGTGAGTGATGCCAGAAGTCTTGGAAGTTTTTGAACAATGAGCTGGGAGGGACTAAACCGATTTCTGAATTCCAGATGCGCTACGACTGCTATGCTTTGTGACTGAGGGCATTGTGGCTTATCTTTTCTTGGCCTTTGTTTCCCCATCTGTGAAGTTGAATTCAATCTCCAAAGGTTTCAACTGCTCTTTAAAAATTGTATTTGTTGGGGCGACATTGGTTAATAAAATTATATAGATTTCAGGTATTGCTCTTTCTTCAACCTAAGCTGATGCACCATTTGTTTTGGGTTGTTTATTTACTAATGAATGCCTTAGGAGGCTATGCATTTCCCTTTGAGAATGGCTTTGGCTGCATCTCATGGGTTTTGCTATTAAGTGCTTTCATTCTGGTTGAGTTCTAAAAATTCAGGTGTGCTTTGTTATCCTATTTGTTATGCCTGGCTATGGCCTTTTCTCCCTGCCCCATCTCTGAAGGGTTCATCCCTATTCAGCTGTGATGATGACTGAATCCTGTCTTAGAGACAGAACACACAAGTTGACAGTGACAGGCACAGCTAAAGAATGAAAGATAGGTTACACATGAATCCACAGACAGAGATACTGACAGAGATAAAACAAAAGTACATAGACAGAACCTAACAGACACACGGACAGAGCAGGACACACAGGGCAGAATGGCAGGCCCGCAGAGACAGCCACACAGAACAGGCACACACAAAAAACAGGCAAAGGACCTGAAGAGATATTTTTTCAAAGAAGACATACAAATGGCCAACAGATATATGAAAGGATGCTCAGCATCAGTGATCATCAGGGAAATGCACATCAAAACCACCGTGAGGTATCACCTCACACCTGTTGGAATGGCTATTATCAACAAGACAAGAAGTAACCAGTGTTGGTGAGGATGTGGAGAAAAGGGATGTCTCCCCACACTACTGTTGGTGAGGATGTCAATTGGTGCTACAGAGAACAATATGGGGTTCCTCAGAAAATGAAAAAATCCAGCATTTCCACTTCTGGGCGTTTATTCAAAGTAAATGAAATCACCATTCTTTAGATATCTGCTTCCCCATGTTTACTGCAGCATTATTCACACACACACACACACACACACACACACACACACACACTTCAGCCATTAAATAAGACACAGATCCCGCCATTTGCAACAACATAGAAGAACCTTCAGGGCATTATGCTAAGTGAAATAAGTCAGATGGAGTAAGGCAAATACTGTGATCTCATGTGTATGTGGGATGTAAAAATGAACTAGGAACCGGTGGTAGGATGGTTCTCGTCAGGTGGTAGGACGGTCATGGGGAGGAGAGATGTTGGTCTCAGGGTACAAACCCACAGACATGAGCAAGTTCTGGGGGTCTAATGTACAGCACGGTGGCTATTGTGGATGATACTGTACTGGCAGTTGCTAAGAGAGTAGATCGTAAATGTTCTGATCATACACTCAAAGGTAACTGTGGGAGGTAACGGACAGGTTCATCTTATTATGGGGATCATCCTACAATATATCCGTTCATCAGATCATCAGGTTGTGTACCTGAAACGTGCACAATGTTACATGTCAATTATATCTCAAGCTGAAAGACACAGACACACACAGGTTCAGGAGGAGCTGTTAGATGCCATCAGAGGATTTGTGTTTCTTTATTATCAGTGTCCCCTCCCCCCCCCATGACAAGAAGAAACCAGGTCTGTCTTGTTCACACGGTCGGTGCTTAATTGACATGGGCTGGAAGGAAGGGCTGTGAACTGGAGTGACATAACGTGAAAGCGACCTCTCAGAATGAAAGCAGACCCACGTCTTCTGCTTAAAACTCTCCGCTGGTTCCCTGGTCCAGCTTAACACCCACGAGGCTGGGCGAGTGGGGGTGGGAAGAGGAGCGAGGGTTTAGTGAGGATGGGGTTTTTAGTCTGGGAAGGTGAGAAGGTGCTGGAGATGGATGGTGGGGGTGACTGTCCAACAATGTGAATGGACTTCATGCCCCTGAAGCGAACACTTTAAAAAGGCTCAAGTGGCACATTTGAATGTATGTGTATTTATGCATATTTCACCACAGTTTAAAAAAAGTTGTACTCCTGCCCACCTGGGCCCTATCCTCTCCTCCCTCTTCATGGCTACCTGGTCTGCCCTCACCCCTGCTCCAGTTACACTGGCTGCCTCTCCCGTCCTCCAGGTGAATTCCCACAGCATGGCCTTAGCACTGGCTGGTCCCACCGCCTGGAAGGTTCTAGCTGCTCATCTCTCCATCTCCCCCGTCTCAGCTCAGATGTTACCCCTGGCAGGCCCTCCTTGACCTCCCTCTCTCTCCACACACACAGTCCCCCCTGCTGAGCATATTACCTGGCTTTCATTATATTACACATATTACTACGGCAAACCAAGCCCTCATTTGCTTGTAAGTGGTCAGTCTCCCCACTAGGCTGTGAGCTTCTGAGAACAGAGGTCTTTGTCCCCACATGGTGCCTGGCACATAGTAGGTGCACAATAAATATTTGCTAAAAGACCGATCAGAAACGGGCCCCATCCATACGAAGACAGGGCCTCCCCCTAACTCTCTGCGTTCCCATACTCAGCGTCCCCGAATTCTGTTGGCTGCTGTGACCCAGCCGTGAGTCTTGTGGGTGCTGATCGGGGCCCTGCCACTGCCCAGGCCCCACCCCTGGGAGACAGAGCAGACCCAGAGCCTTGGGGGCCGGTGGTTGTAAACAGTTTTATTGATCGGGAGGGGGTTGGGGAGGCAAATTCCAGAGAGGGTCCAAGTCTCAGCTGGCCACTCAGCTGGCATGCATGGTCAGCTGGAGGTCGGAGGGGAGGTCACAAGGGGGCTGGTGGTGTGGGACCCTCTGACCACCCTGGGGCCATATTTACAGGGGGGCCCACCCACCTTTGCTGCCCGCCCCCACCAAGACTTTTACACAGCTGCTGCCAGTGTGGCTCATGGGCAGGCCCTCTTGGACTCTCCCTAACACCCTTTCTCTGTCTCCCCTCGAATTCCTGACCGGCAGTTGGAGGCCCCCTGGCCTTCTGGAAGCCCGTGTTGGCTCAGCCAAACGCCCAGGCCTCTCGGCCGCCGCACACACACACAGACACACACCCTGCATGAGTGCCCCTCGCCACGCACACGCCGGCCCTCACACGCACACCTCCCTCCCCTTCCCGGCCCCTTGCACACGAACAAGGCATGCACACACACACACACACACACACACACACACACACACCACACACACTCCCACACGCCAGGAGCCTAGGTCAAGGAGGAGCCTGGAGGGGGGGCACCGGGGTCTGCAGCTGTGGCCCCCTCCTCATCCCGCCCCCTCCAAGCCCTGGGCCGCCACCCCAAGAACGGAGTTGTGCAATTGGGTAGAAAAACTGCAAAAAAAAAACAACAACCGCAAATTGGAAACAAACCCAAACCCACGCACAGGTCAACCTCAAATCTACAGCACATCCTCCCGCTCCCCCAGACCGCCGCACGTCCCGCGGCCCGTCAGGGTGGGGGGCCAGGCCTTGTGCTTCCGTGGGCGGGGGCCCCTCGCCCTGCGCCCCGGAGGGGGGGCTGGCCGGAGCGCCCCGCTCGGAGCCGGGCCGGATCGCTCGCTCTGATCCCCGTGGCTGGCACCGCTGAGGCGTCGGGGGGCCCCCAGCCTAGGGCACGGGGGGCGCAGTCCTGTCGGTGCCCCCGAAGGAGAGCAGGTGGGCCAGGTCCGCGCCGGGCCGCGCGTGGCGGCCGCGGGGCCGGTCCCCCCGCGCCTCGCCGCTGTTGAAGGTGTGCGTGCGGCGCAGCGCGGCGGCCGCGGGGCCGGGGGCGCCGGGCCGGCGGAGGCTGCCGGTGGGCGGCGGGCTCCAGCGCCGCGGGAGGCTGTCGCAGGCCGCGTTCGGGTCCGAGGGGCCGGTGGGCGCCGACACCACGCGCCGGCGGTCCGGGCTGGCGTGCGGCGTGGGCGGGAAGTCCGCGTGGGGCGCGCGGCCGGGCTGCTCGGGGGGCCGGGCGGGGCCGAGCAGCAGCAGCGAGGCGGCGGGGGCGGCGGGCAGCAGCGGGGGGCCGTGCTCCCAGGCGCGCGGGCCGGGGTGCGGGTGCGGGTGCGGGTGCGGGAGCGGGAGCGGGGCGGGCAGGCGCTTCTGCGGCAGCGGCGTCTGCTCGGGCGTGGGCAGCAGCCCCGAGTCCAGGTCGTGCGGGCCGCCCTGCAGCAGCGTGGCCTTGGCCCAGCCGTTCTGCATCAGGGGCGCCAGCAGCGCCTCCGGGGGCCCCCCGCCGCCGCCCCGGGCCCCCGCGGCCCCCGCGCGCCGCTCGCCCAGGCGGCTCACGCTCAGCACCGCGCCGCCGGGCGCCAGCATGGCCTCCTTGTCCCGGCGCCGGGCCAGCGCGCGCCGCTCGCGGAGGCCCACGTACCAGCCCACGCTGAAGCCCGACACCACGGCGCCCACCACGAAGGCCGCCACCGAGGACGTCACCAGCAGGTTCACCGACACCAGCCCGGCGCGCTCCTCCGCCAGGCTGGCCCGCAGGAGGCCTGGGCGGGAGGGAGGCGTGAGCGGGCGGGGAGGGCCCCACGGCCACCCCGCTGTCAGTCTTCCTTGTGCGTCTCTCTGTCCCTCCCAAAGCCGGCCTGTTTCTCTGGGGTCTGTCTGTCTGCCCTGTGGTATCTGTCACCTGAAAGCCTGTCTGTCCGCTTGTTTCTTGGCATCCATCTGTCCGCCTCTCATCCTCTCTCCGTCCGGTTCAGAGCCTGTCCGTGCATCTGTCTGTGCCCTCCGCTCACCCCTCTGCCTGTCCCCTGGCCTCTCTGTCCCTCACCTCCCTCCCCGGGAGTGGGGCCCCCTGACCTCCCAAAGCTGGTCCGCGCCCCCCGCCTGGACACAAAGGGCATGAGCACCCCAGGGGCGGGGCCCCAGGCTCCCGTTCGTTCCCCCGCTCACCTGTGCAGTCCCCTAAGCTGGAGGTGCTAGCCCCGGACACGTCCTGCTCAAAGGTGGCCCTGAAGGGGGCGAGGCAGAAACAGTCAGCAGGGGAGCCTCTCAGGGAGCCCGAGGAGAGGAGGGGGGATGCCCCACCCCATCAGCAGGCGGATTACACCCCCCTCCTTCTCCTCTCCCCCCGTACCTGGTGCCAGGGCTGAGGAAGATGCAGGAGCCGTCAGGGGCCCACCCGCAGTAGGGGTCCTGGCTGCCGATGCAGTTCCTAGGGCAGAGGGGGCGGGCAGGCCGTCAGCCACAGCCCCTTGCACAGAGCCACCCACCAGCTGCCCGGGGTTCCGGCCAGTCCCTGCGGCCGGGCTGTTCACCTCCATTTCACAGATGAGAAAACGGGCTTGGGGCAGCAGATCCGGGGTCGGAGCCCAGCGGGCTTGCCCCAGAGCGTGTGTCCGGCTCTGTGCAATGCATCACTACTGCCAGGAGGGCGGTGTGGGCGGGTTACTCAGTGTGGGGGGCTCACACGGAGCTGGGGGGGCAGTACTTTGCACCTGGTTTTCCACCCATTTTAGAGGAGAGAAAACAGCCACCTCCCTGGTCCCCAGCTTCTGCTCCTGCTGCTCTTAAAAATGTCCCTCAGGTCCCACTCCTCCTCCGCCCACAGGCCTCCCGGGCCCCTACCTCCCTTGGGGTAAACACCCAAGTCCTCCCTAAGGCCCACAGGCCCTGCATGACCTGCCCCATCCTCTCCCTGCCCTCACCTCCCCCTCAGTGACTCCGCTCCAGCCCTGTGGGCCTCCTCACTGTTCCCCTAAAACCCAGTCACGTCCCAATCCAGGGCCTTTGCGCGTGCTGTGCCCTCCGCCCCACTCATCTTTCACCACGTCAGGCTGCTGCTGGCCCTTCACTCAGACTCCGCTCTTGCCCTCTTCCCGTGCTCATCTCTCTCACCGCCCCCCGCCCCCCCCCCCCAGCGAGGGCCCGGGGCACTCACTTCATGCACCCTGAGTGCTGCTGGCAGCGGGCCACGGGCACGCGGACCACGCAGTGGGGGAAGGCCGCCAGCAGGCCTCCCGAGGCCACGTCCAGCTCCAGGCTCAGCAGCCGCTGCCCCGTCTCACCGCCACCGGGCCGGCCACACCTGGGGGCGAGCAGCTCGGTAAGACTCAGGGGCCGCACCCCATCTCCGCCGGCTCCCCCCGGCCTCTGCCAGACCCCACCTGTCTGGCCGGTAGGTCTCGAACTCCTCGAGGAAGACACTGGGCCCGGAGGTGCCTGAGGCGCTGGCGTTGGGCCAGACCAGGAACTTGAGGACGGTGCCCGCCTCGGAGCCCAGAAAGACCACAGTCTGGTTGCCCCAGGGGCCGGCGCCCACGTCCACAGCCACGCGGGTCAGCTGGTGCCTGCAGCCAGGGCGGGAGGGTCAGTCTGGCACCACGACCCCTTCGGTGTGTGTGTGTGTGTGTGTGTGTGTGTGTGTGTGTCCCCCGGCAGACACAGAGACGCCACCCACAGTAGGCAAGGTGGGCGCTGGTGTGGTTACAGGACTGCACACCACCCTCCTCCAAACAGGCCCCCCTGGGCTCCCACTGGGCCTGTCTCTCTCTCTCTCCCTGAATCTCTGTCCCTCACTGTGTCCCTCCCTCTCTGTGTCTCTGTCCCTCTGTGTCTCTGTCCCTCTGTGTCTCTGTCCCTCTGTGTCTCTGTCTCTCTGTGTCTCTGTGTCTCCGGCCAGTCCTCAGAGCTGCATGCTGTCTCCAGCAACACTGCTCTCCACCCACCCTCCTCGCACCCACAGTCAGCCCGCCCTCCTCCCCCTCCCCCCCTGTCCTGGGCTCTCATCTCCACCCTCCGCCCCACCGGGACCCGGGCCACACGTGGGGCTGACCGAGTCAGAGTCCGCACTATCCAGGGCGCGTGGCCCAGCGAGGGCACCGCCTCGTCCATCAGCGGGTGGGTCTTGACGAAGTTGAGGATCTCATCCGGGAAGGCGCTGGAGGTGTTGTACTGCATGCCGGGAGCCGCACAGCACCCAGGCCTGCGGGGGGGGGGGGGGAGGGGAGAGGGGGGTGTCAGGGCAGTTCGGGGGTCCCCATGGAGGGGCTTCGATTCTCCATGGGACCCAAAGCCCTGCCCCAAGGCTTGATTCCCTCATCTGGGCAATGGGTCAGTGGCTGCCTGGGAGTCCCCAGCCTCGGGTCGTGGGGCCCTGTCTCGGCGGAGGGGCGCTCACCGGGGCCGGGGCACCTGGTCCTCCGGCACCGGCGTCCAGACGGACTCGGGAGACTTCTGCTCTCGAAAGCGGCCTTCAAACACGGCGGCCACCTGGGTCATGTCAAAGGCGCAGACGGCAGAGCCGGGGATGCTGGGAAGCAGAGGAGGGGAGCAGTGAGCCTGGTGGCAGGCGCTGCCTCAGGCGAGTGTGCGGAGGCGCCCTTGTCCTCCGGAGCTGTCGGGTGTTCAGTCCCTGCGCCAGGGTGTCACCCACTGCGCCATCCAGTCACTGCCGCCCGAACTGGGCTCAGACGGGATCCTGGTCCAGCGCCTCTGCAACCGCCGTGTCCTGGCCTCCCCGGTCGTGTGCCTGATGCTCAGTCTCCCAGACACCACTCCTGCCCCCTTACAACCATCCTTCTTCTGCCCCTCGCTCTTCCACGGCTCCCCAGTGCTCCGGGCTAAACCCAGGCTCCTTGGCAGCCCACACCCCCCCACACACACTGTCCCTTTGCTCCCTCTATTCCAGCCGCAGGGGCTCCTCTCTGTTGTTTAAACAACCACGTGCATTTATCCTCTCAGCTTTGCACATGCTGTTCCTCCAGCGTGGGATGCTCTTCCCTTGGCCTCCACCTCACACCACGGAAGCCAGTTCCCGTGTCCCCGCTCCGGCAGCTCTGACCCCCTCCTCCCAAGGCAGGGGAGCTGATGCCCCCATCTGCCCAGTGCTGCCCGAAGGATCTGGGAGGGTCAGTGTGGTCTGGGGGGCCCAGACTGGACAACAGGCAATGAGTGAATGTGGGACCTCCCCCGTCCCGTCCCGTCCACCCGGGGCCCCGAGTTCTCTCCGTCCGCGTCGCTGACCTGTTGCTGGGGGTGGAGAAGATGGCCAGGACCGCGGGCCGGCCGCCCAGGCTGACCACGCCCGTGACGGCCTGCAGCACGTTGAAGTAGAAGTGTGAGTCCCCAGGCACGGAGCAGTTGAGCCGTGCCTTCAGGAAGGACGTCCACTGCTTCTCCAGCACGCGGGGCGAGCCCCCCGCGTCGTTCTTGCACACCCGGGCCACGCGGGACACCACCACCTGGCGGGCAGCGGACGGGGGGCCTGAGCCCCGAGTTCCGAGGGCCACTCCGCCCGCCACCCAGGCTGGGCCCGGCTCACTGTGGGGTCCCGGCTGGACCCTGGACCCTCTGGGCGTCAGCTTCCCCGGGGGAAACACGGGGATGACAATAGCAACGTGGCAGTCATCATGCTCATCATGCACACGTCCAGACCGGTCACTAGGGACCTGGCTCTTTGCCTCCTCATCTCCAACTTCCCTCCCAAAGCTCTACGAAGGAGGGCCTGCTGATGTCCCCAGTGTATAGGTGGAGAAACTGAGGCACAGGGAAAGGGCAGTGGCCGACCCAAGGTCACACTAGTGGGGAATGGCAGTCTTTGCATCTACTGTCTGGCTGCTGCAGTGGATGGGTAGGTAGAGGGATGGGTGGGTGGGTGGATGGATGGGTGGGTGGATGGATGGATGGATGGATGGATGGGTGGATGGATGGATGGATGGGTGGATGGGTGGGTGGATGGATGGATGGATGGGTGGGTGGGTGGATGGATGGATGGATGGATGGGTGGATGGGTGGGTGGGTGGATGGATGGGTGGATGGATGGATGGGTGGGTGGATGGATGGGTGGATGGGTGGATGGATGGATGGGTGGGTGGATGGATGGGTGGATGGGTAAATGAACGATTTGGAGGAGATAATGATGGGTGATGAGTGAGATAACATGTGGGTGAATGGATGCCTCTCAGCTCCATGCTCCCCCCCCCCCCCGGCCTCTGGGAGGGGCCGGGCTTACCTTCTCCAGGTAGCTGAACTCCATGGCGATCTCCCGGAAGAAGAAGTAGATGTGGCTGCCCCACTCCACCGCGTGCAGGAAGTAGGGCTCTGCAGGAGAGGAGGTCAGAACCAGCCCCGCCGAGGAAGGGCGCCTCGAGCTGGCGCACACCAGCCTGGGGCCGCTTCCATGGGGAAGGGGGACATGCGTGGACTACCCAGGCAGAAGGAAACAGACTCGACGTGTTGGCGTTTTGAGGGAAGAGGGAAGTGTCAGAACCCTAAAATCGCAGCGTCTGCCTCCCACAAACAGCATCCTCTCCTGTTCTCGTGCACCTCCCTCCCTCAGGGGCTAAAGCCCTGGGCTCCTGTAGCTCCCTCTTGTGGTTCCATTTGGGCTTCCAGCCGCCCATCCCATCAAGACCCTTTAGACATTCCCTTAGAGAGAGAGGAGGTGGGTGGGGGTGGGGGGAGAGGTACTGATTTGCTGTCCCACTTATTTATGCGCCCATTGCCCTGCCCCGGACCGGACCTTTCGCCTTGGCACGCGGGGACAGGGCTTCCCCCAGCGCCAGGCCAGTCTTTCTCTGGCGTTGTCTTTGGAGGCCAGGAGGCCCCACAGGTGAGGTGGGAGTCCCTCCTGCCTCCTGTGGGACTCTTACTCTGGGGGTGGGGGGGTGGATGAGTGCCCGCCCACCTTTGAACCACTTGGAGTCGTGCTTCACGGTGCGCAGGGTGGGCCGGTCTCCCAGGCTGCGGTAGATGACGGCGTCGATGGCCAGGAAGTCGGTGACGGTGGCCGTGAAGAGCATTCCTTCTGGACGGGGAGAGCGGTGAGGGGTTGGGTTGTGGAGGCCGGGGGTGGTGCGGGTCCATACTCGGTCTTCCAAGACTCGCAGTCCACCTCTCTGAGCCTACGTGACCTGTCTGAGCCCAACCCTGCGGAGGCCCCAGCCCAGCTGAACCCCAGCTCCCACTGAGCCCGACCCCGGGCTGAGGTTCTGCCCGTTTCACAGCCAGACAGTCTCCCGGCCACCCTCTACAGGACCCCAACTCCAAGAGTGGGGAGTGCCCCGCCTGGCGGGGGCTGGGCCTCAGCAGAGGGTCAGAGTGGGGCGGACACTCACCGGAGAAGAGGGCGACGTTGGCATGCTTGGGGTCGTAGGGGCAGCGGGCCATGCCGCTGATGTTGTCCCCGAGGGGCTGCAAGGTGTCTGTCTGCAGGGGGACGGGGCCTGAGTGACAGGGCTCGGCCCCGCCCCGCAGCCCCACGGCTCCCCATCCCGCCCTCCCAGGGGAAGCCTGTCTCTGCCCCGGATGCTGTGCGACTGGACCAGCCACTTAACCTCTCTGGGCTCCGTTTGTTGGTCTCTAAATGGGTCTGAGAGTCGGCTCTAGTGAATCCCATTACTGGGCCATAGGTCAAATACCTGGGACTTCCCTGACCTCACCCGGGCCTCCTTGGGAAGCCTCCCTTGAGCTCGGGGTGAGGAGGGGAGGACAGACCAGGCAGGCTCTCTGTGGGAGGCTCTGGGGGCGGGCAGCTGAGCGGAGGTCTGGAAGTCGGACGTGGGGCCTCCGGGCCTCGGGGGGCAGGGACTCACGCTGTAGTTGGCGCACAGGGGGTTGAAGGCGTTGGAGCCGCACACGAAAAGCGTGGCCTCGTCCCGGAGCAGCAACACCTTCACAAAGTTCCGGCACTCGGCCTGCGGTGGGAGGGACGGGGTGCGGTTTGTCTGGGCCCTGGCAGTGCTGCGGGCCTTGGGGGGGGGGGTGTGCGGAGGGGGGAGTGGCTAGGGCAGAGGAGGAGCCAGGACTGGGGTGAAGGGAGGGTCATTGTGTGGGCTTGTCTAGGTCTCAGGGCCGCACCAGGGGCGTGGTCACAGCTGAAATAGGCCCAGATGGGGGCACGGCCATGCTGATTTTAGGTCAGCGGCCAGTGAGGGGATGGAGCTATGGCAAGACCGTAGCCTAAGGACGTGGCCATGACTGGGACCATCTGGGGGTCATGGCCAGGCTCAGGGCGTAGCCATGACAACACGGGGTGCAGGCCTGGGATGAAGGAGGAGGAGGAGGATTTCGCCTTGGTCGTGGCCCCGGTTCAGCTTGAGTGTGGTCATGGCTGATTGGGGGCGTGACCAAGGCCCACTCACCTCCTGCTTGCCCTTCATCCGACACACGTTGATGTCGCTGGGGTTGGAGCGCCAGGTCAGCTTCTGGGGGCACAGGGAGCTGGTGAGGGGTAAGGGGTACCCAACGGCCCTAGGGAACCCCTGCCGGGCAGGCCCGAATCCATCTCGCTCCCCATTGTAAGGCCGGCTCCCTCCGGCAGGAGCCCCAAAGGCTGTCCCCTCCTCCTCCCGCCCGCGCCCCCTCCTCACCCTCTGGTACCGGAGCTCCGTGGAGGCGGGGGGCTCCAGCTCTACCCGGTACAGGCTGTCCCTGAGGGGGGGGTGCAGTTAGTGAGATTGGGGCCTGCACCTTCCCGCATTCCATCCGCTGGTGCCAACGTGGTGTCCAGCAGGCCACGTGCACGGGCACGGACACGCCTCTGCCCAGCTACATGCCGTACAGGCCTCACACCGCTGCCCCGGGTTACACTGCCGTGATGAACGGTCGGACGCCTCTATCAGGTGCCCACTCAGCACCTCTCAGCCTGGCCCAGGCTCACCCCCTCATGTCATGGGAACCTGCCCTGGCTGGCTGAGGTCGTTGGCCAGCTGGTACAGCAGTCACTTCTCTGTCCTCTCCCCCCCCTCCATGGTGTCTGACCCGCAGGTCCCCCTCCTCCTGGGAGCTCATTCTCACAAGGGCCCCCGCCCCCGAAACCAGGCTTCCCTCCCACCTTTCAGACTCCCTCTGGCCTCCTCCCTCCCCGACCCTCCGGGGTGGCCTCGTCCACTCCAATCCTGGCTACGCCCTCGTCACCATGCCCACAGCCCATCTCCAGCTTCGGGGGCCAGCTGCTCCTTAGCGTTGCCTCATGGGGGGGGGGGGCTCATGGGCATTTCACATTCAGTGTGGCCATTCTGAGCCTGACTGTCCCCCAAACGGGAGCCCTGCTTTCCTGTCTCCCACCTCTGACCTTCCTCTGTCCAGCTCTGTCCTTCTGAGGGTGCAGGCCACCCTCAGCTCCCCTCTTCTCCTCCTCCCACATCCAACACTCCAGTCTCCTCTGCCTTTAATGTTTAGTGAGAATTCACCTGCTTCTCGCCCCTCCACGGCCACCGCCCCATTCCAGCCCCATCGTCTCCCACTTGGACCGGCTCAAAGAAGCCACCAGGGGCAACAGTGAGCACCGAAGTCAGGTTCCCTCCCTTTATCCACAGCCCCCAGGGCTCCCACCTGCCTCCCGGCTTCCCTTCAGCCAGGAGGCCCTGACCAGCTGCCTGGGTCTCCTCCTGCCCTCTCCTCCTCCTCTCGCCCCTCTCACTGTGCTCCAGCCTGCGGACTTCCTTTCTGTCCTAACACGCAGCACAGTCCGGCCTCTGCCCTCTGCCCTCTGCCCTTTGCCCTCTGCCCAGATGTTCCCCTCTCCCCCAGATTTCCTCATGGCTGACGCCTCATCATTTAGGTTTCAAACCAAAGGCCACCCCCTCAGCACCCCCTGTAGGCACCGGGTGAATTCTGACCAAGCAGCTGCCCCCATCTGCTGACACCACAGCGGGCACCGGGCTCCCACCACCCCAGAGCCCAGCACCCCTGCAAGTGCCACCCCAGGTGCCCACAGTCACACCCAGCCAAACCATACGCCCTATCGCGAAGACTCCCCCAAGGGCCCCGCACCCCGCGTTCCCCAGACGCCCCGCACCTGTCCCCGATGAACAGCGTCCTGTTGACCCGCAGGACCCGCTGGATGTTGAGGTCCTCGGCGCCCTCGGTGGGGGCCGGGCGGCCTGGCCCGCTGCCCACGAACACAGGGTAGTGGCTCAGGTCTGGGGAAGGGAGGAGGGTGATTTAGGGCCGGGGTGAGCCTGGCCTGGTGAGTCCCTGAGGACGGGGGCAGCGGGCTCCGTTGGGGAGTAAGGCCCTCGTCCTGGACCCTTCTCCCCTGGGAACCCCCCTCCAACCCCACTCACAGTCCCTGGGGGCCACGCTGAGCGGCGGCGGCTCCTCGGGGAAGAGCCCGTGGGCGCCCCCCAGGAGCAGCACCAGGAGCAGCAGGGCCAGGCGGGGAGGGGGCACTCGCGGGGTCCGCATGGCGAGGTCGGGGCGACAGGAGGTGGCACCTGCGGGCGAGAGGTGGGCGGTGAGCGGCGTGGCCTGTGTCCGCCACCAGATGGCGCTCATGAGCCGCAGCGGCCAGGACTTTCCATTATCCCCCAACATTCCCCGTTGGGATAACACTGTGATTTAAAATAACAACTTCACTGCTAGCCCCACTCTTGCCTACCCCACCCCTTCCCCCTACAACACCAGCCAGAGTAACCCTTATCTCTCCGGTGCTCTGTCTGCTCTGGGCCCTTTTTTTAAAAAAAATTTTCTACATTTGTTAATCCTCACCCAAGGATACTTTTTCCATTGATTTTTTAGAGGGAGTGGCAGGGAAGGATGGGGAAGGGAGAGAGGGGGGGGGAGAGAAACATAGATGTGAGAGAGACATATCGATTTGTTGCCTTTCACAGGTGCCCAAGGGCGGAGGAAGGAACCTGGAACCCAGGCACGTGCCCTTGACCAGGAGTGGAACCCGTGACTCTGGTGCCCGGGCTGCTGCTGCTGAGCCACTGAGTGACACGGGCCAGGGCCACCCGAGCCACTGTTAAGTGTCCTGTTGAGTCCATTCACAATGTTGGGCAGCCATCCCCACCTTCCGTCTCCAGCGCCTTCTCACACCCCCAACTGAAACTGTTCCCTAAGCACTAACTCCCCCCCCAGCCCCCGCACCCACCACCCACTCTGCCTCTGGGACCTGAGTCCTCTGGGGACCTCCTAGGAGGGCATCACATCTCTGTCCTGGGTCTGGCTGAGCTCACTGAACACAGAGTACTCAGGGCTGTCCGTGCTGCGGCACATGTCAGGACGGACGTGTGTGGATGGAGCACGCGTGTACCCATCCCCCGTGGATGGAGCACGCGTGTACCCATCCCCCGTGGACGGAGCACGCGTGTACCCACCCTCCGTGGACGGAGCACGCGTGTACCCACCCTCCGTGGATGGAGCACGCGTGTACCCATCCCCCGTGGATGGAGCACGTGTGTACCCATCCCCCGTGGATGGAGCACGCGTGTACCCACCCTCCGTGGACGGAGCACGCGTGTACCCACCCTCCGTGGATGGAGCACGCGTGCACCCATCCTCCGTGGATGGACACTTGGGCTGCTTCCGCCTCTCGGCTCCTGTGAATGGCGCTGTGTGAACAGGGCGTGGAATCTCCCTTTGCTGCCAGTGCTTTGGGTGGGCACCCAGAAGTGACACTGCTGGGTCAGACGCAGCTCTGTGTTCGTTTCCTTTTTAGAAAATGCCACACTGCCTTCCGCAGCGGCTCCGCCGCCCTGCATCCCCAGCAGCAGTGCAGTGATCCGATCTCTCCACACCCTGGCCTCCACGCCCCGTCGCCTGCTCCCTGACAGCGGCCGTCCCAGTGCGTGTGCGGCTGCTGCTTGTCCTTTCCGTTAGTCACGCTGGTGGTAATATGGAAGCGAACCCCACAGGCTCTTTTAGGGGAGTCTGGGCTACTTCAGGGCCAGCCCCCTGCACCCGGCCTCAGCCCCCCCCCTCCCCCCCCCGCCACCTGGGGTTACCGGAGGCCTCAGCACCTCCCCCGGCCCCTAAGACCATCTGCTCCTCTCCATGAAACTCGAGGCGCCTCTGCGAGCAGCCGCCTGGCGCCCGCCTGCCGGGAAGCAGCCCCACCACCTGCCCCGGCACCTGGTCACCGGGGGGCTGCCACCAGGCACGGAGCATGTGGCCAGCGTGTGCGCCCCGTGCCATGCAGGGCACCCACACGTCTGCGTGCCTGCAGAGGGGCACGCTTCCTGCCCGCAGCCCGGCGGCACGCATTCACGCCCACGGGGGAGGGGAGCGGCGCCTTGTCCTGGGCATCAGTTTATAAACTGACAAAACGGCCCTCGCCGGTTTGGCTCAGTGGGTAGAGCGTTGGCCTGCAGACTGAAGGGTCCCAGGTTCGATTCCGGTCAAGGGTATATATATATATATATATATATATACACCTTGGTTGCGGGCACATCCCCAGTAGGAGGTGTGCAGGAGGCAGCTGATCGATGATTCTCTCTCATCGATGTTTCTAACTCTCTATCCCTCTCTGTAAAAAAAATCAATAAAAAAAAATATATATATATATTTTAAAATAAATGATAAAGCGGCAGCTCCCACCCAGAGGAGACTATGCTCTGTGGCTGGCCCCTCAGCGGTCACTCCCACTGGGGCGGGCCATCCCATTGGACGCCCATCTCAGGTGAGGAGACTGAGGCAGGGATGGGAGGTCCTCAAGGCCACCCTCCATCTTCTCCGGTTGCCAAGTGTGAGGCGTTACACCGCCTTCGTGACTCTACGTTTGTCACAGGCTGAAATTTCCTTCTGGAACATTTCTCCCACTTCTTTCTGCCAGGGTGTCTGGGTTACCCTTTTTATATTGTAAAAGAATTTTTTTTTTTTAATGTCTAGAGAGAGAAGGAAGAGGGATAGAACAATAGAAACACTGATGAGAGAGAAACTTCAATGGGCTGCCGGCTGCATGTGCCCTGACCAGGAATCGAACCACTGACCTCTTGGTGCACAGGACAAAGGCACGTGCCACTGAGCCACACTGGCCGGGCATGGGCTCCCCGTGAAACCCACAGCTTCAGTATAAATGTTCGGATCAGCTGGTAAGTTCTAAAACAAACAACAGATAAAGCATAAACGCTGTCAGGGTTTCCACGGGACGGAGCTGACCATGTCGACCAAATTGCACTCCTGACGGACGGCTGCTGATCCCCAGCCCAAGCGGTGCTTCCCGGGTTCCACCCGTTTCAGCCGAGGGCGCGGGAATCCTCTCAGCTCCCTCCAAAGCCCGCGCTGCCCCACCCCCTTCCCTCACCCTCCCACCAATGCCGGCAAGTCCCCTGGGCTCTGCCTTCCAATTTACCCAGAATTCTCACCCTTCCCAGTCCAAGCCCTGGTCAGCCCCATCACCTCCCACCTGGACCAGTTCAGGACCCTCCCTCCACCCTGGTTCCCTGGGTCCGGTCCTTGCTCCCCTCCGCCCATTCCCCCGGCAGCCACCAGGGGACCTGTGTGAGCACCTCTGTCAGGGCTGTGCCCGCTCTGCCTCCAGGACTCGCCTTCCTCCGGGTAAAAGCTAAGTCCTCCCAGGGGCCCACAAGGCCGAGGATGACTTGCCTTCACCAGCCTTCCCTGCCCTCACCTCCTCCCTCTCGCCCCCTGCACACTCTGCTTCCGCCCCCGGGCCTCGCTGCTCCTCCATCACGCCACACGCCGTCCTGCCCCAGGGCCTTTGCACAGGATGTCCCCACACCTGAAAGCCTCTTCTCTCAGATACCCACAGGGCCGCCTCTGTATCTCAGGTCTCTGCTAAAAGGCTGTCTCCTTCGAGTCTCTCACCCCCATCACCCTGGGCCCCTCCCCAGGTCCCACCCCTGCCCCCACATGGCATTAGACTCTCAAAGCGTCCTTTAGACTCTGCTTCTCCGAATGCGGTCCTCCAGCCTCAGCCTCACCCTCACGCGAGAGTTATTAGAATGCAGAGTCCCGGGCCCCACCCCAGGCCCACCCAGCAAGAGCCTGCATGTTAGCCAGCTCTCCAAAGGCCTATGTGCACAAGAACTCAGAAAATCGGCTTCTGCACAGGTTCTCCCAAATGAAGGAATCACCTACATCATGGCTCCCCCGGAGCCTCCCTGCCCTGGAGGGTGAGGCCTGGGTGCACCGTGGCCAGTGGCCTGTCCCCGTGGTGCCTGGCACACCGCTGTGCTCAGCAATGGCTTGTTGTGTGTTGATGAACTAAGCATCAGCACAAGGAATGGAACTCAGACTGGACCACTTGCCTGATTCAACTCTGCTCATCACCTCCACATGCATGGTGTCCGCGGGGGGTGGAGGGGGGTCCCCCACACGCACGGCCATGGGCCCTGGCGTCTACCACATGTTATGGCATCCGTGTGTTCACACGAATCTATGGACGCACCCACAGAACAAGTGTGTGCCCCAGCCGTGGTGGGTGGTCCACACATGTGTGTGCACACGCCTGTGTGTCCGAGGGTACACACATAACACCCAGGAAGCTCTGTCTGCACCCCCCCCCTGTTGATGACTTCCTGGCGGCCAGGTTCCCAGGATTCCACGTCACTTCTGACAGGCTATCTACCCACCCTCCTGCCCTGCCCTTCCCACTCTCACCGGGGCCCAGAATGAAGGCTGGACAGGCAACAGGGCCAGCCAAGGAGCCTCAGGTTAGCAGCCCCGCCTCCAACACGCACGGTGGAGATTCAAATCCCGGCTCTGCCTCTTAAATGTTGCTACAGGGTTGAAAGGACAGTGTAGCCTGGCTGGTGTGGCTCAGTGGCTGAGTGGTGACCTATGAACCAGGAGGTCACGGTTCGATTCCCAGTCAGGACGCCTGCCTGAGTTGCATTGATCCCCAGTGTGGGGCGTGCAGGAGGCAGCCGATCCATGAGTCTCTCCCATCATTGATGTTTCTCTCTCACTCTCCCTCTCCCTTCCTCTCTCTGAAATCAATAAAAAAATTTTTTTTTAAATAAGGACATAGTGTAGACCAGCAACGTACAACAGAAAGCCAGGCGCGCACGTGTGCGGTCTCTATTTCCTGGTGGCCACGTGGCAGAGGAGAGTCGAGGCAGCTGAGCTCCGGGTGAAAGGCCGAGTGCGGGGACCGAGCACAGGACCTGGGACCACGGAAGGAAGAGAACAAGGTCCCGGCGGGCCGGGGAGGACGCCTGGGATTCTCTCCGCTTTCCAGACAAGACGATTTCCCTTCTGTAACCTACGGCACAAGGACAGGGCCTGGCCCACGTGCTCACTCTGTGCGAGGTGACCTTGCTGGATGACCTTGGGCCTCTGTCATGGCAGGAACTCAGTGACCCCGGGCCGGCCTCAGAGCCCATTTCTCCATCTGCCGTGGCAAAGATTGGAGCACGACGCCCATTTCCAGGCCCAGAGGAGCTCCTGTCAGCCCAGCCATCCCGGATTCCAGCTCCGGGCCGGCGTCCCTGAGGAGATCG